TGAGGGGAAAACAGCAGAAAAGCTGATCAATACCAATACACGCTCACACACTCACCTCGTGTCCGCCATCATGAATCCAGAATAATGGTGGGATCCCCGGGCGATGCCATTAGTAACGCAGGGGTAGACGTTGGAGGGAAAGCCCCAGGAGGCCTGAACAGTGCTGAAGTGACACTATGCGGCGGACTCGGATGTTGCAATGACAGTTAACATGACATGACAACTGAACAAACCGCTGTAAAGTCGCATGTGACAGAATAGCGGAATAGTGACGTTACGGCAAGTTTGTAATGCTGATCCTTTTCCAAGGCAACTGAACAAAATTCCGCGGACACTATCTTTAAAAATGAACGAACGTTTATGTGTTTGTTTGTTTGTTTGTTTGTTTGTTTGTTTAATCCTTTGCCTGTTTCTGGAAAAAAACTGGCAGTCTTTTAATAAGGATACACATATTAACGTTATACGTATGAGAGTCTAGTACTGCCATAGACACAGTGCTCGTGAATTCTGTCAAGTGATGGCAATTCAGCACCAAGGGCAGGACAGGTCTGAACTGGCGCTCTGTCCATGAGCTATTCAAGTATTCTGGCAGTTTCATAGGAGATAGGGAACGCTAGTGTTTGATTGTTTAGATCAACGGCAAGTTACTGGAAAGTCAAACAAAACCGAGGAAAGCGTAAAGTGGTCAATGTAGCTCTATATTTGGATGATGACGCCATCATTTGAAGGAAAACTACTGTAATCTCAAAAGTGCCGCTCAGCGAATTTCATCGGAAGAGCACATCAATTAAACGAACCAACCACTCCCAACAGAGGGCAAACCGTTCAGCACTGGGTCCCGGAAGATATCGGGGGAAATAGAGCATGTAACATTAATGGTTCTTACTACGTGTCTCCACTCACTCAGAACGTGTGAGCGATCTTTGTTGTCAATACGCAATGTTGAAACGTGCCGCTCCTGAGAGGAAGTGCTTTTCCTTTTATACATGCAACGTCACTCGTGTACTATTAAAGGACTCGTGTTCTTACTACCGCCACCATGCGGCCAGTTGGAGAACTGTTTCTTTTCGCTACTTTTTCATCGAAGCACGTACACAAGCAATATGTAAAATTGTGATAAATTGTCCTCCTGTCCTTCTGTCATTTCCATTGAAATTGTGTCTCTCCAGCAGTTGCCTTCATATATTCAGTCTGTACGAAAACAATTTAAGAGTGAACGTAGATATACCGGGTACATAAGACGGGTTAGAAGTTATATATTCCCCTCAAGATATTTCCACATGCGTAAATACGTTTGCCGACTTTATTTCATCAAATTTCAACACAAACTAATATAATGCGTTGTTGTATTACATTAAAAAACACAGTGGCATGGTATCAAAAATATAATATATGATAACCTTTGGTTTTCGAACGTCTTAACAACATTGTTGTCTTTTTTGTAGTGTGAACTTGCCCTCTTAAAAGGGTGCCGACATAACGTTACTAGAAGTGAATACAGATGTCTCTCAAATTACAATCCATGCATTATATACGTCCCCATCTCGCGTGGCTGCTGAATACGGCGCATCATTCATTCTGCATTTCATCCCGTGAAGGTTAAAGCTGTGCGTCTTTGCGGGTTCAGGTCAGAACACACTATATCAATTCTAACAAATGTGTTCGCTCTCCCCATGCCCCCTCCGGTAACACCACTTTCACGCACAGACCGTCCCTCCTACTTCTCCGAGCTCTAATTATGACGCAGAAATTGAGAAAACCGACTTTGGGGAAGGGAAAGGCACATGCAAACAATTACCTCTCATTTCTGGAGTCTTTGTAAGATGAAGAAGGTATTTTAGAGTTCATGTGGGAAATGGCAACGAGGCTATGGTATTAAACTTTACCAGGAATGCCTGGACGATGTACCTGTAATTATAGTATGGTATGAACAAGACAAAACTCTGGTCTATGTAAATCTAAATGATATCGCTATAACATAGGCAATACTAAAATCAGTAAGTCATTACGTTTGAGGAGGATTACGATGGTACCTACTTTTCAACTGAGTTGCTTTGCCATTCCAAAAACAGCTATTCTATTATCTCATTATATAGCTTAAAAGAAAAATACGAGTGTCTCACAGAAGAAAGGACAACACAAGGACAATATAGCTTGACTAATAAAACAGAACAGTAACAGGTAATAGTTGTGGGGCTACCATCAGACTACAGACTGCATGTATTGGATGAGGCATGGTCTCTATATGGGGCACTGGAGTTGAATTGGGTTTTCTCTTGGTTGTCTTTGAGCCATTAAATTTTGACAGAGTAGTTTTGTTGTAGATAGATGGCATGGCACATGTTGAGGAAGAATAACTACATTATTTATCTTCTACTTCAAATGTCATTAAGTGGTTTTGTTGCTTGTGTCAAGAGAATACAATACAGAGAAAGCGGTTTTAACACCTATCCTTTACACCTGGCAAAGATGTGAATTTTATCTTTGTGCAGGCAACTACACAAGGCCAAGGACATACCCCCATTATTTCACCATTTATATCACTGTGTTTATGTTAGAAGGAGTAACGTTATGAGCAAGAGTGGATTTTTGTGGACCTTTGAATGAATGACGGTTTTTGATGTGGTTTTCCCTTTTTTCCATTATCATCAATATTTGTATAAAATCATTCATCATGTAGCATAATTGATTATAGTCTGCAATGATCGTATCATGCATTAAGCTGACATATAAATTATTCCAACTGATGCCATTTTCTAAAATTTGAAGCATGATTTACTCAATGGAAAGGTTGAAAGAACATCCCCATCCAGGACTATTCCATTTAAAACTCCCCAAGGGGGGTAGTCAGGAGCAGTTCTTTCATTCTACCAGTGTTAACCACCATTTATCTATGAGTCAAATTGTTCCTGACTGCAACATTTCAACTTTGGGATATTTTCCTGACTACTCTACCCTGAACTATAAAAGTGGAACAGTCCCAAGTCAACTTCAAGTACTGTTGAGTGCCCCACAACATCTGCTGCATCCAGAAAACATTTAGTAAATGTGGTTCCAAACATTCTGCCTGTAACCTTCACCACCATAGACCATTAACAATTTGTTACACCCTTGAGCACCAATAGTGCTAAAGATCCATAGAACATTTCATGTACCATCACGTTTTAGAACTGCAATGTAAGAACTTGTATGATCCCCTAAATTGATAAAAATTCAGTGTAAATATGCATGTGACTGAGGGTTCCATCCTAAAAAGGGCCTTACTCTGACCATAATGTAGCAACCGGCTGACAAACAAAGGCCAGTCTAAATGTCAGTGTCATGTGTACACCATTTGTAGCATCAATCGCACAACTCAAAGCTGTCATTTTGCCCAACCACTGTCTCAGTTAGAGGAAAATGCTTTTCACAACAGGGGAAAATCTACTCCTATACGTTATACGAGCCATTCTGGCAGGTGGTCGTGTGACATTGTGTGTTCTAGAGGCTGTTTGTGCATCTATTCAACATTTCAAGAATACTTCGACAGCGAACATTCATGCATACCCATGACAGGCCCACATGCTGGGCAGATATTGTTACACCACATGCTGCGAGAATATAACTGGTTAAAGGTGAATATTTAAGTAGATCTTACAGAAGATAAGCTCATGGTTGATAGTGTAGATATTGAATCAATCTATCAATAAGTTATTAATATTCAAATGTATGTAGGTCCTATCAAACCAATGAGAACTAAAAAAACATGGGCATCAAACTGAAACAAATGTCTGACATGCACCCTTATGGTACGAAATACTACAAACCTACTTATGTACTTTCATCCTTTTTCCTACCATCCCTAACAAAACTAGGGCAAAAAATACCAGTTGTAACAATACCAAAACTCAACTGAATGGTGATGTTAAAACTTTTCAACCTTAAACTGTTCTTGTGATGCCTGAATATCACTCAAGAGTTACCACTAGTGACTGCATGCAGTACCTTTCGTGGTCCATAAATACCTGTAAGAAGCTTGCTTTCCATTCTGTTCAAATTAATAAAGTGCCAGGGGTTCAGTTGCATGCTGGCCACCCGTGGTCTTTCCGTAGTTATAAATGTTGTGGAGGTCAGGGGAAAAATCTCCTCGGGACAGAGAGGCCGGTAGTAGGTTTGTGATGAATACATGAAGGTAGATGGGAATTCACATCAACTGTAGCTGACCCCCTTCCTCTCCAATTGGGAGTGAGATAGCCCTCCAGCCAGACTAATTCAATTTTAGAGGAACAGAGTTGTTTCAAGATCACGAGAGTACCAAGTGCAAGGTCACTTAGTCACTCCACCTTTCCAGGAAATAAAAAAAATGGTGCCCCGTGTGACATCTGTGAAGAATGGGCACCAGGGCACTGTGTGACATCTGTGTAAGGCTGCTGAAGAACAGATTCTTATATTGTCGACACATGTCTGATTGTTGTGTGTGGCATTTTTCGAGCATCCTCCATTATCAAATGGCGGGTAATCTTTTAAAAGATGAGGATCGTTGGTCTGACCTTCACATTCATTCACCAAGGACCAGTCAATTTCACTTAGAGGGAAGATGAGGGAAGAAAAGTAATGGCTTTCAAAGGGGTTTGCTTAGAACAGGAAAATTAGACATTTCATTGATAATAGGTCACATTTAAGTATATTGTACGTTTGGTTTACCCCTCCGTGCAAAAATTGCGAAGCGAAGAAAATTAAAAAGGAGTGGAAAGACTACATGTACACGTGTATGAAATTAAACTCTCCCAATGATATTGATCTGTTTTTCAGGGGAGACCTTTAACATGGGAGTGCTATGTCAACATTAGGTTGATCTCTCTTCAAACTTCAACATGGTAGCAAACCATACTTTCAATAACAGAACAAAGATTTCTAAAACAAGCTATATGCTGCAAAAAACAAGGAATTGGAGTTGTTAAACTGCAAAAAATAATACCATCAAAATTGGTATATACTAGCTACTCTTTCCTGTGGTCATAACTTATCATATAGACAATGAACAATGGATGTATCAAAATGTCTTCATTAGCTTTAATTCATTTGTGCCCAACATTGAAGCAGTTTGGCATGTAAAAGAGAAATCTGCTCAAATTACTATGTACAAACACTACATGCAAATTACAATTTGCGAAGAAATTCAACAATCTCAGATTGGACCATACTCACATACATGTACACGGACACAATGTTTGCATCATAGTTCATCATACAGTATTACTGCACTGTAATAATAACATCTACAAAAGACAGCCATTGATAGTATTTCTTATCTACTTTCTTAACAATTTGATTCACTTGAGGAAAGACAATTGTCTTGCTCACATCATGCCAATTTATCTTATTTTTCATCCTTCCCCATCAGTACAAAAATGGTGAGTCCCCACTGCTCTAGCTTTTCTGTCCCCCAATTTCAGACCATTACAGTATACTCTCTGTAACTGTTTTATAACATCCACAAACACTGTTCTCAACGGTGTTCTCAAAAATATCAGCTTCACTTTCCACTTAGACATGAACCAGTTGCATGTATCCAAAAGCTTTGTTCTCCTTTATCAAAAACACATACAAATACAACCCGCAAATTAAATTCACTAAGAATTGCAGGACCAACTTGAATGAACATAATTTTCTTACAAAATATTGAGGACTAATTCTAACTATCCCTAAATTCCAAATAATAAGATGTATGGCAAGTTTTTTTTCCTACCAATGAAAAGTGAAGACTTTGAAACATCATACAAGATACATGGTTGTACGAACTGGGTCAACACAAAGATTACATTTAAGATTTTAAAAGGCATAATTTGGACAGCTTTGATGTGGCTCTCAGAAACAGATAAAGACTTCAATTGTTGATACATACATGTACATAAATGTATCCTAACAGAAAAATAAGTCAGTGTACACCTTTCTTCCATCTGTTAACACATGGCGACATCACTCTATAGTGTACACATTTCCCGAAATTACATAAATCTGTATCTATCAGTTATAAAAATGATAAAAATACTTTCAGATAAACTTAATCTTAAAAGTGATAACTCTGTAACTGTTTTGCATTTGTGTCCAAGATTTGTCTGTGACTGTGATCAGGACAACATCTACAAACATAAAGATGTCTCTAGACAAATCACCAAGTTGAGCCATATTGAATACTGTCTTCACTGAGATAGGATATCATCAGATCATGATTTCACTGAAGATTTTCCATCTGATGTAACATAATAGTACACAGCATCTTACAAAGCCTCCAGTCCTGATAGTGCCGTGTATTTGCTGCTACAAATTCACAATTTTCCACAAGATCTTGGCAACAATAATAAAGAGGAATAATACTCAAACTGAGAAATACCAGTAGCTAAAGTTAAAACATGGGCATATGAGACAAGTGGAAAAGGTTTCTATCAGCACCAGAAACAGACCCTCATTTGAAGGACTTGCCTAAATATGTGTCAACTAAAAACCAAGATTCAGTAGCAACCTGTGAAGAATACTCGGGGGCTTGGCTACATGTTTACAACAAGCACATTTTCTGAAAATGTAAAAGAGTAAATAAACTTTTTTGACCATAACAAGAATACTATAACAAGAAAATCTGTCACAGGCTTTCATGCCAACATAACCATAACTATCTGTCAAACAGATATAAACTAAGTTATTGATCTTAATAAATAAAGGTGCTCTTTGTAATTCACTTTATACTAATATTCAGTTTCACTGAACATTTGAATTCAAAGGAACAATGAAATTGTCCTGATAATGGGGGGATTTCTCGTGTGTTTTGCTCAGATGAATCTTGACAGCATGTCTGCTCTTGAACTCACACGAGCACAACGAACACTTGAAGGAATTTTCATTCACGTCTGCAACTTTGCTGGAATTTACAGCCTGGCGCGTCACCGGTTCACTGGCCATTTTAGCTGCCATGGCGTTGACATCAGTCACTTTGAATCCGAGATGGTTTTCCAAGTGTGAAACAAAGTGTCTGGGTGTGGTGGGCTGCGTACCACACTCCAAGCATTGGAACGAGGGGACTGGTGGTCTGGTAGTTCTTCACAAACTTGGCACTGCCGGCATGCCTGAGTCGGTACCGCACGTTGGCAACCCAGTGATTGATGGCTGTCATGGTCAGACCCGTGGCATGGGCTATGCCCACTTTGTCATCGTGGCTGATGTCGGGAGGGGGGCTGCGAGGCCGGCCCTCTGCCGTGTCCATATTGGATACAATATAAGCCTGTAAGATCATTTGGTGCACAGGATTCCACGAGGAATGTCGTCCTCGTCTACTCACTTTCACAGTGTCTACATGGCAGTTCGTGGCCCTGGGCGCTATTCGTCGGTTACCAGAACCTACCCTCTGCTCTTCTTTACTCGCTGTTTCACAAAATGTCCGACTAGAGGAAGCTAACCTACCAGAGATCCTATTGCTTGCTGTCATTCCTGCAGAATTGGTGGATGATAACAACTGGGAACGTCCGGGGAGGGGCTTGACATCTGGGCCAGAGCTGCTGTGGTTCTGCATCTTGAAGGCATCCTCAGAGCGTGTGGACGGTTCGCAAGACTGTGCTATTCTCCTCATGGCATCCAGTGGGTCCTCCTGCTTTGCCTTGCTGGCATTGGGTTTGACATACTTTTCAGTCACACTGGTGGTGGACAATGTAGACAGAACACTACTGCTGGATGGAATTGCACTGGTGGTTACAGTGGGAGACGGGGAGGAGTGAACCCTCAAGTCAACAGCTCCTTCCTCTTCCTTCTCCTCGACCTTAATTCTAGGAGTGGAAGCGATGACAGGACTTCTACGCTGTATCCATCTACTTTCTAACACACTAGTGGCAGGGACTGAATAGGCCCCTACAGAACTACTCTCCTGCCCAGCTGCTTTCTGCAGGGAGCAGTGGACAGTGTTTTGCAACAATTGGAGGATGTTGCCTTTGGAAGGCTGCTGGACCTCTGCGGTCTGCAGATACTTCTCCTCAATCCTCGGTTTGGAAGGTGTCTGGATCACAGAAGTGGACATTTCGGTGTTCCCATTTGTCTGACTCGGAGACACCTCCTTGTCCATTGAGTCATCCTGTGACTTTGACATTGATGATGATGGCGCCTGAGCGAGTAAGGGAACCCTCTCTGCCTTGCTTTCTTCTTCTGTTTTCTCTGGTCCATTGGGCACCTTGCTGAAGTGCCCAGTGTCCAGCATGTGCTGTGTGAGCATGTGGAGGGAATCGCACACCTTGCTGCAGGCCAGACATCGCAGGATTTGTTTCTTCTGCTTCTGGTACTGCAGACTGGCTCTCAAACTGTGTACTGTCATGGTCGTGGTGTGCTCCACATCCTCTTCTTTGTACATCTGTGGGAACAGTTCCTCAAGCTTGAATGGCAGGAGGGTGCCCACTGTTGCTGCACTACCACTAGGTTGAGCTGGCTCTTTCACAGCCTCTGTTGTGTCTGTAGAAGTTTGGGATGGAATGTTCAGAGTTGTTGGTCTGCAGAAGACTGGCATGGCACACTGTACTTCTGCTGCCTCAGCGTTTGGGCTGACCAGGCTGTTGTTCCCGAAGTAGTCAGTCAGATCTTGAGGAGCTTCCTCCGCCTCCTCCTCCTTCCCAAAGTCCCACTTTTGTGCAATTTTCTCATAGTGCTTTGTCTGCATCATGTGGACGGTGAGGTCCTGCAGTGTGTCAAAGGACTGTCCGCAGCCCATGCACTTCAACACAGCATCCGTGTGCTCCTTCTCCTCCATGTCCAGCATGGAGCGTTTCTTGGGCTTGGTGCTTTTCTGCGTGAGCCTCTGCACGCAGGTGCTCTGGCTGCGGAAGTGTCCAGTCTGAGACATGTGCACCGTAAGAGTAAACAGGGACTCGAACGCCTCCCCGCAATATTTGCACTTCAGCTTACCGGCCATTCCACCATTGTATGAGCGGTTTTGCCTCCGCAGGTTGGATCGGATGAAGATGCTGTAAGGACTGAAGAGGTAGTTTTTGGTGTCATAAGCAAAACTCCCTTGTGTCTGTGGAGTGCCTCTTATCTCCCCCGGCACACCCTCACTTAACTGACTCAAGGACTTGAGCGGGGATTCATCAAAAGCTACCTGTAAGGACCCATTTGGGAGATAGTCTGCTGGTGGGATTGCCCCTGCCCTCCATCCTGGGTAGACTCCATGCCCCAGAAGGGTTTGTTTCTCATCTCCGAGGAAGGTTTCTTCACTCTCAAGGTCCTCCTCATACTCATCATCAGCATCTGCGTGGAAGTCTCCGTCCAAGTCTTCTTGGAAGACGTCGTCATCGACTTCTTCTTCAAGTGGCGATGCTGACGTTGCTGCCCCCGCCGCTGCCGTCCCATCATCCACTGCAACAGGAACAGGAAACAAGTCATGTCAATGGAACGTCTACCTGCAGTTTCTACAGTGCATTGAACAAAGATGGCAGTGGGCAGTTAGAAGATGAGGCCAATCAGATATCAGGATTATATATTGTATGGCATCTTGACTTCCTGAACATCACCACATGATCTGTGGAAAAATGATACAGTTGCGGTCAATACGGTAAGCCATGGTTATGGTGGAATTTTTGGTGAGTAAAGCTTCCCAGTTCTTTTTTCCTTCATGTCGCCATTTACATATCTTACTAACAGAGCAGCTAATAATAATCCAGGATCAATTCAACCATGGTACAAATTATCCTGTTGACTCAGACAGTCTCTGTGTGCAACATTGGCTATGCCATTAGGATGAATTAATGAGGACTGGAACAGAATTGTTATTTGACAGGCCCATTTTTCAAGATTCTTCATGTACTTGGTAAGCTCTTTTTTACCTTCATTTCGCATTCACAGCACAATTCTTATTTTTAATTGTAAATTTGTCAAACCCTACATTTTGTACCTTTAAAAGTCATCTATCTTTGCAAGTAGTATGCAAAGACAAGTTATTAGGAGCTTTAGATTTTTTGACTGCAATAATCCCGAATATGCTTTGATTTTATTTTGTTATAACAAAGAAAAGAGTTCATGATCTATACCAACTATCACAATGTATTACAACTCAGCCTGATCCAATACTGATGTTTCTTTACTTTTTTTCCAAAATGTCCATCCAACATTGAAAACTACCTACAATCTTGTACAAGAGATTTCCTGGAGTGACCATTTACATGCTGTGATCTTGCTACTAGGCAAGAATAGAACTGCAAATCGTCTCTGCAGCAAGTTTCTGCTGTATTATATGAACATTCTGTTACAGACTTCCAATTACCATGATGTCATTGCATGTGAGAAAATTAGTGATTGAAAATGACTGTCAAAAGCTTTTGTGGATTTCAGTATATTTTCATGACACAATTCTTCTTGAAGACTTGTATTATGCATGTAACAAAATTTCTTCCCATTTTTACCACCATTATGAGGAAACACCTTAAAATTCACTGTCTCTACATAATGTTTGACAGTAGGAAACCATCTGTGGTCCACAGTTGAAAGAGACACAAATAAATGACTTTCATGACTTTCTTTCCTGTTTTCACTTTAAGAAATATTTGATTCCAACAGCAAGTTTGTAACTGCTGAGGGATTATTGAGGAATACATTACGCATAAAACACTGCAACCTGCAAGCAAATGAAGAGTATCATGTTACTTATTCCACACAATAAGCGTTCACATAAATTTGGACAATACTGTGCACTGGCCCGAGGCAGTCATTTGTGATCATGATTGTAATGTTTGGGAGGACTGTGCGCATGAGTACAGCACTCAGAGTACAGCAGGGAGAAAACAACTGCCTCCTCCGGGTTTACTGCTTGTAAATCAGTCACTAGCAGTTCATCAAGTTGTTCTGGTGAGCAATTATATAGCAAGGGAGAGTCATTGTTTGCAATGCAGTTCTTTGCATATAGAATTTGTGCCTCTATGAGTCAAGCTACATAAGTCAAGTGAATTAAAATACAAATTGATGCTCGATTTCGTTGTCTGTTACGATCTGAAAATTTTTCGTGCTTGAAAACGTTTCTGAGGTGTGGTCAATAAGGTGGGAAGCATGCAGGGTACACTTGCCTAGTTTTGAACCCGTGTTATGACCTTGCACACTTGCAAATCCTCTTGATACCTATTCAGCCCAGCTTTGAATGCTAAACCATGCCTTCCTCCTATTTGTTCTTTTGAATTCTTACACTGCCTCCAGGCTAAAACACAGCATTACCCGCCGACACTGTGGTCCCTGTTTTCTTGCAACACTTGTAATTACATTAACCCTGACCCAGCTGCTTTTCACTAGGCAATTACCTGATCTCAAAGCCCCCAGATCCCCTGACCTTTCTATATACCCCAGAGGTCCACACCAAATCTTTCATGTTGGAGAGGCCTTATTCCAAAGGACTTGCTAATTTCCATCCAGCAGGGGCCACCAAAGAGATGTGTTTTCTTTCTTCAGCCAGGGACTGCAAATTTGTTTGATTGATTAGACCATAATTTATACAAAAGAGGAACAAAGTACTGCAACCCCTTTGATCTTCCGCGGCTTTTGAGGGACTGTCTCTCCATCAGGCAATCCCTCCCTTCTAATTCTGGTGTGAATATAGTAAATGTAGATCACAGTTTTGCTTCAGATGTAAAATCATCCGACAGGTTGGAAATTGTTTACTATTTCCAGCTTTTTTCCATTCTACGATAATTCCATGCTTGATGATAATTCCTCAAGAACAAAGCTCTCTGACTCTCTGACTTTTATGTTCCACTCTTTATGCCCCGCACTCTGATTCTATCCTGAAAGCAGGCTCTCGCCCACCCTAACTGTATCACGTGAAACAAAAGACATGCCCACTTTCAATTCATGATGGGAATTAGCAGAGAAGGCGGCCGCCATAGTGGTCGGACATGGTAGATTTATCAAGCCTATCAATAATAATTGGATCAATGAGAAGAAAATTGCTGGTAACTTGAGGAGAGGACAGCTCTAAATGTCATTACCGTCCCTCACCCCAAAATGGCTCTGTTTATCTTGGCAAGCCTGTTAAGGATGCCATGAGCACATTACCCTCTAATAGGTGTAAAGTTTCCATTAGGGAAAGTCCGAGAGAAATGGGGAAAGTATGAAGTCAACATGTTCCCCTGATCACGTCTGTAGACTGAGATATTAGTACAGATATTGTCTCCTGCAGCATACTGCATGCACGCATTCTTCTCTTTATCACTCTTGCCTCATAAATAGAACTTTGTAGGCGAGGATCATATTACAAATAGGTTTCAGGAGAATTTTGACAACTGTCTGTGCAGACAGGCAATTTCCATCCTGCACGCACAGCCATATATGGGCACAGCCGGTGTGACCTCTTCAAACAGTGCCCATTTAAATTGCCATTGATTAATGGTTGTCAGTCACCCTTGATCTTGCGCAAACATCCCATGCAGGTTTTAAATCCAAAATTTATGAGCGCCTATGGCACGCCAACAAAATCCTATGGGCAACCATGACAGGCGCTCATCTATCAAGGGCAAGGGCAAACACAAGAACTTGTTTCCCATAATTTTCTTCACAAATTATGGCCTGCAGCTGTTTTCATTTTCCCCACAGATACAGATGTATGCTGTAATCCAAACTATTATAATTTAGTACAATTACAAGGGCCCCTGTGGTTATTCTGGGAGAGCTACGAACGTGAACTTCACACCCCTGAATTCTTGCCAAAATTTTGTTCTTCCCAAAGAATCCCAAAACTCCACAAAATTGGACTTCTGGTCCCAAATTGGTCTTGCTTCTTGACGAGAGACATCTCCTTTTCCTAGGGATTTAACCTCCATCTATTTAGCACATTTGTGTAATTCTGTCCATCGGAGGGGGTTACCCTGCACGATATTGTATGCATAAAGGATCTACATGTCAGCCATGATGAATAGTTGTCATTCATTTGGAATCCTCCATGGCAGTTTTCTGCATCCGGAATATAAATCACGGGGGGCTCGGCATTTTCCAAGTCCATTATCAAACACTACATCAAAGGGCTTGCTTTGTAATTGAAATCTGTCAGTGTCAAGGGCTGCCAAGTCTTTTGAGCCAATTTCATTGGGAGGAATTTAACGAACACGGGTAAATGAGTGCAATTGGTTTCGCCTTTCAAACGCACAATTTACGTGAAAAGCCGCTGACAGCCATGATGAAGAAAAATGAAAATTAACCCTTGTTGAAGGTGGTATTGAACCAGCATCTTAAGGTGCGAGCTGCTTCGATCTGCACATTTAACTTGGGATTTCTTCTCCAATACTTGAAATTGTCCCAAGTGTGTAAGAGCCAAAAAAGCACATTTGTCTAGTCTATAAATAGAGAAGAAAGAAGAACGTTCTAGACAAAAAAAATCGCCATACCTTTCTGTTCTGCACATAACAGTAACCAAGACATACACATGTGTTACCTATGAAGGATGGCGGCAAAAATATTTCACAACCAAGACTAATTTCAAATGCATTCTGAAAATGTCAGCAGAAGATGACTGCCATTAATAATATTTAGTGCCTTGGTAGACTGGACACACCTGTTATGGAAGAAAGACATAAATCACACTATCTGTGTATCCTTGCTAAAGTGTGCCGCCTCGCCTCAAGGGATCATTTAAATACAGACAGGTGGTGGCCACAAATGCCTTTCTTCTTTTATTGACATAAATCCATCCTAAACAAATTTGAGGCCTTTGTCTGGATGAGTACACCGTACACCGACGCACAATGGCGCCTGCTTCAGCACAAAAGAACAATAAAGCTGGTGCCTTTTTGGAATCACTAAAGCCAGATTACAGATGTCTATCATTCGCTGAAAACCTGGCAGGTCCTGTTTACTGTGTTCTGCCTGAGTGTGAGAGGAGAAAAGGGTTCGACAACCCACCAACCATAGAGACTGCAGATGTTTCCACTGGTCTCTCCACTTACAGGCTGGGATGAAAAATGATCAACAGCTGCCATACATATGAGCGCGGCACCAGGGGAGGAGACTTCCCTGTTTACAAAAGGAAGAAATGGGGTCAACAGGTCTCTGATGACAGTTCAAGGTAAAGATTTCTTGGCCGCCAAATGCAGTAGTGACCTGCCTGTGATCAAGGTTCAAAATGTGCCAAAAAATGTCTGTACCTTCCTCTAACTGTCAAGTCATCACTCTGGTGATGCAGACAATGTGGGTATCGTGAAAAGAAATCTGGGTTTAGTCCACCCCTTGCTTGAGACAATGTCTGTGTGTGCCAGCAGTTGTCACTACTTGCCATTACCAGTGAGAAACTAGTACTTTCAGGAGACAAGGCCAGACCTTCCCTAAGATAAACATAATCCCAGTCCTTTGATGTTGTCATGACTCAGCTGGTCCTCCATCTCCCTCTGCAGCTGAGCTCCACTCCTGCAAAATATAATCTGATCTTTTCCAAAAGTTCAAAAACGTAAATTTATCCCCAGGATTCCAAAAATATGCGCCTAAATCTAGCAGGCTATAAAAACAAGCAAGAAGAATCACCTTCAGAGCAGATGGGGCCTTAATGACTCGGGATGCCAAGGAGATAAATCACTTAAACACTGCCAAAAAAAAAAATATAATATCAAATGGCAGACTCGAAACCTTGGCTCCTGATAGGTTCGCAAATACCTACCATCAACGGAAAACAATTTGTTTGCGAATCATCTTTCCATCACCTGTGATGTGCTCAGTGGCCTCTGTCTTCATCACTGGGACTTCAACATCACCATAGCTTATTGTCATGCCAACTCCCATTACAAAACAAGTGTGCATCAATCATGCTTATCTTAATTTCCATAAATATTACCCAAAGCTTCGAAATTATGAGGTGTCAAGACATACCCCAAGGTGGGAATACAAGCATCATTATTTGCTTCCCAGCACCTGGTGGGAGAGCCTATTAAAAATCCTCTCCTCAGGGACACTCACCTTGGTGAATAATAATGCAAATGAAGTGTGTAAGATCTACTACAATTGCAAAGATAACAGTCCCTCTGTAGAATAACAATGGATGAGGAGAAAAGGGGGAAGACTGATGGAAAAGTACATGGCTAGAAAGCCTTCCTCCTGGCTTGTTATCCATGAACAGGGGACCTCTATTTCAGAGGTGGGAAAACCACCTGTTGTCCACCAGTCATGCATTTAATAACAAGAATATCACGAAAACCCTCAATCCATCCTCCAAATGTATCAAGGAGGACAATATTCCAGGAGATTCTGCTAAAAATAAAAGTTTGGGCCTGGAAAACTTTTTGGTGGTCAAATCCCTAGCAACCATCACCTACACAAGCTACTTAGGTCAAAGGGTAAAGGTCAGTAGATTCAGTGATAAACACTCCAGCCAAGCTTGTTTACAAAACAGCACCTCTCGTAAAACTACTTCAAAGAGACCGATCCGACATAAAAGCCTATGTTTATGCACATGAACAAACACGGAATCGGCAGAAAATGTCGTCAGGCTATAGGCGAAGTGAGTGACAAGTTGAGGGGACGTGTTGGTCTACGATCACCCCTCCATGTGAGCGCACACGTGCGCGCCAACCCTCCTCCACAACACTTGCCCAAGTGTGCGTTACCAGGTCTGACGGCCAAGTTTGCACGGCGCGCGGCAGCCTGCAGCCGAGATAGGGCTGTGATTGCACCGCCCTGGCTGCCATCACTCACTGCCTCGCAGCCTGTCAAGCTGTCACCCTCAATCCACCCCCATCATTCATTACCCCAACACTGATTGATAGATGGCGATTGTCTGGCTGCCGCGCACAAAGCAGTCCTCCATCTTGAATTTTCTCTAGATTCCCCACTTTTTCACGCATTTTTCGGACATTTCGGACAAACTAGAGACACAAAAGTGATCCCCCAAGCATCCCAAATCAGCCGCCGATGTTTTTGACAGCTGTCCGACACGATTATTTACAATCCGACTGCAACCAACCCAGCCCATTGTTCTGGGTGCGGGCTGCGCCCAAGAACCCCGAAACTTTGACAAAATCTTACGTACATCTCACTTTCTTCGGACTGTGCTGCTTCCTACGAGGCATGGTGATCGCTGGCCGTCAGCTGGGCGCGAAAGTTCCGGGTTCGAGGCCCGTGCGAAGTGCCTAGAAGCGGTTGACACAGCGCTCACGCACACCACTGCCTCCTTACCGCCGTCTGTATGGGTCCGCCCTGCGCACGCGTACTCTGAGGGCGACGAAACACTCGCAGCCTGCACAAAAATATAAAACGACCTACCTTACGGTACAATACGTATAATCTAGGATATAAAGATAAAAATAGAAACTATAAGTAATGTTTTGCATAATCTAGCAATTACTCGGCCGATAGACGGATGTATTTGGCGTTGAGCAGGATTTCAATACTGTCTGTGTTCGTTCTATCGCCCGTATTAAACTCCAGGAGTAAGGGGCAAAGGTGAAGAGGCGGGAACACTTTGTATACACGTGTTGCAAGATTTGTTTTGGTCGTCCCGCAATGTTTACTTTTTCGCACGAACTGGAAGTGCTGTTATTTTATTCAAAATATCCCCTCTTTATCCATCATCCCTTGTTGTGCTTTGGAGATCTCGTTGTTTTTGTTGGGTGAATGGGAAATGTAGACATGGCGCCTTGAAACCATAAAGTCACAAAATTGGGATGAAAACAATATTGTTAACTAACAACCTATGTTCTCGTTTTATATGAATTCTATCTTAATTGGCACCATTGTTGCCGGCTGTTACTAGATCTCTGACTGTGTACCATCAAATAACAGAATTTCAGTTGTTGCTTTTTCCTGACAAACTTGTCAGCCACCTGTTCTCTCTCGTTGAAGTTGTGACATTTTCCAGCCTTTCGGTGTTCCATTCCCGGAAAGACCACATTTTGCTTGTTTCCAATTGAGGTATAATTACAAAAATCATTTCTTTCAAAAAATGACACTGACAAATGAGTTAACGAAAATGGGTCGCCGTCATTCGAGTCTAGCAGACAGGAAGTCCATCCGAGGATGACTATTAAAAGTTGGACAGGTGCCCTCCATTGTATGTGTACATTACATGTACCATCAAGTTTTTCAAGTTACTGATAATGTAGATGTTATCATCTAGCCGATTCTTTCACTGTACGGACTGTGTTGGATCATGAGCCTAGGATTGCCAAATAATAGAATGTTTATTGCAAATACATGCCCGAGGGCTAACTGCGAGGATTGAGCAGACCTCCGTACGCGCATGTCGCCCGTCACAGAGGAACCACCGCAACAACCGTTGGTGCGCACAAGCTCGTAATGTGTGTGTCAAGAGACTGGAATTTCTTAGACTTTTATACACCTTCTCGAAGGACCCAAACCCATAAGTAGCTGAATTAGAAATGGTTTTAGAATAGTTGTTGCTCCATGCTCCACCATTTAGCTATGTTTTTCAATTGTCCGAGTTACGATGCTGTTGTTTGGCCCTCGGGTACTACTATGTGCTTGCAAATACGACCGAGTTCGCGCGCATTTGAATCACATTTATCCAATACACGTGTACATGTGATTGTAGCAAAGTTTTCGAATGTGTGCAGTCCCATACGATTCAAACATTTGGACATTGGCGCTAAAGGATGTAACTTTATGTACGATGTAGCTTTGTGGAATGGGACCGTCACCAAACCACAAAGTTTTGCTCAAAGTTTCAAAAGTTATGATGGAAAATGGCGAGCCACAGGCGAAGTTTGACTGATTCAGGAGGTTTGGTAATCTCCAAGCAGATCTTTTGGTGGCTGTAAAATCAAATTGGCAAGGCAGTATCATTGGCAGGGCAATGCGAATACGAAAAAAAATACCAATTTTGAAATTGGTATCTTTTTTTCATGCCCTGAAAGACAGATAAAAACGCGTAAAAAAATAGTTCAAAATTAGCTGAAGCCTACACCTCTACTCGGAGAGGCAATGCATGTTTGGTACTTTTACATGTGTCGCAATTGATCACTATAATTCAAACATGCGATTCGTTAAGTAGCTTCACTAAAAAGCTTTAGGTTCCTTACCTGCGGGGGAAAGTACAATACTGGCCAAGACCACACCTTCAACATTCGTGCCAACCGCAGGCCTGTTTAGCCCAGAAGTGTTAACCGCCCAGTGAGCAGTTCTAGACTGTTTTAGATAAGAAGTTATAGAGCAGTAATATTGAGTCACAAAAACTTCTAACTTGATGATACGCATCAGAAGTGTTAAAAGAGCATAAAAATAAGATCTTCGATGGATAGGAGGGATACACGTGCTTGGTCAAACACACCATTGCATTTGCAACGAACAAATAAGGAAACAAGAAGATATAATGTAGTCTGCAGAGATGAAGAGATTTTACGACTAGAAAATTGAACCGGTGAAGACAATCAATTATGGGATAAACGTCTAATCTGGCAGGTTGGCGGAGCGGTGACAGAGAGCCCTAGATAAACAGGCCGTTTGCAGAGTACCACTGATAAGGCCGGGTAACGCTCACTTATCATTCCGAGATGTTCACGCCTAATTTTTCAACTTAGGAGGTTATTTTCGTGCTTGCGGGGGCGCTCGCTTCAACGTACCGCCTTCCGTACGGGATTTTTGGAGTATAACCGTAAAGACACGGGTCGCCCCTGCCCTCTTCGGGCGGGGGCTCTTATGAGATAACGCAGCATCGTCTGGAAAATATCAGCCTCCTTAATAGATGGAGGTTTGCATTGATCGTGGACGTGACCCGAGAAGGATGTTAGCGCCCAGGTCTTTGTGAAGTATCCGGGGTAATTAATCGATCTCCTTGAGTGATGGACGATGGGTACGAAGAGGTTGAAAAGACTGTATAGACACTTAAGCCGAGGAGAATTCCGATTGCCTTAAGATGAAAGCAGGTGGTTTTGTGAGACGATATTGGTTTCCACTAATACCTGTACCTGTAAACTTTGATGTGGAATAGCACTTTTTGTCCGTGTTGAGTGTGCAGTTCGCGGGCTTTGGAGTAGAACTACACGGCGCCAGTAGGCGTCATGTTCACGGCTGTAGAAGTTTCCGGTACAGGGAGAGTTGGAGTAGCCATCCGTTTTTGTACCTGAAGTGCTGGGATTCCCGGTTACAAAACGGATGGTACCCAGGCTAGAGCTGGAACGCTGCGTCAGAGGCAGTAGATGTATGCACTATATACACAAAACCGCAACGCTATCAAAATAAAAACTAAAAGATTGTGTTAAATGTGCCTGTTTGAGTCAGGAAATTCGAAGAAGATGGGTCCGTAGATAATACACAGACTGGGATGGAATCCAAATCTCCTGGCTTCAAGCGGTCTATGATCTACCGCAAAGACGTCTCAGTAAATTTATCCCAAGTTGATGCCAGGCCATAAAAACATTCAGGCAACAGAGAGATATAGCTATCATATCAAGAAAACACCAGTTCTCCTATCATAGACGTGATCTCAGACGTCACATAAATTTTATTTCTCCCGCCAGACAACAGACAAAGCTCCTGCCACGACACTGTTGGTCGTTGAAAGGCGGTTGAACAAACTTTTAACAGTTGTATTCTAGTCTCCTGTGCATCGTTAATCATGCCAATTTCTATAATTGTTCCATATAAAACGACCAATGAATCATTCAGTGTTGTATTCATTAAACGAGTAATAAAGATCCAGCTACCTTAAGTTCCCAATTTCTTCAATGGACGGCCATCACACAGTCTACAAGGCGGGTTATGGCCACAGATTAATCACCACAGCGCCCCCACTCTCAGCGGTCCATGTGTGGTTAGCACGCGAAGGGACAAGATGTGCGAGGGTTTTCAGACTACATGTATATCCTTTCACTGAGATGGTTTGATAGAGGGCAGGTTTTTCCGCGAACTAGGTTAGCTGGCACAACCCGCCAGGTGACATCAAACCTCTCTGGAGTCAGCATCACCCGCCAAGAAAGGTGGGTGATGGCGGGTAGGATGTGGTATGTAACGTTAGAGCATACAAAAGAAGGATGAGATTTTTCCTACGGATCCGTAAATACAGTGACAGCTTAACATCACAACAAACTTTGAAAAAAAGTTAAGTATTAAACTCAGCTGCAGTTGGGAACAATGGCACCTTTACATCTCCTTACATTGGTGTGTAACGCCTAAATTACTTTGTCTTTTCTCATTCCGCAACAATTCAAGACGCCATCATCAAATGACAAAGAATTTACGTCTGCTGGCAAACTGCCTAAAAGCTTTCACCAATAAGAGGAATAATTATAACAACTGTTTTACTTTCTGTGCGCTCTGTCGCGGCGCATCATTTGGGCTACCGCATCGAAACAGCTTTCCAGTAGCATGTTGAACTTTGTTTCCCGCCCTTTTTTGACGAATTGGAAGATGATTTGTGGGGGTTGAGTTGACTGGGAGACATGCCGGAATGAAATGATACGACTATAAAGAGAAGAGCCATTATTCTCGTGCCAACATCTGTGCCACCCTTACTTAGGTTTGGATATAACGACACCTTATACCGTCTACGTGACATAAAGAAAGTCACGCACCATGTCACATGTCCACATATGTACCGTTGTCTTATAAGTAACCATTTGAAAGAGTGTTGGATCTGTAATCTTGTTAAAGCTGCTTGAATGCAACTTTCTTCTGACGACATCTTAGATAACCTTTGTTTCATAAAGAAAGCCACGTAAGTTGGGAACCTTATGTTTAATTGAATTGTTTGTCTGTGGCAGACATTTGATGTGTTAAGGGTAGGCATTTTTTCTATATGTACCTGTCTTCTTCTGTAGAAGTTGTCTTGGTTTTTACTTCGTTTAGTTGTACCCCCCATGTGTTTAGTACACTTATTTGTTTTTTCTTGTAAATAAAGCAATAAAGAGAGAAGAAGAAGAATAAAGAAAGTCACGTACAGTACTATGCAACATGTACACAGCCAGTGTATGTTCTCTAGTTACATGTAATGTTTGAAAGTAACCCATTTGAAGAGTGTTGAATTGGGAATCCAAGTTAATCAAGACGCTTGAATATTGATGAAGTTTCTTCTATAGATCTTATGGATCTCCATTGAGCAAGTTGCCACAGAAAATCGATGAGCGCTGATTGGCTGCTAGCACTACCTTGACCCCGCTCATGACCCCCGGCTAGGTGTTAGATGACGTAGTTAAGGCGCGCGGTCGATGTGTGACTACAAATCAGAATAAAGCTACAAATCTTACCGAACGTCACCTGGTATGAAAATGACAGCGCACACACGCTTGACTAGTTTCAAAAAGCAACACTGAAATAGTTTTTGTACCAAAAACGACCCTAAAAGGAAAGTTTCAGAATGACTGCCTGAATGTGATCTCACAACATCCCTCATACAGCACGGAATACCCATAAATGTAAGCAAGAGGCGAAAAGTGTTAAAAGATTCAAGCCGAAATCCTCTTGGCGTCGTATGAGCGATGTGTCCAATCAGGGTTGGGTGAGGTGACCATTCCTCACACGGCCGGAGAATGCCATTAACTACTCCAAACAAAGCTTTTCAGTGCAGAGGATCCGTGAAGCTTTAACCTGTTTAGCACTGCCCACTGGGCGGTTTACATCACCCAGAAACACAACATTTTCACATAAATGTCCAAAGAACGCATGGTACGATATGATCAATCCATCACCCTTTGCTTTCGATCACGCCCTCGTCTTGCATGGTCTTCTTCACTTAATCTTAGTTACAGTCATTGCTCCACTTGCATACACGCGGAATACTATATCACAACTCCGAGCCAATATCACAGCAATCTCCATAACTCTTGTCTATCTTCCCGACTTTCCCACATTAAGGGTGCATTTTCAGCGTGCGCCACTTGATGGCATCTAAACCTGTGTTTACTAACGACAAAAGTTAGACGCCAGATCTAGCCCGGGTTTGTTGATTTTCCCATACAGGATGTTATTACTGGGATACGTACAGGTTATGATTTGGTACGTATACCGGGGCACGCTGCGAAGACTCGACGTACTTTGGGAAAGGTCCCTCTAGATAGTCTGTTATGTAACGACGAAAGTACTGCTGTTGGAAAGTTCAAAGGTTGGGACGCACTAGGACGAGTTAGATACATTAGATGAATTTGTTTTTTTTTTTTTTTTTTACTTCTGAGAAAAATCCAAACACAAGTACATACCATTATGAAGCAAGTTTGATCTGTAATTTCCAACACAAGAAAATGGACATACCCAAACTTAGACTGTACAACTCCAGTCTTTGTCAAGGAATGAGCAATGTGTCTCCTGTATTACGTGATGTTACAGAAGCAGTGGATTGGTCTTTCCTAGGCGAAGACTGGAGTCAAGAAGTCGAATTACTTGTGTTGAAAATTACAGTTTAAACCTGCTTCGTAATGATTTCTACCAATGCATGTCCGTGATTGTCAATTATTAAAATGGTGCAATCGTGTTCCTTGTCTATAGCACGCATAACATCATATGGCCAGTATTCATGATGCTTCAGATATGTATTAGATCTTGGCTATCAGCGAGCCAGGCTCAAAACGAACTAAAAAGAAAGTTTTAAGTCTCATCATCACGTCTAGTTTTCTTTCTAACAATCTATACACAACTATCTTTGAATCAAGTATGTTATTTGAGGACACAGTCCATGCATGGATTCTCCATTCGTTGATATTCCTGTTTTCAGTTTTTGTGTTTGTTTGTTTATTTATTTATTTTCATGCTGTACCTGTACACGTACATCAATTCCGACTTGCACGAAGATGAAGGATATTTCAATTCTATAGCTACTTCCTACATGTGTCCTCGGGCTGACACAGACTGCATAACGGATTGTTAGATGGCGACAGAGGATAGCAGTTCCAAGCAAAACTTTTTATCGAAACATCCTAGATCAATATAACAAATGGCCAGGTGCCGTACACGAGGTCCGCTCATGGCTACTTCTGACAGCATAATCCCGAACTTAAGCTTGTGAATAATAATGGGGCTATTATCTCCAATGCCACGTACAAAGCACATGTTTCCTCGGACATCGTTTAGGCCGATAATGTGGAAAGATCTGCCAATATCCGATAGACGTTACATACGCTAACTGCCGACGGTAGCAAGCAGGCACATCTCGTATACAGGTGATATACTTGATGTGTTAGGTATGCCGACTGCGTGCAGCCACCTCAACTTTGGAGAGGGGGGCGTCTTGTTCAGGTAGCTGTGCTCCCTTGGCGGGGTGGCGGCGTCTGGAGCCGACTAAAGCCAAAGGAGACGGTTTCTTGGCTCCCGGCACACACAGGCACAGGTACGTGATACGTATGCGTTATCAGATTCACGTTCCGCAAGAAATACATGTAGTTTCTATCTACCTTACAGATCTCACAAACTTGCAATTTTAGTAACGTTAGTTGACTTCATGCCAAGTTCATTGAAGTCCATCATAGCGTTGTTTTCGCAGGTATCCTCAGTTCGCCAAAGTGTGCCTGTCGTCAGGCGTCTGAAATTGACTTTAGAAACACGCCACGCTTTACTAACACGAGCAACGGCAGCCGGTCAACCGACGTAATTGCGTGAAAAGTCTAACAAAACTGATATATAGCTATATACTAGTAGCTGAGTCAAGTATTGAGATCAGCAACTTTAGTCGTCTTTCTATAGATATCTTTGAGATGATGAGCCTTCAAATTTTGCAAGTGTACATGTGGTACACATATTTCAACTCCATATAGCATGGAAGGTTGGTGTAGCTGATAATTGTCGTTGTAGCTCTACCAATACACAGGTACCTAATAGGCCTTCCGTGCCAATGCCTTTACTTGTGGTACACAATGTACACAGTAAGCGGTGGGCCTGGCCGGAGAGAACACAAAATACTAGTCTATCAAAAACGTACAATACGTCATTCCGTCTGAGGACAGTCATGTTTTACAACTTGGCCATCACATCAATACAGACAGAAAAATAATGATTTACAAAGACACAACTCTTGTCACATTCTTCACACAAATATTACTCCGTAGCTTCGTTTTGGAGATATTAATACAATCCTGGTGTGCTTTTCAATGGCTCGGTATAAATAGAGGGTGTTATGTCACAGCAAGCTCCTTGGTCATAGCCAATAATATATTGCCATAAAACTTTTTTGATAAATAAGATGCTCATTCTCTCTGACGTTTAAAAATAGATATTGGTCGTAGTAGTAGTGTTTCAATGACTTGACATGTGGTGTAGTATCATATTTCATGTGAATGTTTTAAAAAGTCATTAAAACAGACATCAATTTTTACTGTCTTTGCACCCTTTCTTTCTTTTGGATAAAAATTCAACCTGTTCCTGTATGAGTCTTCTTCCTTCTGAATGGTTCCTGCCAATTTAGTGGCATAACATTTGTGAACCATAATGATGTTTTTTTTCTCTCATTGACGTATAAAAATAGATATACTTACAGACTTTTGTATGAAAATATACTATTTCTTAAAAGACCTTATTGGCCCAATATATATTTTGATTTCAGGTCATTCTTAAAAAGTCCCAACTCGTTTCACCGCTTCAGATAGATGGACCTTACACCCTCTCCTGGTTGTCCAGCCACATCGTGAGTTTGCTGGCTACCTCAGAAAGCAGCCTCCTGGTGTGAAAGTCCTGGTACTGGCGGTAGGCGGCGTCGAAGGTGACGTCGCTGGGGGTGGCGCCCTCATGGCAGGCCGACAGTTCCTCGCCGTCGGGAGACTCCCACGGGCAGGGATCGTCGGGGATGTAGTTGACCAGGACCCGCTCTCCAGCGACCACGTCTCGGTAGATGAGCGCCACTCTAGACAGGCGGGGATCGCGGTACGTACCTGGTGGTGGACCCGCTGGTGCCTTTCTCTTCGGCTGGGGTCGAGAGTCGCCTTCGACCTCGTCGACTTTCCTCTTCTGCCGCTTTCGACGGACCCTCGATGCACCAGCAGTCGTCTTCTCAGAAGCTGACCGCTTGGCTCTGCGGGAAGAGGGAGCGGCTCGACGGACAGCCCGACCGCGGCTGTGACCGGCCGTGCCTTTCACGTCGCCTTCCCCCTGATGGGCAACAGTTGCCTCTCGGGGCGACGCCACAGAGTCACGGCGATCATCGGTACGCCCAGTGGTCTCAGCAATCTGGGAAGCGGTTGCTAGGGAGACAAAATGGATAAAGTCGGACAAGTTGGACGATAACGGTAACTTCTGATGAGACAATAGAATCATACATACTTAGAAAGGTAGTTAAACTGAAATAAATGGATCAGTGGGGAACGTGGGAGATGATATTGTGAAATTACCTCAGTGTCCGAATGTTAGTGACTGTGAACGTCACGCGCGCGGGACTAACCATGACTCTCGGTGTGATCCACTTCCACACCGACTGGTTCAGCTAACCAGGATGCCATGACGCTCCAGATGCCAGGACGCTCCTGACGGACAGACGATCTCTCCTTCCCGCCATCACCCTGGCATACATCTCGCGTCTTTGTCTCCATTTCTCCGGGATATGTGTGGAAAAGTTGGTGAAAAGTGTCAAGTTGTGTTTGCTACACAAGGTCGCGTTCGAATTTGACAACACGCAGGCGCCGCGTCCCATTTGTGACGTCTTGGAGAGAACATTCGAACAGCAGTTCGTTTTCGAAAAAAACAACGTCACGCGACTGACAGATTATAAAAAATATATTGCAAAACGTGCCATGCCTACAGTGAGGCTAAGGACATGAAAAGACTTTGTTTAAAATCTGCCAGATCAAGTTCATATATTTTATACTGTGATTGAATCGCCGACAAATCAGACAAAACGTCGCGAAGTCTGTACAAGTTTGCCTGTGACGTTGTTTTCCCGAAAACGAACTGCTGTTCGAATGTTCTCTCCAAGACGTCACAGATGGGACGCGGCGCCTGCGTGTTGTCAAATTCGAACGCGACCTTGTGTAGCAAACACAACTTGACACTTTTCACCAACTTTTCCACACATATCCCGGAGAAATGGAGACAAAGACGCGAGCTGTAGGCCAGGGTGATGGCGGGAAGGAAAGATCGTCTGTCCGTCAGGAGCGTCCTGGCATCTGGAGCGTCATGGCATCCTGGTTAGCTGAACCAGTCGGTGTGGAAGTGGATCACACCGAGAGTCATGGTTAGTCACGCGTGACGTTCACAGTCACTAACATTCGGACACTGAGGTAATTTCATAATATCATCTCCCACGTTCCCCACTGATCCATTTATTTCAGTTTAACTACCTTTCTAAGTATGTATGATTCTATTGTCTCATCTGAAGTTACCGTTATCGTCCAACACGTCCGATTTTATCCATTTTGTCTCCCTAGCAACCGCTTCCCAGATTGCTGAGACCACTGGGCGTACCGATGATCGCCGTGACTCTGTGGCGACGCCCCGAGAGGCAACCTTTGCCCATCAGGGGGAAGGCGACGTGAAAGGCACGGCCGGTCACAGCCGCGGTCGGGCTGTCCGTCGAGCCGCTCCCTCTTCCCGCAGAGCCAAGCGGTCAGCTTCTGAGAAGACGACTGCTGGTGCATCGAGGGTCCGTCGAAAGCGGCAGAAGAGGAAAGTCGACGAGGTCGAAGGCGACTCTCGACCCCAGCCGAAGAGAAAGGCACCAGCGGGTCCACCACCAGGTACGTACCGCGATCCCCGCCTGTCTAGAGTGGCGCTCATCTACCGAGACGTGGTCGCTGGAGAGCGGGTCCTGGTCAACTACATCCCCGACGATCCCTGCCCGTGGGAGTCTCCCGACGGCGAGGAACTGTCGGCCTGCCATGAGGGCGCCACCCCCAGCGACGTCACCTTCGACGCCGCCTACCGCCAGTACCAGGACTTTCACACCAGGAGGCTGCTTTCTGAGGTAGCCAGCAAACTCACGATGTGGCTGGACAGCCAGGAGAGGGTGTAAGGCCCATCTATCTGAAGCGGTGAAACGAGTTGGGACTTTTTAAGAATGACCTGAAATCAAAATATATATTGGGCCAACAAGGTCTTTTAAGAAATATGTATATTTTTATATAGAAGTCTTAATATGTATATCTATTTTTTATACGTCAAAACATCCCTATGGTTCACAAAAATTTCGCCACTAAATTGTCTGGAAAAAAATTCAGATACACAGAGCTATACAGGAACAGGTTCACTTTTTTATCTAAATGAATTTATGGAGAGGCAATTGTGCAAACACAGTAAAAGTGATGTCTTGATGACTTTAAAAACATTTGCATGAAATGATACTACACCATGTGTCAAGTCATTGCTGTACCACTACTACCACTTTGTACTGATGAGCAATGTGTAAAACATGACTATTATATGATGGACTGACATGGTCCAAATGACTTTGTTGTGGTCATTATTTGTAGTGAAACAAGTTTAAGTCCTACATTTAAATTTGTGTATCATTAGTGTTAAAATACCATCAAACCACAAAGTATCTTTATACAAGCCCAGGACCTTTCCCATGGTGTCTGTCACAGGGTTACAAATCACATCACATCAACATGTATCAGTGGTTAAAACTCATTTTAATGAAGAACGAGTCATAGCACACCAACATAGTATGCTAAATGCCATTTCAAGGTATTCGTGGAATCTAACAGATAAAAGCTTTTGTGAGTGTGGGTGCATATTATGAATGTGTGTTCCTGTATGTGTGTCTGTGTCTGTGTCTGGTATATCCAGGAAGTATATTTTAAACAGGAGGTGTCAAAATTACTCTTGTATCCTTCTTTGAAATTGTTAACTTCAGCAGAAAGAGGAGGTTTATTACACACAGGGAGATTAAAATTGATAACTACATGTAATTAAGTAAGGTTTAAAATTACAACAAAATAGAATTACCACCTACATTTGTATTACTAGCAGTAGCATTGAAGTCTAGTGATGCATTCATGTAACAAACACTATGTCAGCAATCATGTTCATCTGTTTGTAGGACAACAATGTTTCTTCCCTTTGGTAATCTGATCTGGATCTGCACAGCAATATGTAATGTTAACATTCCACTTGAGAATAGGCCAACAATGCATAAACAGCGAAAACACAGAATTAAACTTTGCACTTAATTGGAATGACAATGACGTTACATCAACATACACAACCTGGTGTATTTACCTAAAAATGTCTCTAATTTCTAGTTTACATGCAGTATAGCTAAATATGGTAACAATGTAGGAACATAAACATTTGAACAGGTCCTTTATATTAAGAGCTTTCTTATTTTTTGTACACATGCATAGAGCCTAAAACTAGTTATCTTCTTCTTCTTCCTCTATGTCTGTGATGTCTTCCAGTTTGTCCAGTTCTGTCTTGAGTTCCTCGATGGCCCGCCTGAGTTTGGGGAGTTTTTCCTCATCCCTGCAGTCCCGCAGCCAGCGGCAGCACTGCTGCAGCACGGCTTCCTTCTGCAGGAAGAAGTGCCTTCTGATCACGTCTTCAAAACCTGCACACACAAAAATATACCTGGTTAGCTGACGATTTGGGCTTTGAAAGCCTGTGGAGATATAAATATACCCCACTTAGCTGGTGGCTTTGGTCTTTAAAACCCCGCAGAGATACAAATTCATACAGTTAGCGGCTGATTCCATTTTTAGTAAAACACTGCAAAGATGCAAATATATCCACTTAGTTGCAGATTTAATTTTTCTGGTGGAGATGGCATCACATTAAATCAGCTGCAAACAAGATAGAAATAGATCCATTTTGCTGATGGTAAGAATCTGATAAAACTGCTGAGAAGTAACAATACAGCAGTTAATTGCTGGTTTGAGGACAGCTGGAGGTGTCAGTAATGAACAAAAGGGATGATTGTCAAGGCTGGGGGAAGCAATTAGGAAGTGATGGAGTGTTGATTAAATTTGTAGCAAGCATGCTAAATTTTGGGTCTTCAATAAACATTCAGACTGTGGTTGGAGAGCAGGTTTACAAAATCTTTCTTTTTTTAAAATGTTTTTTAAAAACTTAATTATCACGTACAATACATTGTACAGAAAGTATAGTACATACATAGTAGGTTTACAAAATGGTGCCTTTTCTGACTGGTGCACAGAGTTTAAGTAGTGTACTATGAGCCAAGAGAAAACCTACCAACAGGAGGCTGTCTGATCTGGTGCAGCATGGCCCATCTCACTGTGTCCACCTGTAGCTTGTTATTGTATTTGGCACTTTGTTCCTGTGTGGAATAGCCAAAAAATATGTGACATACCGATAATGTAAAGCAGTCTTGTAAAACCAAGCTACAATTCTTTACCTATGCATTTTGATATTTTGTATATGATATCCTTTTCAAGCAGTGCATGACTGAATTAGGAAATACTAGTACTAGATACTGATGGCAGTTTATTTATTTATTTTTATCTATTTATTTATTTATTTAATACTTCTTTTAGTTTGCAAATACCACTCTAGATACATCTAATGCCAGATAACACAAAGCAATGTGAAATAAATAGTGAGTTTCAGTTAACAAGCTTATGGATATAATGCTTAGATCAGATGCATTTACTCAGATGTACACAAGCTCTGTCAGGGCATCACGTGTGCAATGATGTATCTGCATGTTTAAACTGAAGTGAACAGCAGATGTTTACCTCAGTCTCAGCCGTCCCCTTCATCCCATCATACCCCGGTTCATTGTACATGGGGTCTGAGATGAGAATGAGGCTCTGGATGGACACCAACACCTGTAGCATGATGGGAAAAATTTGTTCTCTTACATTCTTTATGATCTGTCACATGTAACTTAACTGTGTGTTAACAATCTACATACTATGAGCAAAATGCAGTGCCTAGAGCATTACTGTCAGTTAAAACATTAGGCATTACTTCAAGTTTTGGATCCCAATAATCTCCATTTCAGTACCATGGACAGAGCAAGCTATCCATGATATGCTGAAATTACCACCTATTACAATTAGCAAAGGTACTGGTAGATAAGTAACATTAATCAATGTTAACAAGGAAACAATAAATGACCCACGCGAATAAGGCAAACCTGACAACATAATAATATTATAATCTAATCAAATCACTACTCCATTGCTGACTAGTAGATGTACCTGGTACAGTGTTGATGTTTTTGGGTTCCACTTCTCACTGGCGTCCCCTCCGTGCCATGTACCCAGCAGACTCAGGCAGACTTTCCCGTCTGCATACAGGTTAGGGTTGAACCTAAACATGCAGAAAAACAATCAGGAACAAACCACAGCAAATACACTAATGTCAGGATTACTGTAAATCACTTTATGTTTGCAGTAGCAAAAGTTTGCGGTCTGAGAAAAATTGACATGTTCGTGGAACTATACATGTACGTTCGCCTTGGCGGCAGGTGCAGCAAAAAAAAGTTGGCTAATTGGCCGTTCGTGGTAATGATAAGATCACAATACAGAAGTGACCACGAAAACCACAAAAATATAAAAGTACCACGAAAAAATTATGATTTACAGTATTGGAGAACGTATGTCATTAAACAGACAATTGCTGAAACTGTTGACACTAACAGTTGAAGTTGTGCTAGTATATTTCTGTGTATTTCTATATCTGGTTGACTGAGTCCCTAACCTAACAGTGCCGTTGCCAGTAGTGATGAGTTTGACCACCGGGGCCCTGTTTGGGTATCCATCGGGGAAGTACACATCGAACACAAAACAGCCCAGACTGTAGGGAGTGTCCACAGGACCTGTCACCAGCGCCCGCACCATGTCCATACGATCCTCATCCTGGGGAAAAAGTAGGGAACAGAAATACATGTACTGTAAATCACAATTTTTTCACAGGACTTTTATGTTTACAGTTTTCGCAGTCACTTCTGTATCATGAACTTATCATTGCCGTGAACAAATAATTTGCTGACTTCCTACATATACACACATACAGCTCAGCAAACATGTCCATTTTTTTCAGACAGCAAACTTTTGCTACCGCGATTTATAGTAGCTATGGCACTTGTAGAAATATTAAACAGCAACGTTAACCACCATTCATGTGGACTAGCCAAAAACATGGGGCATGTAGGTGGTACAGCATTACACGATCATGATCATACCAGTATTATGTTTCTATTCTTGGGTCTTACTTCAGAGATGTGCTATTTCCAGGATACAAAACAACAGAAACCACCACCTATCCGTCACTTGACTTCCTGACTCTGTTGGCCGGATTTATCCCCCAGCTGTGTGACCCCACTGACCTGTCGGACGAAGACGGCCGCCCCCGGGTGGACCGGCAGGTTGGACTGCAGCTGCTTGATCTCCTTCATCAGTGCCTTGACCTTTGGTGACCTTGGGTCCAGGGCCTCCGAGGCATTTTGTTGGAAACTGTGGTACTCCTACAGATGATAGATGTACATTAGTTGATATTGAATAATAATGTGGGACAGCGTACCCATAGTGGCATATAAGTAGCCCACGAGAAGAAAAGAAGTAAGATCCATTTCCTTTCTTCATAAGGCCAGAAACAATGTGAAGGGTCATCTGTAAAACAGGATGGCATATGTAAATCAAAGTTTGTGAACCCTTATTGACATTTCCAGAGTTTAAAAATTTGTGCATTAGTCACCTGCAGTTCAGCTGCATCAAACCTCATGTCTCCCAGGGCCTGGACATACTTCTCAGCCAGTAACCCTGCATCCAGCTGCAAGGCCTCCACTTCCTCTGCCCAGCTGGGCAGGTGTGAGCCAGGTGTCGCAGCTGGGGTTTCCTCTGCAGCTGCTTCATGGAGAACATTCATCTGTGTGACAAAAAAACAAAACAGCAGAAATATTAGACAGCAACACTTGTGTGGACTAGCCAAAAACATGAGCCTGTAGATAATACAGTATAACTTTCAAGACAAAGTACTGGATAACATTCATGATCATGCCATTGTGATGTTTCTAACTTCCTTACTCTATCATATGTTAAAGAATCTGCATGTGACCTAAACATGCGATGTGGCGAGTCTGTTTAAATATTGAGAGAATGTCATGTATTGTGTTAAGCTTCTAAATGCTTTGCGGGAATGTCTGTCAGCAACATCAAAGTGTAAATATCGAGTCAAGTACTACTAAATAGTGTTTTTTAGCATGTATAATAGTGTGTTGCAAATTAGCCCCAGGGCTATGATGTTGTACATGTACTTTTAGTGTACGTGTGTTATGTATTTAATATTTTAATACCCTCAGTAAACCAGTTCATCTCATCTTGTGTATTGAAAGTAGGCTTAGACTAAATGGTAAAAAAGGAACATTCAATGGAAGGAAATAAAACAACAAACACTATGCATTTTTCATTGCTTTTAAAACTGTCTCTCATTACTCCAAACACTATGAGGCATACCTCTTCCAGCATCTTCTGGAACTGTTGTATCTCTTTGGGGTCGATGACACTGTCCCTGGCCAGCACACTGCAGGCCTTCTCCATGTACTTGGGGCTGTAGTCCGTGTCTGTTGACATGCTGACGATGAAGCCATCTTTGTCCAGCGCCTCTTCTCTGCCGATCCTCAGGATGACACGCACAATCTGCAGCAGCAGCTGGCGTGGGTTGAAGTTATATCTAAGGGAAGATCAAAATTATCCAAGCTCAAGAGGGTGTGTTAAATAGAGCATGGTTGCTTGCACACTGGTGGAGATAGAGCATCTCCAACAACTGTTCATCAAAAATGTTATGTTATGTACTTTACATATTGAACCTGACAATATCATTTTTCCCAATCTTGGGGTGCATTGATGAACATAGAACTAACATAGAACTTGAAGAGTGAGCTCAATGTCTTTTTTTTGGCATGAAATTATATTTCAATGACTGTCCCTCAGTAAAACAATGCTGCAATTTTACTATAATTGTAAATGTTAAACAACAATGATAATGGTAGGCTTATCAACTTGTGTTTCATTAAGTGATATTTCCAGGTACATGTCGTTCTGAGATTGCAAAAAGAGTGTTGTTTATCCAACTTACTTCTCCATATCCTTCACCTTCAGTTCACTTGCCTTGGGCCCACAGAGAGCTCCAATAAACCCAATCACCTGGGAAACACATCACAGTACTTCCTGTTTAACACGCTGCAGACTGGGCCATTTGCAGTACCTGTGTTACATAACTAAGCCACAGCATTGATTCTGGATTATATTCCACCCAAATGCCAAAAGTCTTGTTTAGCCTTCATTTATCAAACCTGGAAGAGGGATTATCGGAAACTACTCTGCCCTGAAACAAAATATAAGGCAGAATTTCTAGATCTCAACATGACCAGGGAAGCAAATATGAAACTTACTTGAGCTTTTCACTTAACTTGATGTACTTTGGGGCTTTCTGTTAACTGATGTTGACTTCATGTTTGACAGTGAATTTGGGAAACTATATTCACAATGCAAATTCAGTGGAGTTTGGCATGTCCTCTTTCTTGGGACAGGGACATTGTTAGTTGTTGCTCAAATATTACAGTGGCAACAAGTGTCAGCTGTATACTAAGTATTGATGCTACTGACTGAGTTACTCAGACTGAGTTACTGAGACTGGGGTACTCACAGCAGAGGCAGATCTCTGAGACAGGGGAGCCATGGTGAAACACTTGCACACTTCCTCAGACTGGGTCAGTAGGTCAATCAGCCCCAGTGTACTGTTAGCCTGAAACAAACATATCATACTACTCATAGATGACCTTTCTTCAACAGACCAGGAACATCTCACAGCCACAAGCCTAGAATTATGTGTAGTTGTACATCTTTACCAGGTTCATGAAGCTCTTGCCCACACGTTCCTCATTTGTCAGGAATTTCTGTTTCTCCTCTCTCTCATCCACTGACAGGGCTCTCCAGCTGGCTTCTGTATACCAAGAAACAGGAAACCTATTAAATTAGGATCAGTCTTACATGCATGAATATTTCATATGCATTCTAAGGGTTTTCAAGTAGGTGACAGCCTTCTAAAATGTACATGTACTATGAAACTTTTCAGAACACTGAGATATGTCATCAAACACACGAAGAAGTCAGTGGAAGATGAGGGATGAATGATAACGTCCTGACCATCCTCCTTAGCCTTCTGAATCTTCCTGACATTTGCCAGTCTGGCCAGGCTGTCATGGAGCTGGTACAACAGGGTGTCCAGGATCGCTCCAAGAAATGCCTGCAGGGAGACACAAAGGGTTGGGTGCCAGAGTCATCAAACATGGAGGCACTGGAATGATTGAACAGCCCAGAAGATACAGTTAACAGTACAAAGTTAAAACAAAACATGTTATGCATGGACCTTGAAATTTCCAACACTCAATTATTTTGTTTATATTCACAAGTTTTACTTCAGAGAACAAACGTATCACAAAACAGATTTGACCAATCAAATGATATTGTGAAATGTGTCCACACCTGGAACTTGTCTGTACCACACATGTTGAGTACAGAAGCCCTGCAGTCCTGCCACTGCCACAGACTTTCCAGTAACTTGGCAATCTCAAACCTACCAGTGAACATAGGGAAAAAATCACTTGCTGTTTACTAAAGGAAAGACACATGCTGTTATCCTTGTAAAATTGTGTAGTAGTTGTTAGAATGGTTTCAAAATCACTGATTTGTACATGTATATACATAATGTGAATGAAATATTCAAAGCAGATATTCAAAAAGTTTGAAATTCATTTGAAATATGACGATTTGTATAGGAAATTATAAATCTTAGAATACATGAGCTTCCTCTTCATGTACAAGCATTTGAGAATCTTTAATGACAAAGGAAGTAATGTCACAAAATCCCACATGCACAATAAGTTACCTTGATCCGTATTTGTCAAAGTCATCTTTGTCCACATCTAGCCCCTCCACAACATCCACACTGACATATGTGTGCAGCAGGGCAGAACCCAGACCTGTCTGTACACTAGGGCAGGTGTGCACCATGGCAGCCAGGTCTGTCATGATTCCTGTGCCCCAGCCTTGGGAACTATGGAGGCAGAATTATATAGTATACCGGAGGCTGAAGGGGTGAAGGCCATACAGTACAAGATAGTGGTGACAAATACATGTAGATAAAAGTTCCCACTGGACGGACTAGACCAGAAAGGGGCACCTGTACAGAAACTTTCTTTTACTTACTAATGTTTTTTTTTTCATTGCCCTCCTTTTCTCTGCCATTTTACCCCCTTCTTGCATTTTTTCTATCCTTCCAAGGCTTGTAAATTAATTTATTCTATACACCAGTACATGTTAGCCTGGGTACCATCCAGACTTTGCTCTGCTCTGCTAGTGATTTTTTCTAGCGTAGCGTAGCAAAATCCAGATGATACCCAGGCTATGTACATGTAACATTAAGATGTATTAGAGTGCAAAATGATGTGACAAAAGTAGTCAGCATATTTTACCCTCTCTTCCTCTTGCCTGACTCTGTGAAGGCCAGCAGGGTTCCCACGATCTTACTGGCAGGGATGGGGCCTGGCATCAGGTCTGGTCGCTCCAGCAGGGTCACACAGCAGTCAACAAACGGGGACAACTGAGGAATGAAATGTCCCACATACAGTGTCACATATACAGCGTGTCATGGTCATTGATGTTAGTGTTTTTTTAAATGTGAGGGATGCCTGGAAATCAGGTCTATCCAACATGAACTGAGTATGTTGCCCTGGATAAATGAAATGAATGAATGAAATGACACACATACAGCTTCAGCTGAAAGCTTCAATCTACACTTTTAGTTTCATAAGTCATGTGTACATGTAAACAGATTCTGTTTAAATACTTCCTGTAACTGTAGGCACACATACATGAAAAAATGGAATCTTCCACCTCACCTGTATGCCCTGGAGGATGCTGGGATGGACGACCATGGAGTTGGTGACGACGAACCTGAACCATGTGGCCATGTCCTTCACCAGGAACTCAGGCAGCTGGGAGAACACACGCTTCTGCTGCCTCCTCACCTCTGTCTCCTTCACACCCTGCTCAAAACACAGGCTTTAACTGTCAGTTTCTGTAGCCAAAAGTGACCTTCTCCGACAAAATATCTCCAACGTCATCAAAGGTGAAAAAGCTGTAGCAGTATATTGAACATGTCTCTTGGTAAAATTCCAACTACATGTACAAAAGTTTAAGGATGATGAACAATACTTCAGACAATACTTCACTTTCTTCATGCTGCTGGTGATGTATATTCAATGCAAATTTGAAGTGAAATGGCTACCTTTGTGGGGAAAGGTTAAGGGATAAATCCTTTACAAACAAACTATTTTTGACCCTTGTATGGTTATGCTGATGGCCACCTGTAAAAGTGAAGAAGTCTGTACCTGCTGACAGGTGTCCAGCTGCAGCTGTAGCCACCTGGACTGGGCTAGGTAGAACTCTGTCACACCTTGTACAAACACAGCATCATTCAGACAACAGTCCCAGGTCGTCACAAGCAGCTGGTAGAAAGAATGTGATGTTAGACTAAACTTTTTCTTGTTGCTTAGTTTGCTTACTGTTGTCATAAAACAGTAACTCATGTGATACTTGAACCTGACCAAATGTCTGAGATTATCCCCCATGATAACTGGTGAAAACATATAGAATGCTGTAACATTTGCCTTATTACGGAATGAAATACATATGAGTCCAGTAATGACAGACTGACTGACCATCTGAATCTTCTTGACCATCTCCTCCTCAGCTGTACCCTGTTTGGCATTCAGGTGCATCTGAATGTCCCTGAAGAAGGACACAAGGTCAAATATTATTTTCTTGGAAGAATTTAAGACATAAGATCCAAAAAATAGTCTGATGTGCACTAGGTGTTTCAGTTTTTGACCCATATAAATGCTGGCATATCTGACCTGTTTAGCCTCTGGTGATGGGCCAGTGCTGGTATCAGACCAATGTTCAGGGCTCGCTGGGTCAGGTGGAAAATCTCCGTCATGAAGTTGAACTGACCTTGAAGTTCCTCTGGAACACGACACTTTTCTGCACCTTTGGACTCCTCAGATACTATGGTAGATGAGCAGATTGTCAGTTACTGTACAGATCACAAGCACAGTTTGACATTCTTGACATGTTACTACTTTACTAAAATTTTACCTAGAAACGAACAACTTTGACAGAAATCAACCACTATCTAAAACTCTGGTTGTATTTTAACAATTGGGAGGACCTGTATAATTCATATGTTGACTTTAATGTATTTGTGAATAACTATATTCTAAGATGATACTGCTATGGTAAATACAATATGTCTTCTTGGGAATTATATCACAACATTTTATCAACATACTAGTACTAGTACATGTACGTAAACAAGACTGTGCTTACCAATCTGTCCCCCTGCCAGACATGTCTCAAACTCATAGTTGAGACGGCAGGCCTGTGATTTGGAGTAGGCAGGGTCCACCTTGGTCAGCTTGTCCTGTCCTCCCTTCACAATGGGCATGCAGAGATGGAGCAGCACAGCACACAGGTTTAACATGTAGCCTGGGAATGGGAGCAGATAGGGAGTCAAGATCAGTGCTTTATAGGAGACACTACATCTTAGTTCTTACACTTTATCAAGATAGAGTTGACTAATGTACCAAGGGTATACAACTTTACAAGAAACAAAATGCAGAGCTTGCAGTTTGTTTTTGATAAGAATGACTATGACATCTGTCATCTTGCCAGTGCTAAAAAAAGCAACAAATGGAATGAATCTTGTGGAAAGATGGAATGATGATTTAATCTTACCATCCCCACAGGCAGCTTGCATCTGTTGTCCCATCTGTGGGCTCACGGTTGTCCTAAGCTCATTCATATTCAAAATGGCGGCTATCCATGCCAGAACTGTCTCCTTGTGCGTCTTCATCATCCTGCGAAAGGTCGCGTGCACGACCTCATGGATACGGTGAAGCCCTTCGTGAACGTGCTGCTCCACAATCCGCAGGTCATCCACGGTTGGTTTGGGGAATCCACGCAGAGACATGAAGGGAACTGCAACAACAACAACAGCAGGATGTTGTTAGACTAGTCACATACATTAGCATAACATACTATACATAACTAGCCTGGTATCCAGCCTTGTTAGCTTTAGTCTGCTACCCAAGATCCGCTCCCAGCCTTGTTAGCTTTAGTCCGCTACCCAAGATCCGCTCCCCGCCAACAAAAGCACCACATGCAATAGCACTGATAACACAAAAAGCACTGATTCCAAAAAAATACAAAATTAAACCAAAACTAAACACGAAAATATGCATTCACTAACTGTCGTCGCTTAATCCTACAACCTAAAGTATGATACATACGGGTAGCAGGGGAAGGGAACATGTATCGCTCCATTGGTACAATGGTAGACAATGACAGCAGGGCACCCAGGATGGACTTCTGCTCAAAATAGATGCCCAGGGCGTGACAGCCTTCCTCCACCTCCTGGTCAAGGGCTGCGGCCAGGATGGTGGTCATCCCTGGCTGAGACAGGACGGCGTCCAGGGCGGTCAGCATGGTCCCCTCCTGGAGAAGGATTTCATCCATTCTGGGGCAGAAGAACTAAGATTGTAGCTTGCTAAACTATATGTCTTTTTACTTATTTTGAGCTACCTTGTGTCTGACACAGTATTAAGACCCAAAATATTCATATATGGGGTACAACATGGCAGTACAACAGGGAAGGAAAAAAAGAATACCTTTTGACAGCCTTGATCCTGTCCACTGCCACCTTGACCAGCTTGACCATGGCAGGGTGGGCAGACTTGTCGTGTGCTGCCTGATCCATCATGGCTGCCAACAGACCCTGGGTCACATTCACACCATCATCCGACCAGCCGGCAGCTCTCGACAGGAACAGGTACAGGGCACCCTGCAGAGAACAAGCAATGAAAATATCCACTTATACTGGTATACGTGACTTTGATGCTTTTTTATATGTAGCTAGGCTATATGAGTACCTTACCTTGCAGTAAAACAATGTCAATCTTTTGTGCCTATGTACTTTGAGTCAAGCCTACAACTCACATACACGTACATTGTCCATTGTTCTCAGAAGCCCTGAGGAAGATATCTGATAGAGATTGAAATGTAAGCAATGTCTATCAATGTGGTTGTGTAGAAAAAAACCCACGATATCCTACATTGTTTTTTAGTATGCAGATCAACATATTATGCAGAAGTTCCATGATAGTTACAACCACATGCCAGTATGAAGGATTCTAATATTCCACTCTAACTCACCTCATTCCCGCTTTTTCCGTCTGACCACAGGTCGCCCTTTTCATCACTTTTGCCCTTAAGTTCCTCCAGCAGGGCTGGTACCACAAGATCCTTCACACAGTCCGCTAACGTGTCCAACACTTCATTGCCATTGTCCCTGAGTATTGCTTCACACTCCCTATAACACTGGCACAGGAACTTGACTTTGTCGTACTGCCACCTCATTCGTTTGTCAAAGATTGCCACCACCTTCCCCACCATGTCCTCCCCAGGGGTGGGGAGCTCCCCGGGGGTCAGGTGCAGCACCTTGAAAGCCTGGGCCTTGGTGTTGCCTTGTGTAGTCAACTCAATCTTGATATCAAAAACCTTTGACAAAGTCAACAGCAGCTGCTCTTCAATGGGAACCTCCTTTTGGGGGGATTTTGGCTTTGACTTTTGAGTGTCTTTGGTTGGCCTTTTTGTTTCCGTATCTACAGCAGCAGATCCACTTTCCAGTTTCCCTGTGTCTGTACTCATGGTCTGTTGTACACTCACAGACTGGTTTGTAGGTGCCTGATCTTCTACCGGAATACTAGTACCTCCAGACAGTTGTTCCAGCTTTGTAAGCCTTTGGGCACGAAGTTCCTTGCTGCCTGGATCTGGATTTTGTTCTTTTGTAGGTGTCTCTTGCTTTTCTGCAGTTTTACTTTGGTTCATAGTCTGTGTATCTACAGGAATGTGTGGGGAACTTGTCTTGGCTGGTTGTGGTGTTTCACTTTCACCATTATCTTGCACCACTGGAGCAGACGTTTGTACATTCTGATCATCTGGTGCAGGTGGAAAAGCACGGTCTATGCCTCCAGACAGCTGTCCCAGCTTTGCAAGCCTTTGGGCACGAAGTTCCTCCCTGCTTGGACCTGTATTTGCAGACATATCTAGGTAATTATCCAACTGAAGGCATTCACAGGTCATACTCTACCCCAGGAAAGTCTCTGACTTGTACTGATTTTACCTTTGAGTCATTCTACTAGTAATCATTGAAAAGTGGACAAAAGCTGCAAATGGATGGATAGCAGGCTATATTTTGATTTAAAAAATAGTGAGCTTGGTACACATACATGAAGTGAGTCAGTCAATACCTGGTGTTCGTGTTGGCTCCCTGTTCCTGCCCAGCATCACAGCCAGGCCCAGTATACCCAGGGCTCCCAGAAACAGCGCCAGTCCAGTACCAGACTCCTTACCCTGTTGTGGTGGCTGTTCAGCACCAAGCTATGGTGGCAAACAAAAATATAAACCAGTTGTTCGTGAAAGAAAATGAATAAATCTTGCTACTACAAAGTAATACAGTCACTACGGTGCTAGGCGAACACTCAGAGGCCATTAGGCTGTTTTTTTTTTTCAATATTGAAAGGATGCTATTGTAGATAGCCCTCGCCAATGAGAAATGATGTTATTTGTGACTGAATGTGAGGCCATGTGACCAGTTCTGGGGCACACAGGGGAAGCCACCAGTTTATTCCAACCAATCAACACACACATGCACAGCCACAGACACATACACTCATTTTCCCTGTACAATATCTGAGTGGAACTTGCTGCCTGGCCCGGTCGTGTCATCGCCCACTGTTGAGACTTTTTGGGCCAGACTGTAGGCCTGCCCCCGCCTTAACCCGGGGCTTCCTCTCAGTCATGTCCCCCCTCCCTCCTGCCCTAGCTGTGGTTACGAGGGTACCACACATTGACATTAAGATGTGTCAAAAGTCTGTCTTCAGCACCTCATCCTCAGCAAATATTTCTTCCTCCTCTTCAAATTCTGGATCTGGCTGCTCCAGAGGGCCAACTTCATCATCAGTGCTGAAATTCAGAACACAAGTGTCAGAGGAACTTGGGTGCACGTGCATGATGATAAAAAAAGGCTTGACCACATTTTATACGGGACAATACAGGCAGGATTGTTGGATTGTATGTGAAAGTAACAGGTATTTTTTCGTCAGGAAGGTTACAAAAATGAAAGTTGCATACTAGCAATACTGTAAAGAGTGTAAGTTGCTCCTGGTATTAAAATATTATGATATTTTACTTTTTTTAGTAACAATACTAACATTGCTTGCTTTCCATCAAATACAAGGGAGTACAAGGAACATAAAAGAAGGAAAAGAAAGTGATTCTAACAGTTCAAAATACAACCTGTTATTATGTATACATCGCCCCTCCCTTTCATTGCGTCTCTGTGTTTGCATAATATATTTTTATTGCTGCTTGATAATATGGCTGATGGGGATATGGGGAGGGGAGTGTACACTTTTCACGGTAAAATCCAATTGAAACAGGCTACAATGTATACGATCGGTACATCTATTAATTTGAATGATCATTTTTAAAACCATCGTTCCCGTGAATATAACACAACATGCGTGTTCGCGTGATTTCTACTGTGAATGGAGAAATTATACATGCAGCATAAATTTCTTTGCACTTCCGGGTTTCGAGAAAGTTCAGACGCAAAACGTTCAACTCAAATATATTACAGTACATATGACTCACCTGGAACACGCCAGACAACACCACAGAACCAAACAGGACAAATACAAGACCCAAGGTGGTCTCATTTTTCTGATTTTGGGACCAAAAGGCCTGAATAGCTGCTGAAGTTTCACTTTCGACAACCTGGCACCACGAAGCTTGGATAAACCGGAACAGGAAGTAGACTAGTTTACTAAAATATGGGAGTGAAACAAGAAACACAAAGATCTTCACCAAATCTTCGAAAGAATCATATGAACAAAATCTGCTATTTTTATTTATTACAATATAATAATAATTGTTTAGATATATCCCGGTTGTTACGTTATATCTGACTGACTGCCCATGTTTTTAATTAGGGCACCCCTACTCTAATAGTGGAATGCGCCATTAAGAACTTTTGGAAAGCGCGACAGTCGAACACGTGAGAATTCTGAGAAATTTAAAACCTCGTACCAAATTTTCTGGCTTGCAGTTATAATCGCGATAGTAGTAATTTCAGATCACTTGAACATATAAGTTCATATCCTAGATAGAGGAAGTCGACGAAGATGCCGAGGAAACAAAGAAATCGGTACAGGAGATTTAATTTTGGGGCAGCTAGCCGATTCAACAACAAAGACGCGGTGGAGGACCGCCTGTTGTTTCAAGGACAAGAAGCCGCTTGTGGCAGCGCCCAGGTAACGTCTTTCTCAACACTTTCTACGGATAGGAAATTGTAACCTTTGCCGAAATGATGACTAAATGGTCTGTTTTGAGCCAGTGACGAGTTTTCGGATGCCAGCTTCTTTTGTTCTCAAACTTCAGCGAAGTAGTTTGCATTGTCTTCTTAAGATGGCGCCTGTCTGGCGTGGCGTGGATCTTGTCGCCCGAGTCATGATTTGGCCATGGCGAACTTTTGTCACGTCATTTGCTCAATCCCCCTTTTCATTTTTCTCTAGGTGATTCTTTTGATCAGCTATATAGTCATTTTGAAACAAAACTGCTGACGTTGCTTTTTTTTTCAGTAAAGCAGATAAGTACTACCTCTTTTTTCTACCTCCATGGTACTACCATGCTGCAGTCAATTTTTGATGTACTAGTATGTATGATCCTCGAGAAAAAAGAGACTAGGTTAAGTCTCACTTTTGCGCTGTTTCAATGTGAGCTTTCCTTTTTGATTGCCAAGTTCAGCATTTCTCACTTTTTTTACACTAGAAGGTGGAATTTTGTCACTTTTTGAACTTATGAATTTATTTTGTTGTACTAGATTTTTCCCCGCAGAGAATATTTTTCCATTGATGCATATTTACTGACATGAGGTAAAATATCAAATAAAGCACGAAACCTTAGGGTGTGTTCTCATGCCCTGCTCTGATAGAAATCATGCAAGTTCTATCAACTATATGTAGACAATGGTACTCAACCATATTTGTTCTTACTTCTGTGTCTTCAGGCTATGCCTGCGGTGGCTCTTGTGGGGGATTCCGTGACACCGAGCTGGGGTGGAGAGAACAGCTGTATGGCTCAGAATGGCCAGCATGCAGCCACAGCACTGTCCTCAGGTAAGGCTATGCCAATTTAATTTGTTGTTTCTCAGATATTTTAGAAATAATATGAAGCAACAGGGTGAAAAAATAAAAACAGGCCTACTAAAATTGAATGATATAACTGAAACATGTACATAATTGTTATTGTTACCATGCAAGACAAACATCCCATGGTTGTATTTTTGTTGTCTACATTTTGATAATTGTGTAATTAAATTTTTTTGTGTCAACATTTTTACAGAAGGTGAAAACCAAGCGTCAGTTAGTCAAGAGGCAGCTAAGATGTCTGTCCTTCTTGAAGAGGACCTGGTGACAAAGTGGTGCAGTGCCAAACAGCAGCGTGGCTTTGTAGAGGACAAAGACTTCATCAGCTACCTCTTGTTCATTGTTAGTGAATACGAGACAATGACAGGGACCTTTGTGCTTCAGCCCGTCCCTACGCCGAAGAGCCCAACCAAACCAGTAACAAGACAACAAGCATCTAAGAAAAGGTCGTACCTGTTTGATGAACCAGATAATGAAGGCAAGGAGAGAGCCAAGAAAGGCAAGAAGAGGAAGAAACAGTCCAAAGTAGTTAGAGCAGCATCCCCTCTACTTGTAGATGTGCCACCAAGACCCAAGAGTCCCGTGAAGGAGCAGCTTACTGAGATTTGTGAGGACAATCCCAAGAAAGAGGTTGCTAAGATAGGTAAGGACAGTCCCAGGAAGGAGCAGGTTGCTGAGATGTACATGTATGAGGGCAATCCTAAGGAGAAGCTTGCTGAGGTCTGTAAGGACAATCCCAAGAAGGGGCAGGTTGCTGAGATTCATAAGGACAATCCCAAGAAAGAGCAGGTTGCTGAGATTTGTAAGGGCAGTCCAAAGAAGGAGCATTTTGCTGAGAGGTATAAGGGCAATCCTAAGGAGCAGCTTGCAGAGATTTGTGACAACTATCTTAAGTATGGTGTTAAGAAGGAGCAGCTTGCAGAGATTTGTGACAACTATCTTAAGTATGATGTTAAGAAGGAGCAGCTTGCTGAGATTTGTGAGGACAATCCACTAGATTTATCCATCAACTCACACAAGGAAGAGAGTGGTGAGGGTAAAAACACTGCAAACACTACCGGTACCAGTGAGCTACAGAAGATCCTTACTGATACCAAGGTGACATCAGGCTATGACATGGAGGGTCAAAACGCCATCCCCGAAGAGGCCATACTTGACTTCTCCACCAAGAAAACCAGCCCTGATGCGAACGCCAACATAGCTGTGTTTGCAGATAAGAAGAAGAAGAAAGGGTTCCCCTGTGGTGTCTGTGGGAAGGTGTTCTGTAGGAGACAGCACCTGGCACGGCACATGCGCACTCATGCTGACGTCAAGATGGAAGATAAGATGGTGCCCAAGATGGAAGATAAGATGGTGCCCAAGATGGAAGACAAGATGGTCCCATGTGATGTCTGCGGGGAGGTCGTCTCAGGTAAGGAGTGGGGCCGCCACAGGAAGACTCATGATCAAGGTCAAATTTTCCAGTGTTCGTGGGAAGGCTGCAGCCTGGCTTTCAAGGACAGGAAGCTGTGGCAGGACCACATGTCCTTCGTGCACAAGGGTCAGAGGTCGGTGCCGTGCACTTGGATCGGTTGCGACAAGACTTTCCCCAAACACTCCCAGATGGAGCGTCATCTGAAGGTCCACATTACCCCCAGGCGCATGTTCTCCTGCCCCGTCTGCCACAAGGTGTTCAGACACAAGCCCAACCTGAGTGTGCACATGCGAATGCACAGTGGGGAGACGCCCTTCAAGTGCCCCCACTGCGACTACAGGGGCAGACAGCAGAGTGCTCTCAAGTGGCACATGAAGAAGCACCACGACACCATCGTCACGTCCTTCGTCAGCTTCAAGATGGACGATGCCGCTGCTGTACCCGAGCAGGATGACCTGACCAGCAAACTAGCGGAGAAGATGTGGCGAGAGTCAGGTCCAACCTCGGCTCGCATCCCACTTGTGTCGTACATGTAAGAGGTTTCACGTTCTTGTTTGGGTCATCATTTGGTCACAGATCCCAAGGTTTGCCCCTTACAAGCCTATCAAGTCTCAACGGGTGGTTATCAGGACAGTATTCTATCATGAACAAAATGTCATTCCGTCCATAGTCATTCTGATGGGGGTAGAAGATGACGGTTTTAAGATATTTGCAATACACCATCATATGAATGTTGCCTGGCTTCCTTGTAATGGATACTGTCTTATTCTGTTCTTGGATTTGATTATGATAGTTATGACTTGCAATATTGACTTCAAATCAGGACTTATACATTACTACATCCACCCAAAAGCCATACATTCAAATGTAGCCATACTTTTTATCATACTATTAATAGCCATGCAATAGTAGCCATACTTCTGTATAGTAGTCATACTTCCCTCTACATGTAGTACATACCTTTGTGGATTGAAGGTGGTAGATGTTTCAAGTTCAAGGAAACTGCCATGTAAATCCACAGAAAATGACATGAATTTCAAAGCAGCTTATGATGTCTTAGACAAGATTTGAGTGCCAGTACTTCTCAGGAATTTTTTGTGCTATAAGGATGAAATTGCTGGGTACTAGTATTACATCAATCCTCCCCTTCATTGTTACTGTACTATGCAAAAACGAGTCCTATATCCCTGTAGCTAGTGCAGGCCTTATTTTAGTAACATACTAGTAGTGCCTTGGTTTACAATAGAATTGTTATGTAGTTTTGTAGATTTGTTACATACATACATATGTGGAAAGTGAGAACTATTCAAAAGATATCCATTTGTTACACATATCCAAACTTTATGTTAAGATAGCAGTTGTATTAGTAAGCATATGCATTGTTTCAGCTGAGAAAGGAGCTAGATAGTTAGATTTCACTGTTTGCACACATTGTTTGACACTTCATGAAATTTTGTATTGTTAGGGCATCATGCAATCACTAGAATCGTTTTGGTAGGTTTTATATACACTAAGTCACTGAACATTGTTGGATGTTATTGTTGCATTTGTTCAATAAATCATGGTATTTGCTAGCTCTTGTTTCTTCTGTATCATTTTTATAGATAACATGTATAGCTGAAAAGAGTGGCAGCTAGAGGTCTGATGTGAAATTCTCTTGCAAACCATATAAAAAGAATCTACTTTCAACTAAAATATTACCTGCACTGGGTGTGAAAACATGCCTCATCAGTGCATGTATAAAAAACATTCATTGTCTGCTTTAGCATCCAACATCAAAACAGTGAAGACATTCACACAGATTGGTTCAATCTTTTTGTCATTTATTAAAATGAACTACATTGATACGATTGCCTGACTACTCACACTCCATTGGAATGGTCAATTTTGAGAATGACCTTATTGACTGTAAAATAGACTTTATACTTAACTTTACAAATGATGAATGCACAGAAAACTATTCCACAAGTAAAAGATTGTGCCAGAACATTAAGTATCGATGATAATCTAAATGGCCATGTACTTTTAAAAATTGGCCTTATCTGAAATCAAAAGTGTGCCATGTTGTCAACTGGCAAACCTTTTTGAAATTGTCAACTGTCACCCATTGCACTTTGTGGCACACAATAAAACCCCTTTTTTTTTTTCTTAACACAATGACATTATGTAATAATGGTAGGATTTCCAGTTGTCAACACCTCTTAGAGCATATTGAAGCCCTTCTGAGTGACCAGGACCAGTTGGGTAAGAGATTCCTTTGAAAGGTCATTTGGAAATGTTTGAAAATGTCTTTTCTTTAACACACCTATAGTTAAATGTTTTGAAGTAGAGTCCAAATCTAAACTTGTAGAGCCAGACTGAAAAACACCGAAACTAGTTTCTCTCATGTTCCAGTTCTTCCTGGTTGGTCAATCAAAAGGTGTTCAAAGAAGTGTGGATATACTATGCAAAGTATCAACATGCTTCAGAGCAAGACAATGGTTTGTAGACAATCATATTCATCTAGCTCCGAAAGGAATGGTGCTGCTTGAAGTATGGCTGTTTTCCTTCCAAAGGCACAGCTGGAGGTCAGAGCATCCTCTTCACACACTTGGTCCTTCTTCTGTGTCCTTCTACTTTAGAAGCCTTTGGAAGGTTGCTGATGAGAGTGTGACTCACCTTCCCAAACTCACCTGTAGAACAGAACAGGAAGGAATAGCACAAATCTGGGTTATTGTAAGGTGTTTGGTACGAGGCAGTACAGCTGCAAGAAAACTTTCTGGTGTGGCAACAAACAGCAGAATTAGCCTTTTTTTTGTCCAGGCTTTTTAAATGTACATTTGTTTGCATACAGAGGTACTGAACCAGTAGGTATGTGGTAGATGGGTTTAGGGGAGATACTAGTACATCATGGGCATGTGTCCTAATTGTCATTTTGATTATGCATCAAATTATGATTTGGATTACAGTTAAAGGTGACACTGAAACACTAGATCAGCCAGAAAAAAAACTTGTTCCAACTCTACAAAAGTCTTTCCAAAAACCGAGTCCAATAAACAGATGTTTCAGCCCTGAAATATCTGGCACTTTGTAGCTTTGCACATCAAACTTGCTCAGATTTCAATGTAATTTTTGGAGTACTGTTTGAAATTAAAAAGAATCAAAACACACGACATAAAACACACAAAATACAGCAGATTCGCTGTTCTCTGTTGTGGGAGTGTTAGCAAAGTGATTTTGACAGCATTTACAGAAGCTGAAAATGGCTAGACTATCTTATCAGAAACCTTAGTGTTCTGGGCTCCTTCTCCGCAGTTCCTTCTTGACCTGTGGAAGACAGAAAGTGAAGACATGTTTATCTCCTTCCTTTGTTGAAATCTTAAAAAAACGGAGCTGCCAACTCCTACATACCTTTTTCTTACTTGTTTCAGTCTTAAAGATAAATCATGCATGAGACTATGTACTAGTATCGTTTTCCTTTGACAAATTAATCTGCTACATATGTGCTTTTGTCGTACCATTTAAAAGGGATAGGTGAGAATTGTTTATACTCTAAAGAATGTACCTGGTATGTACAACAAGTGACAAATGTCTACTACTACTATTACATGGACTCAAATCTACACACAAATATCCTACGCTTAATGGCAAGATTTTTTAACACAACATTAAACAAATTACACAATACCACTCATTTACCTTATATGAATGATACATGATAGATCTTTAAGACATTTAGAAAGTAAAACCAAAGGTGTACAACCATTTTACAAAGTTAGAACAAAAGGACTATCTTTCCAACTTTGATTTGGGAACAACTGCAGAAGGTGGCAACTCGGTAAAAGTTAAATGTGCAGCATAAGATCATTGCTTGACTGCTATACACTCAGGTTGGTGGAGTGTTAGTGTAGATATGCTTGCAGCAGGAAATACAGTACATGAACATTACTTCCTTGCACCTTTCTGTTGTGGAGAGAAAACATGTAAAACACATTTGACTGTACAAGCTGTGAAGTCTTGGGAGCAAAACTGTAATTGTGAAAACTTCACTGGCCCTGCAATTTATATGTACACATTGTCATTGGAGGTCAACAATAGAAAGGTTGGAGAAACTTACAAGAGTGCAAAGATTTCCTTTTTGTACTCTCCTTATAAAGCGTAGTCTGTATAGTAGTTTGTTTGATCACTTCAACAAAGGGCTACCAAACTCTTCAGAGCACAGGTTCTCTTCAAGTGGTATGCAGTTAGACTTACAATGAGAGCTACTTCTGAGTCATGTTTTTACATCCCATACTGCAAGATTTTCTTTAACTGAGTGGAACTTTCATGCAAAGAGCAACTACGTCCATGGAATATGTAGGTCAATACACCCAAAGATTGGAACATAGAACAAAGCATTACGGATGGGTCATGAGGTATCTCTCGGCAGTCCCTTGCCTATAACACCTTCAGAGGCTTGACTGGCTTCCTTATGATCCACACTGCTCAATCCGTGGCCACGCCCTGGACAGGAGTAGGCTCTTCTTGTACTCCATCCAACATTGTGGGGAGGACATATGCAAAAGGTAAAGTCTGAAGTTAGTTCCTGAAGCCAAGCTACACCACGAGTTCTCTCAAGGACAACATTCAACAGAGCTCTGGCTGGTAAAGAAATAACTGGTGAAATTCCCCTTTTCAACTACTAAGAAGTTAGAAGTTTTGTTTTACAAATGTATTTCAAATTTTGTCCAGTTTGGCCAGCCAAGAAGCTCTGTGCTAAGAAAGGGGAAAGAGTGTTACAAAACAATTCAGTCCAAGATTTTTTGCAGACGGCATTTTATTCTCCACTTAATTGTCGTCATATGCGTCACAGCCAATGCCTCCACCTTACAAGTCACCATGTCTGTTTGTTACTTGGTGTATTCATGATAGTTAACACTTAGTACACAGAAATTTAAACACTTGTAAGTCTGGTGCCTTGTCAGTTTGGGTACTCTACTTAAGTACAGTCAAGTTTGGTACTTACTGTTCAGTACAGCACGAGTCCGCTGAGAGAGGAGGGACTTAGCTACACATACAGATGCTGACATTGTCTCTACTACATCCACAACAATCTTAAGTATACGTTCTACCAACAATGCTGATATAGGCTGGATACAGTTGCAGTGCAGGGCATGACCATAATCATCTCCAAATGTCTTTCATTTAGTACTCTTCTTTGCTTTGAATTCCTACTGCTAACTGTATCATGGCCAACATGAGCATTGTTAGGATAAGATTCTGTGATTCATAAACAGCCGTCCTTTTTTTTCTCACAGAAAAGAAAAAAACACTCATGCAGGCACCCTCAATGAGACAGAATCCACTGCCATGTGGTCAGATGCCATTCAACACTATTTCTGTGGGAGGGCATGTGCATGTTACCTTAGTGTGAGACCGCCCAACCATATTCGGCATTTTGGATGCGCAGGCTGGTAGGCTGTCCGACCACAGGCGGGGACTTGGCCTCGGTGAGGGTGCCACCTACAGCGAACAGAAACATCTGCAAAACAAGTATTCTGCATGGGTGACAAGATAAGTTTTAAGTACTGGTAATAAAGCTCATTACCCTTGGTATTGACTCAGGCCAGAAGAAAAACCTCTTTACATGCTGACCTGTAAAATCATAAACAGGCAACAAATAACAGGTCATTAAGAATCATTACAGATCAATTGGGTGCAACTTATGTTTTTGACTTTCTAAATCATCTCTTCCTGATATTTTGCTATGGACAGATGTCCTCTTTTGCCACTGTTTCTGCTTAATTTGCAAAAATCTTATACCTCATAAGCTGGCTAGAAGATGGGTTCAGGATATTGCTGAAAGAGGTGTATGAAATTCTATAGACTGTGCTGGCAATTTTTTTTCTTATTTCTACTTACTAGAAACAAGTTGATTCATTATTGTTAAATCAATGAAAGAAATACCAAAGTAGTATCGTCCTGTATCACCCTGGCCTCACTGTTAAACTACTGTTCTTTCCTCCCCTACAAACATGTACACATACATACATACGTATACTAAAATTTCTACACACATTTTTCTGAATAATGTGACACCATTGTTTTTGTAATGCTTACTTCTTCATGCCTCTTACACTAAGTTGCACTAGTTGTAATGGTGTGCAACACATCGGCGCATGTTTCTTGTACTATGGTAGGTCTTATCTATTTGTGAGGAAAAACCTGCTATCAGGTGCAGTGGTTATGTTAGATTTTCTCCTGTATGAAGGGATGTGTGAGGGCCTGGTTAATGGAAATCCGTTTGGACGGGTCCAGCATGAGGATCTTGTGGAGGAAGTCGCTGAGCTGGGTCAGCTTGCGCATCTGGTCCTCCGGGAGCCGGGAGTACCCCAACATGTCCGCCATCAGGTCCCGCGTGGCGTTGATGGACGTCATCACGGTCACCTTTTCCTGTGACGAAACAACGTGTCATAACTGTCTGTTACAACATTTAAAAAAATTGTACAGTTCTTGGTAGCAAATATGCAGATCTCAGCACATTGGCGACACTAAATCAGTCTGTGTCCTCATCAGTGTTTGGACACAGTATCAACGATTATTCTATTAGCCAAAAGGTGTAAAGTGCCTTTCTGAAGGGCATGTCAGGGGATCGAACCCGGGACCTCTTGGTTCCAAGTCAACGCTCTGACCATTACGCCATGCGATGCCACAACAGCTTTCACTCCAGGTAACATCTTGACATAAATGAGATTGTGTTGATGTTACCCCGTTTGGAATTCTAAGGGTGATTATGTACAGTATGTATACTTCTTAGATATCAAAATGCTAACAGTAGAAAAATCCAGATTGCTCCAAATTGCTGGGATAGACAGGCAAAACTTTGCATGCTTTGATATGAAAAACAACGAATGATCAAATACAGTAGAGGAAATGCTGTCTGACTTACCCTCTGTGTGACTTTGTCTACTTCCACGTACATAAAGTTGCACTGAGGGTCGAAGTGTTGGTCCTTGAACATGCCCTTCCTGATCATCTTGTTGGGGATCTTCCCCTTCAGGTCCATCATCAGCTTCAGCATGTGGTTGTTTGTCTTCCCCGGGTACAGGATCTTCCCCGTGTACAGTTCGTAGATGGTACAGCCCACACTCCACATGTCAATGGCAAAGTCGTAACCTTTCCCTATAACTGAGGGACAAAGGGAATCTTTGATCACAAATGTACAAGCAAAAATTAGCAATCTGTTAGAGTTCCATTCCGTGTTTCGTACTGTATAATGTGGAATATACAAAAAAAAAACTAGCTCCCATTAGCACTACAGTATGTATGTATATTTATGTTCTGATAAATACATCCAAGGTTCAAAGTAAAACTGTACTTACTGATTTCTGGGGCCCTGTAGAACCTACTGACCAGGTAGGGGGTGATGTCATTGTCAGCGCTGTGCGATGCTGAACCAAAATCACACAGCTTCAACACTACCTTTGATGAATTCACCTGTAAAGCAGAAAGAGGTATATTAGCAAGTAAATGTTCTATATTGATGTTTAGGGAACAAAAAGATCTATGACTTGGATAGGGAATTAAACAGTACGATTGGTTTGTTTGTTTGTTTACTGACCAGAATGTTGTCAGGTTTGATGTCGGCATGGAGGATGTTGCAGCGCTTGAGAAGTTTGAGTGCCAGGAAGAGCTGCTGGGAGTAGGAGCGCACCGCCTTCACGTGAAGGCCCACGTCTCGCCCGTACTTCTTCAGCACCTCCCTCAGGTTCATACTGTACGGTAGAGGGAAGAAGTCAGCCATAAATGGTCAACTGTTGTATGAATTCAAACTGTGAACATTTACTTCTAATACAGACGCGTGTACATGTGTATTGTTTTGAAGCATCACCTGGCAGCTTTTGAAAAAACTGCAGATTTGTTGGGGGATTGTGTTTCCACAGATAGAAAAAATGAAGTGAAAATTAACAAAATGCTACATACCTGAGGGGCTCAAAGACTAAGCAGAGATGGTTCTTGTGGTAGAAGTCTCGCAGAAGACGGAGACAGTGGAACTTGTCTTCTGGGTCAGCATCATTTAACTTCTTCAGGAACTCCAACTCCTTCAGACCAGTCTTGTGCCTGTGTCAATGAAGTTTACAGTAAAGAAAGCTGTCTCCTTGACATAAAAAACTTAGCATTCCTCTAATGCTTATTACCGATTTTTGGACATTTCAAGCATGGAAACAGTGAGGACTCTTGATGAGAATACATAGCAATCTTGAGCATTTGATTAAAACACTTTCAACTTGTTCTACTCAACTGGCAAGCACAGTCCACTTACATCATCTCATTGTTGCGTATAATCTTGATGGCGACGTCCTGTTTGGCCCGAGCCTCATCCCTGGCTCGAACCACATTACTGAAGACTCCCTGACCGGTGAAGCCATACACGACGTACCGCCTGTCCAGCGTCTCACCGATACGCACACCTGTGCAACACATGTCATCATGTCATCACTATTCAACATTGTTTAATGTAAAACAGACAGTTACTTTAGTTCATACACTATATATAGGTTCCCCTCTATACCACTGTTTTATTGCAGATTTTGTTTTTTCTCAACAATTGTTGAGGTAACGCAAGTATTAAGGAAATCACTATATAACAAGTGGAGACAAAACAAAGTTGCGTCAGTGAAGGTTAGACATTCAGGTATATAAAGTTGCATTGGTGAAGGTTAGACATCCAGGCATATAAACCTGCTTTTCTAATAATTATCCAGTGTCGCTGATGAAAGGTATAGTGGATGCTACCTGAAATTTCATACCGTTTCCAAAATCATATCCAGTTGCTTGAGTTTTTTCACAATATTGTCACTTACGATAATATCCCTCGTGGTCATCCCAGTTTTCTGTAAGATGAGGATTGTCTGTTGCATCTTGGATCATCCGGCCACCAGAGCCTGATCCCTTATCCCCGAAGATATCGTCTGTGAACATGTCGTTTCCAGCACTGCCAGCTGAGTCCTCCGGCTCCTCTGTAAGGTGAAACACTCCAAATTTGACTAACAATACCACTAAAGGCTACCAACAGCAGCATGCAATGCAAATGAAAAATATGAACTTTTCAGTGGCAAGTTCATACTTAACTGAACATAAGCAATTTTCATTGTAAATACATAGATGTTTTGAACATAAGTTCTATGTTAATTGTTTTATGTCAATGTCATTAATTTGTTTTATTGCTTGAATGAGTATGTACCGTATGTATTCTTTTTATGTTCCCAGGGACTCTGAGAAACAGGTCATAGACCTGAGCGTGATCTACTGGTGAAATAAATGAATGAAATTTTAGGTTCTTAATTACTCATCTCATAACAAGTGAACAGCCTTAGCATCTAATCATCAAAATCTACTGACCAGCACCCTTCTTCACAGCTCCAGTAATAGTGCTCAGCTTTGCGTTGATAGAGGCTTCGAAATCGTCCTCATCCTCAATCTTGGCATCCTGGGCAAAATCTTCTGCCGCCCTGTCCCCGACCAGCACACTGTCGGGGGTGTTAGCTCCGTCAGCGTCCGAGTCCTCGTCTGAGTCTGTGGGTAGAGGCGTGGACACCGAGCCGCTGTTGTCTGAGCTCTCTTTTTGATATTTCTGAAAAACAAACAATATCAATGTTCTGTACTGAAAAGAAAAAAATGTCTGGATTAAGTAATGTTGAATTCCTATGAATAAATGTAACTTATATATGTTGAGAAAAATTGAACACTGTGACTGACCTGTAGAATTGCAAGTCTCTCCTTCCTGCGACGTTCGATGATGGCCTCCTCATCTTCATCATCATCAGGAATCTCAAAGTCTTCCAAACTGTGGAACAGCAGTACAAAAAGATACATTTTGTAATTTCAGGCATTTTAAGCTAGGACTACACTTAAATCTTTTATCTTGTGCAACACTGAAAAAATCAAACAACAGCATACAACACATATATCGTTTCTATCTAGAACATTCCTAATGACTCACCCTTCATCTGAGGAGTCTTCCTTCTTCATGGCCATGCCCTCCGACAAGCTTCCCTTGAACTTGTCCTCAGGTGACCTGCTCCTGCGTCTTCTGTCCCGATCTCTGGAGTGTGACCTCCTCCTGTACCTGTGTCGTGACCCTGACCGACTCCGTCGCAAAGGAGACCTTCGTCTTCCCATGGGTGAGCGCGATCTTCGCGATAATCTCCTTGGTGATGGTGATCGTCGTGGTCTCCCTCTGCCAATGGGGGACAGACTCTTTCTCCTACCTGGTGGCGTTCTCGAGCGTCGTCTGATAGGAGAGCGAGCTCTTATGATGGGGGCTGGGCTACTTCTTTTCTTCCTTTCATCCATGGTATCTGGACTTCTGGGTCTCCTGTACAAGAATATGGTGTACTGTGAGACCCATCAAAACTGATATAGTACATGTAAAATGAATGGAAGAAATAAATGCATAAAGTGAAAATCACAAATACCTGACAAGGAAACAAAACCGCCGCTTACCTGATAGGGGGGCTCCTACTCTTCTTTATTGGAGTCCTGCTACGAACCTTCTCCCTTTCCAAGGAACGGCTGTTCTGACGTCTAGAGGATGCTCTTTGGGGAGATACGGCTTTCTTTGAGTCCTCTTTAGTCTTTTCCTGAGAAGACCGTTCCACTTTATCAGGAGATCTGGTCTTCTTGACTCTATTATTGTCCTGAGTGCTGGGTGATTTACTGCGCCTCCTTGCTCTACTCTTGTCCCGAGGAGACCGGCTCCTTCTCTTTGGTGAAATGCTGCGTTTCCTGGGGGACTTACTTCTCTTGACAACTCTCTCCTCCCGATCCTTCCTAGGAGACACCCGAGCCTTTCTGTCCGGGGATCGACTACGACGACTTGCCCTACCTCTGTCTGGTGACTTGCTCCTCCTCCTCATGTCCTCCCCAGACTTTCTTCTTCTGTCTCGCTCGGGTCTGTGCCTGGGGGATGTGGACCTGTTTCCCCTGTGTCTGGGTTTTGATGAATGGTTGTCGTGCTGCGACTTCCCGGAGTCCGCTGGAACTTTGTCGTCTTCTGTCAAATCGATGACCTCACCTTCCTCTTCCTCCTCGTCGGTGGCAGCGTACCCCTGGGCGATGAGGGACATGGCGTTGATCTTACTGCCGTCTGCATGGTTCTTCTCCAACTCTGCCTGGATACGAGCTTTGGCCTCCTCCAGTTCCTCCAGATTTGCTGAGTCATCCACCTGTATGCAATCCAATCCACAAGGATGAGAGACAAATAATAGTAGTAATCAACTTTTTCAAGTTGAATTCATTAATGAATTCTGGTATCAGACAGTTTCCTCTAGATATTGTTCTAGATAAAAAAAAATTTACACAATGGAACCCCTACTTACATAGGTAGTACTAACTACTAATGCCAAATGTACCACACAGATGATCTGCTGGTCTGAACACTAAGAAATCTACTACATAGAGACCAACTCACTAACCTAGAACTTCAATGAAGCACTACACACAAGATGTTGATGCCTGACCTTTATTTTCTTCAGCACTGCACTGCTGCCCTCCTTCACCTCCTCTTGACTGTGTCGCCTCTTCTTGTGCTTGTGCTTCCGTCGCCGATCCTCGTCCTCGGAATGCTTGTGTTTGTGTTTCTTGTGTTTCTTCTGGTGCTTGTGCTTCTTCTTACCATGGTGGCTGTGCCTCTTTTTCTCCTCTTTAGAAGACACCTGTGTATTTTCTTCATCGCTGTCACTTCCATTCTCAGCACTGGCAGCTGCTTCAGGACTGCCTGAATCACTGGGAGGGCAAACATGGTCATCATTATGCAAAATACATTTTTGGCAGCCAAAAATTTTATTCCACATGTACCAAAACTCACGACAACAAAGTTATCAATACTCTCATCATGGAATCTAGCATTCCTTCTCCCAAGGTAGAAAAACTAAATGGTGAGTTAACATTTCAAGAAACATAGTTAGAAAATTCATAGTTATAAAGGATAGTTGTTGGTATCATCTGAAATCTATACTATTATACTTTAAATTATAGCAATTAACATCACACCATGTGACACCTGTAAATTTTTTTCCTGGGCTATTTAAAAGAAATACATGCTAGTGGCTGGATGGTGCAAAATTGAATGATGGCAGACTGTGCGGAAACAGACCACACCTCACCCACGTTTCAGGCCTCACGAAGACCGATTAACCCCAAAGACCTTTGCCATAAATATCTGTTTTACTACTTACGTTACATGTTTTGAAACAGTTGAGGTGACGCATAATTTTAAATTACTATTTAAGAGCACGAGGTTTACGTCAAATCTTGTTAGATCATGGTGACTACAGGGCTTTCAAAGTCGGGAACACATTAGTTTGAACAAAGAGTAGGCTGAGTCGTCCGGAAACAAGGACCACGCTTTAAAACTGAAAACTGGTGTGCCAAGCAAACAACTATAAGATAATTTTCGAAGACTTTGGGGGCTGTTTTAGGTAAGACTAAAAACCCGAGATGCAAGGTGATCATGATCTTTCATAAATCAAAGATACTGTAATGCAAAAGAAGCACGTTGTCAACCCTTCTTGTGGGGTTTTAAAGCTCGTCCTTTTCGAAAATTTCCAGATGTTTCTACCAACGACAAAGAGTCGGCCATTTTGTCCTCTGACATGCAGATATCGTGCTAATACTGTCAACTTTGTGACTATCTCCTTGACATATTGCGACCACTAGGCCTCTCTGATCACGTGCTTAAGATAACATAGGTTCTTCTTTATCACACCAGAGGGCTAGTTAGAGTGATATAGTGTCCATTACCTGTCCTCCGTTAATTCTCCAGTGACCGGCGGCTCGCTACCAATCTCCATCATCATGGCCGCCATGATGACACAATGACGTACCGATCCCGGCATGCATCAGGTAAGTAAGTGGAACGATCTGAGTCAAGCAGATGTTAGGAAGGACGATTTGACAACTTGTCCCCTCTATCATGTAACACATCAAGTTGACAACCCTCCTAAAATGTCACAAAATGAGACAAGTAAGAGAACGTTAGAAGAAGCCCCTGTAACATCTGCTTGAACGCGTGAAGGACGAGAAGAGTCTCAGTAAACCATTATCTCCAACTCCAAGCAGATGTTTGGTATGCATTTTCGCTCTCCTTGCACGTCTTGTAGATTTCAAAGTGTTAGGCCTGTACTTCATAGGTTGTCATTTACGAATAGGACAATTCATGCAGCCACATGCATGCAGGCAACGCTGTTGGGTAGTTACGACCTATAATTTATCCATCCATGGTCCGATGGAATCATAGCCTGAGTTTATTACTAGGGCCTATTAGTACTATGCTGGTAAATGATATTGACCGTGTTTACCAATCTGCATTTTCATATCATATATGACATATATGGTTATGATTTATATCAATGTTTTCGATATTGTGACTTTTTTTCTTCGGTTGCCATAGGTGTTTGTGCATAGTTGAGTGTGTGTTCTTGTGATTGGTGTACACTCTTTCCATGTATTTACTAGTACTTTATATGATAGTAAGATGAACGAATAGAAGAGCTACCCCAGTCAGTACCACAAAGTCGATTGAAGATTGACCACTGCTTTATTTCACTGTATACTTAGGATAACATTGAAGACATAACAATGCAACATTACAAATGGATCCCAATGGGCATTCTTGGAACAACCGCACGGGGGACAACCACCAAATCGACAAAGAAGACTTGAATCCCGATTCTGCTATTTCAAAGTATACATCAGATTTCAATCTCGAAATCTGCATGATGTTCGTTGTCATGGTTTGCGCTCTAGTGAGACCGTTGTTTCACCATAATTGCAATCGGTTCCGGATGAGTTGTGACCGGCCGCAAACGCACCTCTTCGCAAGTTAAAGTTAAATATTCTGTAAGCACACAATTGTCATGGAACTTTAGCAATATCCTAGTTAGATAGGGCTATGATCGTTCGATCTACCTATCTAGACCATAAGATACGTACGTAGGATAACTTAACTTCTATTACATGTACTATATTCAATGGTTGGCACCAATATGTCTGTCCTCGTCGTTAGTCATCCTCAGCGTTTTCTAGCAGCATGATGCTTTTTCTAGAGGCTATACTACTAGACTATCACAGACTGGTGTAGCCCATACCTAGCCAGTTTTATACATTTGATGTGTAGTGATGGCGCAGTAAAAAATTCATGTCGGCATATGTCCTAGGTGCAACTTTCATAAGGTGTTGGACATGTAGATCGATATCATTAGCTACCTTCACACTCATTGGCAAAAACATGTAGTCGTAGCGACGCATGTTCAGACTTAGGATTTGTTCTAACTTACATCATATGCTCTCAGGTTTTGCTTGTTTTCTTTGCCGTTTTGGGCCTTTTTCGTTTGGCTGTGCCATTGCCATTGGTCGATTGTTTGTCGCGAGTAGTTGCTGTCAGGTCTGTCAGCGAATGTCTCCTTTGCGATGAGAAACTTTTGCCCGGCATAACTTTTTCCCGTCCCCCTGGGGTGCGCCTTCCCGTGGGGGGTCGTGCAGCAGTCTTGTCATGTTTGTGTGCATCATTTGATTTTGACTTGCTACCATACGTGTGCTCGCGGATTGGTTTGCTGGGAACAGACGACTGCCCTCTACTGAAGGTTGTATTGCTGGATTTGGGTCGACCTAGGACGGCGTTGTTCTCATTTATCACAGTAGCATTCGATCTCTGTTTGGAATGGCAAGGTGTGCAAGATTTGGGCCTGGTGATCCGTGATGGGGACCCTTTGTTGTCCTCCTCTCTCGGTGGCTGCCGTTGGTGGCTGTCGTAGCAATGTTCTTTACAAGTCCCTGTGCAGTATCGTTGGCGACAGTGGATACAGAGCCGCCCTGACGGCACCCTTTTCTGGACGCAGTTCCCCGCACACATCGGCTGTACACAGTCGGGGTGGCAGGGTTTGCCCTGCCCGGCTTTAGGCTTCGCTAACGCCGCAGTACGTTCCCTACTGGCGCCCGACCTTGACGCTGCGCGGGAAGAAGGCCGGCTTTTTTCCATCTCCCATTGTATCGTCTGCAACTGGAGCCGCTCAAACTCCATCAACCGCTCAATTATATCCAGGTACTGTCCTTTGGGTTTGACTCTGACAGCGTCTTTCCAGTTCTTGTTGGACAACAGGGCCAGTTCCTGCAGGTCCCACTCATTGAACGGTTTAGGCAAGAAGTCCGGGAAGGGAAACACACCTGACTCGCCCTCTTTGCTATCATCACTATCATAATCATCAAAGAACCGCTCGATGTCCTCCAATTCTACACTATCTGGCTTGAGTTGAAGATCTGGGATGTCTTTAGGAATCGTGTTGTCCTCGCTACGCTGTTTTTCTGTCTCGGAATAGTCCGTGTCGTAGTCGGAGCTGTTATCATTACTGGAGGCCAGAGCAAGCCTGCTAGGGTCTTTCAGAGGCCGGTTGCTGCCTGCTGTTGCCTGTATAGCGAGGTCGGCTATCTGTTCGTTATAATCGCCCGGGTAGACCGAGGAATGGCCGCTGCCCGGGCGGGGCGACCAGGACGACGACGGCGGGCGGAAGGGTCCTCGTCTTCTCGATGCGTAGGGTGACCGGGTAGGGCGTGGCAATCTGGAACACAAAGTACAATCAATACCTGAGTTATGACACGTACTCTTAACCCTACACACCGTGATCGGTAATAAATTTACAGTAGCGGCTGCAGAAATAACCTCATAGAAAACAGGCCAGCGATTCCGCATGCAGTGTTAACCACACCCACAGAGTGCGAGGAGCCGCGACAGTGGAGTATGTTTCCCCACACCTGTACCTTCATTTCCCACCTGTCATTGTGGTAGGACTTACATTTTCGTAACCTGTAGTTCGACAGGAGGAGGGTGTCGAACGTGCTTTATCTCCACCCGCTTCCTAAGACGTGTTCTGAATTGTAACGGAGTGAGTGAGTGAATGAGTGAGTGAATGAGTGAATGAGTGAGTGAATGAGTGCATGAGTAATTGGAGGTAAATGTTGTTTGATGTATACATAACGGTTTTATGACGTCTGCCTGCTCTGTATTTTCTGATTGACACTAGCCACGCATCTCCACGATACAACAGACGGCGGAAATCATAAATTCTTAATCATAATCCCGACTGCCGGTTTCATCAGTACCTTAATTTCCTGCTTAATCAAGTAGGTTAAGTTCCGTGGCATTAAAATCGTCGTCTGTTTGCTTAGCAGCTTGCGCAATTCGTGATCACAATTACAATTTCACGCTGTCACGATCCACAGGAGTTACCATAGATCTATTTATGGTTAGTTGCTCGTTTCTATACTATCTTATCCTGTTTACTAGTTAAAAACTTGGTAAATAGCTTCAAGCTTTTGTGTCGTACAAATACATTGTAGTAAATCACTTAGCTAGAATCAGATGGCCAAAATAGATTTCGGGATCAAATCTATATAAGCAAAGCGCGTGAAATTCCATACAAACGACCCAGAAATGGAATTTGGAGAGGGGAAAGGAAAACGGAAAGGACTGGGTTACTTGTAAATATTGCTGGACAACATGTCAAAGCCTCTGACGTTTCAAACTGTAATCCGATGATGCCCGATCTTGAAGGCATCGCCAGTCCTCCTCAGATCATGGGAGAGAATCATTTTCTAAAAAATTTTACGTATTAGGACCGTTATAGCTTATACCGTCTGTAGACCACTTAGTACAGGACTGAAGCGTAGTGCTGGTATTTAGAAAATGTAACTGTTCTGAACATACGAACGGAAAGCAAAACTGGCATATTTTCTACGAAAAGAGAGCCCAAACCACTGTTGTATGGATTCCCTGCACGTTGATGGTTAACAGCGCTTACCGGTTACTACTTTTGTCCTGCTTCTGGAAGGGAGGCGACACCACCATCATGGCGTCATGGACGTGTTCGAAGGCGTCGGGCACCACCTCGGGTCTGTTCGGCGTCGGCGTTCGGAAGGCCCGCATGCTGAGGCTGGAGGGAGTCGGCGGCCTGGCCAGGCGGTGCTGGTCCCCACCTCGGCTTCCCTGTCGTTCAATTAGAGACAGACGATCAACTACTAACTACACAGTCTGTAAACATCTCATTCTCACGGCAATGGAGTGCATCGTCTCCTAAATACTCATTTCACGATCCAGCGAACATGCACAGATCCATCCGGACAAACGGCTTCAACGTGAATGTTTTCTCCGAGAAAAGCTTTTATTACAAATCAGGGCACAAGGTCCCGTCGTAACGGAATTTCTCATTTCCGTTGTGTATACATACAAGTTAACTTTGGACTCAAATCTACCTGGATACTATTACGCTTGGTACATAATAACTTGGAGAGCCAACGATTTATAATAATGAAGCTTTGGTTGGATAGCGCTGATGCTATGCCAGTCCATATGACAATTAGATCACCCCAAACGACGACGTAATTATGTGGGAGAGTTCGAAGGGAAAGTTTATATTACGTTTATTTACTCAAGACAAACTTTCACTAATACCGGTCGATATGAGCATGGGGCGTACACAGGGGATCAAAGAATGCCATGTAACTAGTACAGTAAGCATGTTGAAAACATAGCGTCAACAGAACTTTGTTGACACCTCTTAACCGTTTTCCTCCTGTGGACCTGTTCACTCATCGAACGTACGCATGTTATTCACTGGAGATCAGCACGAAGAAGGTTAAAAGTGGCCGTGAAATTAGACATCCACACAACCAAACGATATGCACAACAAATTTTAATAATCAGTCCTCAGTTATTTGGAAACGTTGCTAGCGTAACTAGTGCTAAGTTCTTAAGAAAACATCAATTTCAGTAAACTTCATTTGTAGGCTGTCATCTGTACGCGATGTGATTATACCACATGGTTGAACTGTTATGTCGTTAATTATGGCCGTCCTACCTTTGTGCTGCTAGCTACAGTATTGCCCATCTCTCGATGACAGTACCGTATGTCTACTACTGTCACACACCATGTATGAATTATACATGAAAGACACTTTAGTCCCCATTGTGGCGGACACAAAAGCAATCATGGAGGCGTCCTCCCATGAACTCCCGAAGTGTGCTTGGCAGGCCAGCATTTAGAAAAGCTTATCAATTGTTAATATGTCAGTTTAAAATGTTGACAAGGCCCCGCAAACACAGTTAAATGGAGAGGAAAAACCCTCGTCTGAACAGAAGAATTTATTCCAAACTGTCAGGAAACGGCGTTGTAGCTGAGGATCACGAGAAGTCTACATCTTTTTATGCAAGAAATTGATTTCCCTTACTGTTAGGACTGGTGGTATAAAATGATATACTCGTAAGTAGACATGTACATCCTGAGCACATTCTGGAAGCACCATGTAAGCCTTGTTTTTAAGAAGGAGTGATTTAAGGTTAGAGGTGCTGTATTTCGTTCTTGTTGCCATGTATTATTTCCCTCCTTGTTTATGTTCATCTGGGAAAAGTTCCTGACATAAAGCAATAAATGAAAATAAAATTGAATTGAAGTGCGGGATTTTCCGTGTAAGTACAATGTATGATAAAGTAGTTTTGACGTTACTCCGAGGACACGCCTGTAGATCTGACCTTTCCCACAGGGAAAATGGCACTGTAGACCAAGGACGGTCAATCATGAGGATGCCGTGACTTGTAACATGGGCAATCTATCTTTTGTGGACATATGGCTTAGGAGCTAAATGTTCAAAGTACAAAGCGAGGTTCACATCACCAAATGTGATATATGGTATCCTGCAATTAATATTTTCTGCCAGTGGTTGGGAAGATAAATAGGTCTTAAAAGTTTAATAACATGGGCAAAAGTAAAAGATTAACTGGGTGCGACGTTCATTGCGCTACTTTAATACTGCCGTACTTGAAGATCTGCACCTGGTTTGATGAAACATGCATTTGAAACTAAGATCTATAATCCACATTTACAGCTACTATTTGTGAAGTGACCATGCTGCTTCATCGTGAATAAGAAAGCCGATTGTACTTGTTCATAATGAAATCATTTCGGCCAGAGACGATCTATGGTAGCACTAGATGTTGAATTTTAGCTCGAATCTTGATTTGTAAGGGAAGTGTATTTGCACAGTTCAATTATAGTCTTTCGAGACTGACTGACAAAGAGAGAGAGGGGGGGGGAGAGTTGAGTTGAGTTGAGTAACAGGCTACGGGAAGCATGATGCATATGCGGCTCCAGATGTCTTACTGAGGAATGATTGCGGCCGGTCAGCTTTTAGAATATGGGTTACCTTGTTGTGGGTTTGGCAACAGATGTAGATATGCAGTGATCATGAGCTCCCAACTTCTTACATATTGTGGTACTCGTACATTACTGTCATAGAGCGGTGGGAGCACCGTCCTGATCCCATGTGATCCCATGACATTGCACGTCCTTGCGTTTCAGCCACAACACTGGTACTCCATTGTAATCGGAGCTTACAAAACAGTACAGAACAATTGTAAAATCTATAGAGCCTCTCCCAGAAGTGGTTTCTAAACAAAATCGCCAAACACGCCCACGGTTGAAGGATCCATCGATCGGCTGTCGTCTCAGTACAAAGCGCGCCGTACTGGTGCGCGGGCACAGAGTGCTGGGTATTTGCCCAACTCTCCTTTCATCTCAGTCCCCAACACTCTCTTTAATCACGTTTAGAGAGAACGTTGTGAGGTAGGAATGTGTTGTAAAGCGGTTTTAAACAGGCGTTTGGTACTGGTTTATCTGATCAAACAAAGACAGCCGTGTCTAAGCCGGGCCGGTAGAGAGCTCTTATCGACCGCAGGCTGTCATGAGACTGAACGTGACCGTGTGGACTTTGCGGATGTGACATACTTATCGAAATATTACACCCAAACCACAGAACGCACGGTTGGTGCTGAGATAGATGGCTACTCAGTAGAATAATAGTTATCTGAACGATATAACAATTCAATCTGTCCCAACGTATCCAAAAGAGGCCGTAGGTTTTAAAGTAGTACAACGAAGGGATCAATATCTGACAACAACCAAACAGAATAGTTGATATCCACCCTAGATGTAACCATAAAGTTTAAAATGGCGCTCTATACCAATGGCCAGACTCTTGGAAATGTTCACGGTCACAATTATTTTTTTATTTATTTATACTGTCACATTCACATTCCAGTGTTACACACATGATATCTGGTAATGTTTTACCCGAAACAAGTCCGTTGGTCTCAGAAATTCTAGTCATGGACTTTGCGTCCTACTCGTACATGCGTGACAACAATAATGGCCATGAAAAATGTTATGGGAAAAATCAGTGGACCACTTGAAAATTGTTCTTGACTTTTGAATGGTCCGAGGTCTTGAGTTTCCCAGTCATATCCCCGTGGGAATATCTTGCAGTTGTGTATTCTTTACCCAATTTGGGCTTTTCAGAACACACTTGGGAATTTGTGAGATTTCAGCCTTCTTTCTAAATGTCAGGTAAGATCAAGTGCTTAAAGCTGACATTTGGGGATCCAGACGGTTAGTGAGTGACTTACCCGCTTGCCGTGCCTGCTCCTGCCGCCGATGCTGAGCTGCACCTCCCGCACCTGCTCCGACAGTCTCCGCAGCGTCTCCTGTCCGGGAAGAGGCAGGCGGTAGTACCAAAAACGGACCGGCGACGTCGGCCGTGTGTTTTGCGTCTTCAACATTCTAAACATCTGCCGCATGGTCTAACGGTCTAACCTCCCCTGTAAATCACTGCATCGCCAAGACCGCTAGGTAGAACAACTGGCTAGATCCATGAACAATGAAGTTGTTCTGCCCTGAACCGATACACTCCAGGTAACGCCCGTGTACGCGTTTTCGTAGTTAGACTAATAATGTATATACTGTAAACGACAAAGGATTGTTTTCCCATCCCGACGCCAGTGCTTAACACACACTTTTAGAGGCAGCGGAGGGAAACGCCGGCTGAACCAATACCATAGCCGCACGCCCTCACTGATTGCCGTGTTACCGTAAATGTTGCTTGGAAATTACATGGAGGAACATGACGCCGCCGTGTTTCCGCGTGAGTGTGGGTCAAGCACGACGCCTGGGGGAATAGCAGGGATGTATGGGACGACAAACATTCATTTAGACATTGGCACCAAGCAAACAACGTCTCGCAAAGGGCAGGTATACATGTATATAACAAACATGTTAAACTCACCTGGGTGATTTTATACAGGGAAGGGTCTGAAAGGTAAACAGAACAGGTGTGATCAGTATATATACAACCGTCACAGGTCTCAATATTAACACAAGTGACACCTCATATATACTAGTATGTGTAAGGTATGTATTATTCATTTTGTACAAGTATAACTGCTATAAATTGAGCTGTTGTTAAGCGTGGGGAATCAATCACGGTCACCCAGATTAATAACGATCGGTTCAACGTTCACGTTCACAAATGTTAGTTTGGTATCAAACAAAATAAACTGAACCAACTAACAGATGGGACGTCCTGGTTAACCGTTATCCTCTAAAGTAAACTGACAATGCCTTGCGGAGCTCCTATTTCTAAAGTCGGTTTTGTTTTTCGGATAAATTTACCCCGGCCGAGTGTTGCATTATGCCTGTTTCTGGGTTCAGTGAAAATTTATAACGACTGAGGTAAGTACGTGTTCTCCAGCCGAGAGGCTATTGTTCCAAAATTCCAAAGTGGTCACGGTATGAGCTGTGTAGTTTCGGGCGAGAATTTGAAAAGACGCCTGTATCTAATCAACTCAACCTTACGCGAAGGTAACTACCAGGAGGAGTATCGAAAACCGTCCTTCTTTGTTGTAGGTAATCATATTTCGTGGCAAGCAAATTGCACACTGCACAACGCTTCATCCACTAAGACCTGGCCTCTACCAGGCTTCGGGAGGCAGCCGGAAAGAGCAGAAATTGGCCAAATAGAGAGATGATATGCCGGGGAGTTGGTCCGCTGGAGAATAAAGTTTGCAGCTGTTTGCCGCACCCCAGGCCTTTTAGGGGTCGCTACGATCAAACGGTGTAAAAGTAATCGGGTGCGGCAAACTGTATTCTCCAGCGGACCAACTCCCCTGACATACTTGAGTATTACCTCTCTATTTGGCCAATTTCTAAATTTTCTAGCCGCCTCCCGAAGCCTGGTAGAGGCTTAAACCAGCTCTAAGCGTTATAATAAGGTGGCACAAGGTCAACCAAAGGCCTCCATCTACTCAATATTATTTAACAAGTCATAAAGATACCAACATACTTTTGCAACCATAGTAATCGCTTTTGTCATCTGATATGCTCTACAACGTTCCTATCGAAACAGCTTTATGTACTGTTGGTATAGCTAAATGATCATTGACCCGCTCCGCCCAACGTTTCTTTTGAATAAAGCCAATATCCTCTGCAGAGTTTGCTCGGTGTATGAGTGGCTACGTTTGTATATCTTTGTCAAGAATCGTGCGTCATTTATGGGGGCTGTTACAGTATATTGAACGCAGCAGTAAATACGTGTAACAAAAGAGGGGATATGTCTTGTTGACGGAACCCACACGTACCAAATCCGTCGTCGTCGGAGTCCTGATCCAGGGGCGAGGTCTTTCTGGTCCACGCCTGCCACGACAGGGTGTTCTGAAAGAAACACAACGCCATTTACCACACGGAGAAAGACTAGTTACAAAGTGTGTGTAAATGTTATGACATCGATGTTATCGGTTACTAGGAAAAAGGTTATCAGTGACGGGATTTTTTGAGGGACTGTCGATTAGGTCATTGGTTACTTTGGTATTTGCGTCAAGGACGTTCTTTGAAACACACTAACCGTTTGAACTAAAGGCAAGGCAAACAGATCCGCACTTTCAGCAAATACATGTTGTAACTGCCCGAAGCCAATTTTCCACTTGGAAATTCTAAACACTGCAGCAGATTGCCTGCGTAATTAACTTACGTAACAATCAGAGCGGATCCAGAATACTCGGGAGTTCACCGCTCCCACACCCAGGTCGGTTAGATGTAGGCAGGGGAGGTCTGACACATTCAAACCCCATCCTAACAGACAACGATCTTCGTGTTTCACTGACAATATCTGAGGACAATTATGGAGTAACCCGATGCACACAGCGAAAGACCTCTGTGTGTTTTGGTATACAAACTTAAGGGGGCACTTAGGCCCTGCTTTAAGGTTGGTATTTACCCTAAAAGACCCCTCTCTCGGCTGAATCATGTTTAAGAAAATTATCCACAATAGGGTGGACGATACATTGTATTTCCCCATGGAATTCAGTAGGTCAGCTATCCGACAAATTCTACACCCTATTTTAGACAATTTTTCTGCATGAATATATGTAGTCTCATTTAGTCTATGTATTTTTGTGTTGGAGACTACTATATGTATTTTACTATCATCCCTTAAGCTTGGTTTTACTAAAATAATTACTTGCCAATGAATAAAATACACACGGCACACCTCTTCCGGGGAACGCAAACCACCTGTTCTACAACCCAAAAATACTACAAGGATGGGGGAGGGGGAAGGGGGTTCTTGGAAGGATCAATTTAGTACAATTAAGAGTCTTTAATGATAATTGTACCGGGCAGACAGGTTTTCACATAACCGTCTGCGCCTGAAATCTCCCGGCGCTACACCGTGCTAACTGACCCCGATGTCCGCCCACCCGTACAGGTGCCGTACCTGGTCCAGGTCCCACGTCGGCCGTGTGGTCTGCCGGGCCGCCCGCTGCTCCAGCCGGGCGGGAGGCTTCCAGTCCGCCGCCGCCGACTTCGGTCTCTTGACATGCCTGTAAACAGAATTAGGAAGAGACATCTTCACGACTGCCGTGTGAAATCCTCACAAAGCTCATCGTGACCTTTCGCTCAATAGAAAAAGAATAGCTCGCCAAGACAAATGGATAATAAATGGGAGAACAGATCGCGATATAAATCATTTACACACCCTTGGAAGCCTTTCTTGTTGGCCCTCGGATGGGGGGCAGGCCAGTTTTGACTGTAAACTGTGGTCAGCAGGTCAGTCGACTCCGGCCACTGTGTGTCCACCGCCATTTTCGACTTGCGGCGGGATCAGGTGTCGGCATGTAGAATGGATTCCGCCGGTGTGAATGCGCCTCCCTACAATGGGAAGGTGTTGTCAGTAACCAAGCACCCGACACAAAGGTCATGTTGGCTCAGCCAGTCAACAGTTGCCGGGCGGTTTGCGTTCTCGCTCTTGATTGGTCCTTAGGGACAGAATGCCTCAAGCACGGGCGTCCTAACGAGCTGTAAGCGTTTGTTTCAGAAGCCGTGACCCATAGGAAACGAGAAAAACTTCCTTCTTCTCCGTCATTTAGCCTTTTCATCGTTATCTAAAACATAAATCTATTGAAACCACCACAAACGTTTCGGGAAACCACCTGTTTGAATCCCAGGCTACCTATGGGGTAACTATGCCGCCTTGTCCCCAGTGCGTGCAGCTATAAAAACTAATCGACGTGAAGTTCAAGAGGTACAGCCAAGGAAAACACCAGGACAATGTCGACTCTATTATGAGGCTTACACACAATGCTACTGTAGTTGGGAAAATAAACATGGCCCAACCCACCTGCTATGATAACAATCGTGCTTCTACCATGTCTCCAAAACCTCTGAAACACACGGTAGAGCCTCTTCATCCGGAGTGGTGCTCATTAGCGTTTTTATCTTGTGAAGTTGAGTGAAACATGATCTGGGTCTTGCTCCAGGCGATAACGCACTCAAATGAATTGGGATTTAATCCTAGCCAAAGGCAGCATTCCGTTACCAAGGGTTACGTCAGGAAATATTGACCAGCTCTGTTACCACTGAAAAGAGATTATTAGTATGCTTTATCAGTGTTTGTTAGTTGGGTTTGTGAACAGGCTAACACTCACTATTTTCTTTCTTATCAGGTCTGGAATATTGGAACAGGTGATTAGATTTTCAGAAAAATCTATATCTAGTACAATTTCCAGCATTTTGAGATGTGACCAATTTGTCTGCACTCTCTGGATGATGTCTGGCTTAGAATACTAGTACATCAGTGCATCTATTCTTTTACTTTCTGTCTACTACACCATGTTACTGATATATCTCTAACATACTATTGACCTGTCTCAGTATTGTTACTGCACACAGTTGACACACAGTTCCGTGGTCATACAAAGTTCAAAATGCTAGGTTGCAGTATGGAAAATTATCCAAGTATTAACATGGTAAACTTATATGACAACAGCTTCAGAGATGTAAATGAAAAACAATATCACAACCTATATTAATATATTCTGTATTTATTCATATCCAGTAAGTGAAGCATTGCAGGCTTTTGCAAGCAAACTTCCATGATAACATGACAGGATTTTACCTTTTGTACACATCTCTGCAGGTAACCTATATCCATCCTCCTTCGCAGGGCTAAAATCCTCCGGTTCCTTCGGGTTTCGAAGGAACCGGAGGATTTTAGCCCTGCGAAGGAGGATGCCTATATCATGGTATGCATCACACTGCAGCAAATTTCCTATATAACAACATGTCCTATGTAACAACATAGCTATCTTGGTGTCTATGGAACAGGAATTACTCTCAACATTCTCAACATTTACATATTTGTTATCTGTCAAATTTACACACAAAAAAATGAAAAGTCAAAAGATAATTTTATACAAGGATGGACCAGGAAAAGGGAAACAATAAGTGGTTTTGAGAAGAATGTAATGGATTCTAAAAAATAACAACACCCAAACCATCATCAATTCATAATGGCTCAAAGTTCCACAAAAAAGGATATATTCTGCACAGCAAATTAGGCTCAAAAGATACTCTATACACTGAAGTGATCATGATTTTCCTGCTTGTTATAGGAAATGTAGTCCTTTATCATTCATGACTAAGTACCTGCAGCTTTTTCACCTTTGTTTCAAAGCACATGTCGCAGCAGTACCTTTCAAATCTGAGCACACATGTAGCTCTTGCTAGTGGCTATCAACATTGTAGTTATACTCGACTAGCAACTAGTGGGAAGACATCCTTGTACATAGGTCAGTTATAACTTCTGGAGTGGTACCAGCTGAACATAAGGCCACACTGACGTAACTTTATTGATGACATCATCTGAAGACCCTCAAACTAGTGCCCCCCCCCCACTAAAATGCTGCTAAACCACAGGAATGCAAAGCTGGTACTGTGGATTTGTGGTAGTTACTAGTACATAGCTACTTTTACGACAAGCTAGCACATGCTGGCCTTTTGCTGGCCCGTTCTTGAGTTCCTTGGAGCTTTGGCAGCCTGGGTGTCATCCTCTGTGGTCACCGCCGGCTCCCTAGCTACCATAGCCAGAGCCTTGGAGGAGGTGATTTGTTTTTTTGAGAACAGGCAGATATCATCCATAAAATTAAATCGGTGTGGCCTAACTGGTGTTGTAAATCATCCTGGAATTTGTGGGGAGCTAGTCTAGTAGCGTGTGTAGTTGTGTAGGATGTTACTGGTGGCCTGCATGACCTCTGTGCTGGTGTCGTACTCCTGGGTGGTGTACTGTTGTGTCAGGGTGGCCTGCTGCTGCTGCAGGGAGCCGTCCTGCTGCATCAGTCCTGCCTGCTGCTGCTGCTGCAGGGTCTGCTGCGGGAGTCCTGCAAAACAACCAACAAAGTTTACTTTTGGCAAAATACTATGACAGTAATGACATGTGGATTTTATTATACAGATGACATCCTCTGGGAACCCCAAAACTGATGCGTGTGAAAAAAAAGTTTGGGAAACAATAATACAATTTAGGGGGGAACAGATAAAAAATCATGCACGTGCAAATGTCATCCATATAATCAAATCAACATGGTCTAAAGGGCAAAAGAAAACAGGAAGGACAACTTCTATTAAGATATAAGTTACACGGACATGGAACAGTTTTGTACAAGATGAGTAGTCAAAAGCTGAACCAACAAATAAACCAAACCACAACATTACTGTTAGTTGTAGTGTGGCCCACCTTGCTGCTGGTAGTGTTGTTGGTGCACCTGTTGGTGCATGGTGGAGGTGGTAGGCTGCTGGGCCAGACTGGTGCTGGGAGCGGTCACCATGTGCTGCTGACTCATCAACTGCTGCAGACCCTCACCTGGACAACATAAACAACAAACATCAACAACATGGGAGAAAACACAGTGTTATCATACAAACTGTAGTCCTTTCTATCAGGTTTAATAGGAATATGATATATGGATGTATTCAAGGTTATTTGTACTTCAACCCTATGAGATGAATTGTATGATGCACCTACAAATCTTATTTTCATGACGATATTTCTGTAAGTCATAAATTGGAGTTCCTACTTCTTCTCAAAGTTACAACGTACAGCAATATCGTCATGAAAATAAAATTTGCAGGGGCATCAAAACCCTCTAACGTAAGTGCATCATATGACATATGTCACTGGAGCTTAAGGAGGATAAATGTAGTAAACACAAGTGTAGGAACAGTAGTTGTTCCATTTCATTGTTTCACTAGAAGCACCAAACTCAAAGTTAAATGGCTCCTACCTTCCTGTGGATGAGACGTGGTCAGGATGACATGGTGGATGATCTCGGCTGTACTGACCACCTCCTGATGACCCAGGGTCATGGTGTCCTGAGTGGCCATACTGGGAGTGGACATGGCCTGCTGTGTGGTGTACACCACCTGGTGGGGCAGGGATGTGCTGGCCTCTGAGATGGCCTACATCGGTGCAGATACAAACAGGAAACTCTTCAACATACAGATGCCAGAAAACGAGTTGTGCACCAAATTTTTTCTGTGATATTCAGATATACTCATAGGTTTACATATGCAAAAATGTATACATCTAAGTGTCAGAAAAATAAAATCTTTTAATAAGGTGCACCAAAATTTTTTCTGTGCACCCAATTTTTTAGGTTGGGTGAACCAGTGAACCTATTCCCAAAAATGAATTTCAAGCCCTGTAGGTACCTGCAGCAAGCTTGCTTCCTGTATAGATGAGTGTGTAGGCTGGGGGGACTGCTGAGGCTTCTGTGTGTTGTGTATCCTCTCCATGTGGAACTTCAGGTGGCAGTTACGGTTGAAGCGCTGCCCACAAGCCTCGCAGGTGAAGGGCTTCTCGTTCGTATGCGTCATCTGGTGCCGCTTCAGGTCCTTCTTGTTCTTGGAGGCAAAGGAACACTGGTCACACTTGTGTGGGCGTAAAGCAGAATGCTCCTGCATGTGCTCCTTCAGAGCCAGCCAGTCCAGTGTGGAGAAATCACAGTCCACACACTTGAACCCCTGTCCACCACTGTGGGCTTTCTTGTGGATTTCCAGTTCACTCCGCCCACTGAATGACAGCGAGCACTGCTTGCAGGTGAACTTCTTTGGAGTGGAAGACCCCTGACTGTCCTCCTCACTGACATACTCGGTGTACTCGTGCCCTCCCTGTACGGCATACTGTTGGGAGATGGGAACTCCCATGGCATACTGGGTGCCTTTGTCTGTGGAGGAGTCTCCGGCCGTCACCACTACCGTGTGGGACACCTCTGTGGGATCTCCTGCATACATCTGCTGCTGGGACACCACAGGGCCTTCAGCGTAGGGGTTCAGAGCGACATGCGTCACCTCCATCTCCCGCGCCCCTGCCACGTTGGCGGGCTGGAGCCTGTACTCGTAGTTGCCGATGTTCTCGCTTGGGTCCATGTGGATCGTAACAACCTTCCTGGTCTCGCCCTCCCCCTCCTGTAGAGGGAGTTGAATGGCGCTGATGTTGGAGTCTCGAGCGGTGCTCATGTTTAGGAGCAGATCAAGGGCTGACTCGGCAACACTCTCTGCTGACTCTGCTCCTGTAGCCTCATAGATTGTGGTTGTGCCAGACTGAGACAGTTTGGCCGTGGCCACCTCCGGACCTGCGCCTGTATCCTCTGTGATCTCCACGATGGTGGCTTCACCGGCGCCCACCACCTGCAGGGCCGTGACGGCATCCTGAACCGCCTGTGCCTGGCTGTGCACCTGAATCTGTTCGTACTGCTGCTGCTGGATCTGCTGCAGCTGCTGCTGTTGCTGCTGCAGGAGCTGCTGTTCCTGCTGCTGCTGGAGCTGCTGCTGTTGCTGCTGCTGCATGAGCTGGTGCTGTTGCTGTCTCTCCTGCTGGACCTGTTTACATAAAGTATCATTAATCATCACCTACAAGTATCCTATAAGCAATGAAACAACTCATCATTCACATCTTTATCCAAAAGACAATGCAACACAACAGCCTAAGTAATTAAGGATTGATGGCCAAGAAAACTATATGAAGTACTAACCAATTGCTGCAGCTGTTTATGTAGTTCAATGCCCAGCCTCTTCTTGGGTACGTCCTTCCCGAATAGCTCCAAGTATTTCTCAGGGTGTTGTCCCTTCACGTGTAGCTTCAGGTTACGCTGGTGCTGAGTGGAGAACTGGCAGATGGTACACTGAAAGGGTTTGGCCCCAGTGTGCTTGGCTTCATGAGCAACCAGGAATTCTTCTTTTGCAGAGGCATATTTACCTGTAAAACAAAGACTATCTTCAGTACTTTTACGTAAGTGAAATTCAGTACAAAATTAACATTGCAAAATGACAGTGAATATGTTGCTTCCCCTGGTGAAAATAAACAATACATGTATATTAATACATGTACAATATTAGTATGCAAAGATCATGATTCAAAGATGCAAAGATCATCTTACAGAAGCTGCACTTGAAAGGCTTCTCATCATTGTGGGCCATCTGGTGGTTCAACAGCACCCTCTTGTTGTCACAGGTATAACTGCAGAGCTCACAGACGTACTTCCCATCTACACGGGCATGGATGTGGGTCAACAGGTGCATCTTGAAGGTAAACCTGAGATAAACAAGTGAGAAGTTATGGTTCAACTGGGAGAGGAGACAATTCACAGTCTTCACGGCAGTAGAATTTCATTGTCAGAGGAAAATGGACATGTTCAAGTGGCAAGAGAGGGAGAGAGGCAAAATAGAAATGATTTGATAATGGTTATGAAGTATATGTACTGAAGTGACACGAACATACAACGTGAACATAAAAGTACATTACAAAAGTCACTGTCAGCTGCAGAAATTACAATAATTCATCAGCAACAACAGCTATAAGAATGTTGTGTCCACAAACCTTTTCTTAAAGGACTTGCCACACTTGTCACACATGTGAGGCTTCTCGGCACTGTGGGTCTTCATGTGCTGCGTCAGCCTCTTCTGCATGGTGTAGGTCCTCCCACACACCGGGCAGGCGAAGGACGACAGCTTGGGCTGCTGGTTGTGCTCCTTCACGTGCTCCATGTACGGCTTCTTCAGGGTGAACATCATGGTGCAGATCTCACAGGTGTAGGGCTTACGGTCTGCCTTCCGGCGGTGGGTCTCGATGTGACTCTTCAGGTGAATGTCACGTTTGAAGGCCTTTCCACACTGTTCACAGATAAACGGACGGTCTGGAGCGGGAGGGAGTGGAGAGAAGAATCAGGACAATGATACCATATGGCAGCATTAGAAATCTGTCATAAACGGCTGAATTTTCTAAATCACAATGTCTGAATGGAGACAAATCAAGAGACAAATGACGATTGGTCTGACTGAGACAAAGACGTATACTAATTTGGTTTGTCAAATGCAGTTCAACTTTGGAAAAGTTCAGTTGATTCACAACCAAGAACAGTTAGCCTGGGAGCCATCTGTTTTTGTACACGAAAAAAAAAAAATTAGGGGGGTAAATTATTGCAAGGAGGTTGGTTATTGCAAGGAGCCCTGTTGCAAAACAGATGGCACCCAGGCTAAAAGACGAGTTGTTATTATTATCACCATGATCAATACCTGTAGTATGTGAGGATTGGTGACGGGTGACATCCTTCTTGTACACACTGCTGTAGTTACACTTGTCACACTTGTAGGGCTTGGACTGCCCATTGTGGTGGAACTGATGTTCCTTTAGAGATGACCATCTAGGAACAGGGCCAAAAAAGATAAATACCAGACATTGAAACTACCTGTAAGTCTGCATCTTAAGCTTACTCTCAGGTAAAATCAAGGTGTCTTTAAGGATACCTAGGCTACAAACCTAGCTCTATGCGGTTAACATGTTCCTACTGCTCAACAGAAAATTCAGCATTGGATAATTCTACAGAAGTTGGAAGATTGGTAACTACACATAGAAACTGTACGTGCAAGTACAGACATATGCACACATATGAGTTGAAAAAACTACTAACATACACCATTAAAGTTCTTTCTGAGGAATGTTTGTACCTACCTGGTACAGCTGTAGGGCAGTCGGGACACTTGAAACTGTTGGTACTGACACCATCATGACACTTCTGGTGGAAGTTCAAGTCTGTGACTGTGGGGAAGCGCATACCGCAGCTGCGACACCTGTGGTCGGAAGAGCAACAAATATTTCCATCCACAACTGGCATAATGATACAACTCATAACTTCAAATTCTATGAAACATATTATATTGTAACAAAATCACCCTTGCAAGGTTGCATGATCCTGATCATGACCTGATGGTATCGCAACTCAGGATCACTACTGCAACTGTTGCTATGCATGCCAGTGTGAGTAGTGGTACTACCAGTACAACATACAATAACATTAGTCCTTGTAAAAGTTCAAAGTACGTTGTGTGTAGTGTATGTTGAAATGCTGACTTACCTGTGAGGCCTCATCAGCTTACGAACTCTGTAGCCTTTCTTCATTTTCCGGATCCACTTGGCTTTCAGCTTTGCCACCCTCCTCCTCCTGACAGGAGATGGGGAAACCTCAACCGTTGCATCTGATTTTCCCTCCTTTTCCTCCTCTGCTGTCGATGCTTTCTTTGGCTGGGATTCGTCTGAAGTACTGGGCTGGACTTCAGGACTTTCTGTGCCATTTGTAATACTGGAAGAAGCTGTAGCCTCTGTCTCTGCACCCTTTTCTATGGATTCCACTGGTTTTGGTGCCACATCCTCAGTCCTGGCAAGCTTGGCTGCTCTGCGTGTCAGTGGAGCACTCCTTTTGAACCTCTGCTTGGGCGGGATTCCTCTGTCCCCCTCCATTAGCATTTCCTCTGGAGGTTTGATCACTATCGGCCTCTCAGGTTCATAGTCACTGTCTTCATCATTGTCATCCACGGCACCATCATCTGGTAGACTTTCATCATCACTTGCCTTAGCGTCTTCTTTTTCCTTCTCTTGTTCTTCAGCCTTGTCTTCACCTTTGTTGTTGTCGTCCTTTGCCTCTCCACCCTTCTGGATCTGGTTGTGGTGGATGTGCATGTGCCTGGTCATGTTTGCCTTCATCATGGTGTCAAACTTACAGAGTCTGCAGCGGTACATCTCCACTAACACAACATCAATGTAGTCCTTGAAGTAGTTGAAATCTTTCTTCTCCACCACAGGATACTTCCTGGGCCTGCCCCGACGAGATTTCTTGGGCGGGACAACTTCTACAGGGGTCGACACACTTTCTGTGACCACTGCGCTCGGAGGAGGCATGTTATCATCAGCGGGCAGTGCTGTGGTGATTTCTCCTGTGATGACCTGGTTGTTTGTCATCATGGCGGCCTCTAGGGCGTTGACCCTAGAGAGGGCCTCATGAACAATGTCTCCAGTTTGTAGCTCCCCATCTGCACCGATCAGCTGTCCATCCACGGTGTAGATGATGGTGGTGGTCTCACCTCCAGCACTTTCTTGGATCACTTGTTGCACATGTTGATCCATGGTGACCCACTGGAAATGGTGGGAAGACATTGGTTGTCATTTGGAGTCATCGCTGATCACATATGGGCTTATCTGTTACATTCCTTATGAGCTTGACACAAACCTTCCAAAATCTTGCTTTAGACCTTAAGTACAAATATCTCCATTTCATGGAGGTTTACCATCAATTTCAAACCTCCTTGGCATCCTTGCTGATACATACAATATTTTTAGCTTCAATCTAAGAAAAATGTCATAGTGTCCAACAAGAACAATCTGGTGAAACATATGGAACCCAAATCAAATGACCAAAAAAGTTTGTATATGTGTAATATAAAGTACATGTACATGATTGTGTAATAAATTTGCATGACATTGAGAAAGGTCATCTCAAATCTTTGGAAGCATTGAATCCTTTTTGGTATGTGGTACTATAGTTAAACATACGTCTGGATTATCAATATACCACATCATCATCCATGCAAAACTTTACAACCACATTATGTTATGGCAGGTTTATAACGATTTAGGCTGTGTAGTGAACGTGTAAAGTCAAAGGATATAACGTTACTAAGGTGAGCATACTAAGTAACATACATGTCTGTGTACTCTGTATGAAAGTATTTTAAGTATTTCAGATGTTTTGAACCCATCCCAGTGTTTGTCTGACGTTATTGTGTTTTCTAAAATTTGTAAAAGACCGCCAAACGGCCTTCCCAAAGTTTCCCACCGAGGGGCTTCGAGAGGGGCCATACACCGGCCGTGAGGCCCTGTGGCTGTCCTTGCCACCAAAGACAACCACGGACACCAATTATTTAGCACGATAAATCACAAATTTCTGTACTCAAAAGTATTCCGCATGTATCTAATTGGCAGGATTTTGTCATCACAGTCGTTATATAGCATCTAGTACACACCTCAGACGTCCTTGCACAGCTTTGAGCAGGAACTGGGGAAAATTTGCAAGATGGCCGCCCTTCTGTGTCGTCGTCGTTTTGGGCAGGCACTTCTCAAGCCTTCGTATTTTCCTAATTTCGCAATAATGCGACCCAAAAACTCATATTCAACACTATAATTAACAACCCAGTATACATACCTGTGGTTTACGTGGAGTTTGGAAGGTACTGACGCTATATTTTGACCAGGATTAAGCGAAATTGTGATGAACAAAAGGCACACTACCCCAATCTCTCAGTGCCTGTTAGTTCTTCACGACAAATATTCTCACGCAATCTCGCGAGAACTGATATCCAAGATGGCTGCCGTCGAAGGTATGATTGATGGAATTTGACGAAAAGCAGATTTTTGTGCCGTATTATTAGATTTGTTTGGGGGATAAGTAGTTTTCTGTATCAACAGCCAAATCTGAGAAGACGTGTTAGTCATTTTGAATTGACCAGGTTATCAATTATTGACGTGGGGAGGAGAGAATTGTGGGCCAAATGTCGCGCCGGTTTGAGGTCTTTCTGACAGAGAAGTGCTAGCTTGTAGGTCGTGCGACAGACCGACATTGCTGTCATATTTTGGTTTTCACTCACTGGTAGACGTTGCGTAATGGCAAGGACTCAAGTTTGCATGGATCAAAATGGTTGGTGACATGCCACTGCTGCCCTGTAGAATGTGAGAACTACAGTTGCAATGAATCTGAACAAAGTTCAGTCGTGTCTTGTTCAACTTAAAAAAATATTACTTTTGATACTTTTCTATGTTGGAACAGCATGTAGGTTGGGTTTAAGTGCATGAGTCATCTTTCTGACGTATATGGTACTGCTTCTTTTTTTCTGAAGTACAGCTAACTCTTTTTTAGCTTTCCAAATTAGCCATGATAGGTGATGTCAAAATAAAAAAAAAGTGTGGTATTTTGGAAATACCAAAAAGTGTTACCAACAGACCAAGATTCAACAAATATTTGTAAATGGACCTGATGTACTTCAAACAAAATATATAGATGAAAATATTGCCACTATACTATCAACTGATAAAACAAGAGATACTCCGCACCACATGTTAGTGTTTTGTTAATGTATATGGAATTAATGTCTAAAGTCTAAGTCTAAAACCAGAAGTTTAAGAGGTGGGTTCTATCATACATGCCATATTTAAGGTGGTAGGTCAGTGTTTTCTACTAGTATGTGTTGGTCAATTTTCATACAAAGATCATGGCAGTTTTTGGCACAAAGAATATTGTATTTGAGATATGTAATTTGACAATGATATATTTGTTATGTCTCTGCTCAGACTCTCAAGAGGGTGAGGACTACTTGCTGGTGCCCCACAGCCACTGTACCCAGTGTTACAGGCGCAGCTGTTTCATCAAGCCAGAGTTGGATGTTGCCTGTGAGATGCAGGCATGCCCGGTTGACTGTGGTGCTCGCTTTCATGCATGCAAGCTGACAGAACACAGACTCATCTGCCCCAATGAAAAGGCTGCATGCATCAATGCTGTCAATGGCTGTCCAAAGTGGCTGCCTCGAGGACAGCATGCCAAACATCTGGCCCACTGTCCAGCTAGTGTTGTGCGCTGCACCATGGAGTGGAATCGCTGGCCAGTGTTTTCTGTGGAGAGACAGTCCCACGTCCCCATTGTCAAAGCGGATGCTCAGGTGTACAAGGACCAGTTGGACATTGCCCTGGCCCTAAGAGATCAAAGGATACTCATGGAGACCATGAAGGCATCCGACCGTGCAAGGCTGGCACTGATGAGCAGCATCATTCAACAGTCAGTATCAGATTCAGAGGCGTCCACACCTTCTGAAGAAATGCGCAGCTTTGTGAAGGAGGAGAACGCAAGTGCCGAGGGTTTAGCAAACTCAAGTGTGATGAATGGTTGGGAAAAGCAATCCCCTCCAATGCCTCCACCCTTTCCTGAGAGTGAAAGCTCCAAAAGTGCCTCCAGTAAACTGTATAAGGCTACACTACAGATGACTCAGAGCCTGTCAGCAGCTTTGGACACTCTGAATAATGCTGCTTCTGCAGGTAACAGACAAGAGAAGGTAGAGGAGGACACAGAGGAACTACAGGGTGCAGCTGCTGCCCCGGTACATGAAGACTTGTCTAATGGGGAGGTCAGTGGGAAGGAAAGGGAACCCAGTCCAGAGGAGGTGGCTGAGGAGCTACAAGATGTTGCTCAAAAGGTAGACTATTACACACAATTACTACATGATACACAAACAGCCGCAGCAGAAAAAGCTGCAGCAGAGGAGAGAGCCAACGAAAAGCCCAAAGCTGCTGGCAATAGTTGCGAAGAATCTCCCAGCACGGAAGAGGAGTCAGTAGAACTAGAAGAACATGAACCTGTGTTTTCATGCTGGTATGATCGACAGGGAGTTGCTCATCGTTCGGTCAGCATGTTCAGACCGCCCTCCACCTTTACCCCGAGTCATGTCTTAGACATGCGCTTCTTGGATCCCAAGACGCAGCAGTCCAAGTGTGTGGGTACGGAAGACTTGGGGCTGGACGATGAGATAGTTGGAACCAAAGCTGTGAGCAACTCTTTGAACTTCTCTGACAGTAAGGTGTCTGAGGATGACCTGAGTGTGTTGCTAGAGGCTTGGTTTGACATCTATCCCCTCAATGTTTACAGCAGGAAAGTGACTGAATCTAAAAGAGATGCTGCCGTACAGACTGTACAGATCCCTACTGCAGTGTTTGCCACGACTTCGCAGGTTGGGCCCATGGGATCAGCCCCAGCAGTAGACCACTCCAACACACTGGTTCTGGACCTAGTTCTCGAGTCCATAACAAGGTATCAGAACAAGCCACGCACCATGTACACATTCGTATGTGGACAGGAGTTCAGAAGAGATGAGTATCCATCCCACTTCCAGAATGTACACAATGACATACATGGCGGCTTGAATGGATGGATAGAACAGAGATGCCCCTTGCTATCTACGGCTGTACCCACTCCCGTCGAAGGCTGTATCCCCATAAGAAGAATGGGACAATTATCTTCCACCAGCATCTGGAAAGTTTTGGTATCAGGCCTCTCATAGATGAGAGTGTAATAGAGTCACCTGAGCAATCAGATACAGAGTCAGACGATACCAGCTGTGGGGTCGTCGGCAAGGTAGAAGCAGGAGACAGGAGGAAAAGGAAGGCAGGGAAGGACAGACTCAGCACTCTGCCATTTGAGATTCTACAGCACATAGCTCTGTGTCTGGATAGCTTCAGTCTGTGCAACTTCTCCATGGCCTCCAAGCTGACCAGAGAGGTAAAAACACAAGTCATTACTCTGTTTCCTTATGTCCACATGAAATGTTAGGATAACATCCATATCCTTTAGCTAAATAAGTGAAAAATGATTTGATTCTTTAAACCTGCACAATTCTTGAAAAATATTCCTGCTCTAATTCTGTGTTGTGGATGACTTGTACCTAAAACAAGATGTGCTTTTATAGATCTGTTCCATTGTGAGTACACTGTAAGGCAGCTGTTTACCTAATGCATTCCCCTCACAAGGGCAAACCCCATTAATGGCTGAGTGCCAGGGTGTTCTCATTCTAAAAACTTATCTAGCAACATCTCATTTTACAAAAACATCCAAATTTGCAAGGCAAAGAATTGTGTTGAATGAATAACGTTTCTGGCAAGCATGAAATATTATACACATTGTACCAGTATTTATGTGCAATTTTTCAACATAGTGATATGCACCATAATCACATTATTCTCCCAGAACTCCAGACCCAAAAGAGATTTTGATGTTGTTGCATGTACTTTTTTTTCTCTACATGACCAAATTTGAAGTATGCTTTTAGACCATTGATGTGTAAGAGACTGAGGAATGCTGGCATGAGAATAGTTGACTTAGGACATGTCTGGTGTTCAGTGAGTGGTGAAGACATACAGGAAATGTCTGTTTGACATGTTTAACCATGGATTGTGTGCTTTGGACCAGAAGAATGTTGTAAGACAGGAAGCTCAGCAGTTAAGTGGTAGATTCCAAATTCCATTTATAGCTCTCTGTATAATGTTAGGACTCTTACATGACTTGTGTGGGAGAATGAAGACATATGCAACAGTGGGGTTCAAGCACCACTATTAACTGACCCTGTCCAAAGAACCCAGACCTTTTGGCCTAGTGGTTAGCATGTTGCATTCATAAACTGGCTGCCTGAGTTCGGTGTGTGTTTGATTCCCGGTGTCCTGGAAGCCAGATTAAACCGTAGTACTCGCCTCTTGTTTCACATACATGTAGTAAGCTAAGGGTAGTCCAGATAAGGTTTCAGATGTGGTCTGTCTGTTGTAGGTTTGCTACAGCATCCTGGAGGACAGGGGCATAGTAGTGCAGCAGTGGGAAAAGAGGCGTTACAAGACCCTCTTCACATGGCAGATATCTCACCAGGTAGGCAGAATTGTCTTTATTTCAAAACCCTTAAGTAAAAACTGGCTATAGTCTTCCAGGGTTCATACAAAAATAGGAACATACATCTAACAGATGACATGGTAAAAGAACACACATATGTCACAAAGTGAAATTTACATTATATACAAACGGAAAGAGAAACTTCAAACACAAGCACAGCTACATGAACTGAAGTGCAAATTGTCACTAAATATTTGGTAATTTGACATCACAGAGTAATGTCATTTACTTAGTGTGTTGCAACAGTAAGTAATGCATTTATCACATGCTTCAGTTGGTGCATTCAAAGTACTGACATGCACAGACAACGCAAAATAAAGATGACTTAGAACAGTCAGTAGAAATACTACCTCTATCTATCTAAGTGTGTTGTGATTAGCAGGGTCAGCTTGTTCTCCTGTAAATGTTTACATGTTTTCCTAAGTAAAGCTATCCAAAAAGTCCAGAGTTAAGCTTTAGATAGGAAACTGATTGATTGGGCTTAGTATGTACCTAGCATTAGGCCTTGTATGCAGTGACGTTACCCATACCTAATGCCTTCCAGAAATGGTACTTCAGCACTGCCTTCACGCCCGTGAAGTCCTGGTACTACGAAGACTCCCCCTCCATGGCTGAACACCTAAGGAACTGCCCTTACAACATTAAGCATATACGTACAGAGCCATACCCAGTCATGAAGCTAGGCAAGCGGCAAGAAGGGCTGTTCTGGAAGAAACTGGCCCTGAGGAAGATGAGGGAGAGAGAGAGGGAGGCAAGACTGGAGGGGAAAGGGGATGTTGGTCAGCTCTGATTTTACCTAGAGTAGGAAAATATCCAAATCCAAGGTTGTTATTATGTTATTACACACGTTTATTCTAGCAAAGATGTCATATGTTCATATTATCAAACCTACCGGTATACTATGAAGATGTGACATTTATACTAGAATAAGGAGCCACCTTAGTTATATTCCCAATAATTCATGAAGTCTACTGATTTATCCAATCAATTACCAGGTGCTTTGAGTGGGCTTCATTTTTGGTAAAATCTCGTAGGATTACTTCATTGTAAAAGACTTCCCCAAAGCCGTCTTACAATTACTTTCTCTCACATATGCAATATGAGATTTCTGTGTTTAAGACCATGTGCAAAGTTTTGTCAGCTTTGTGATGTTGATTCTCTGACAACGTACTCTGATGTTTACTTTTTCTATGTGTATTCTATTCATAGCATAGATTATACCTGCACACTCCCTATTTGGGTATATCGTTTACCTTATGCAGTATTTCCTATGCTTATCGCTAGGTGGCGCACGTGTACAAAGCTTTAATCGCAAAGCATCACGGGATATCATGACGTAATGACTATGTTCGCCGCCATTTTCCTTGTGCGAACGCCAAGGGGTGCACGTTGTTTCCCTACTCCTTATTTTTTCGGATTTTCTTTCGGCGTTATGCCCAAAAAGAAGGATAAAACGAAGTCTTCTGCCCACGGGGGCGATTCAGGTAGCCTTTCGGAGGACCAGACAGGTCGGAATGGCAAGAGAAGTGGTCAGTTTCCCAACGCTAGGCAGGCAAAATTCCTTGCCGTGGAAAAGACAGGCGTGCCTGTACTTGCCTCCGGACAGGAGGAAGAGGAGTCGGGTGAACGAAAAGTCCCCGCTCCTACAGCTGGAGGTTCGGAGGGAAAAGAGAAGAACCCCAACCTCATTCCGCCGCTAGTGGAGCGAAATGCCCCTTCGGCGTTGGCACTGGGAAAATCGGCCAAGGAAGGAGACGGCGCGGAGCTGCCCCGGCCCAAAATTCCTCCGGGCTCGGAGGAGTTGGGCTCCCCGACCATGCCGAAGCTTGGTCGGGAAAAGTCTCCTCCACCCCCACCTCCACCAGGAACACCCTTCCCGCCTGGATTCGACGCTGCCTCTTTTCTTCAGTGGGTCAGTTCCAGCCTGGGACTTCCTCAGGCGTCCAGTTCATCCCGCCAACCTCGGGACGTTGACGGGGCGGTAGCGTCGACCAGCCGAGCCGGCGTAGTCGGTTCCGGGCGCAAGCATCCAGGTTCGGAAGTGGAAGAGTGTTCGGAGGAGGGGGAAATCACCATTTCGGACTCTGAAGAGTCTGATGAAGGTACTAGTAACTCCTTGTCATTCGATAATCCTTACGATAAGAAAGGGAAAGAATCTGAACTTCCCGAGCAAGTCGCTACATTTTTGACCGAGGTCTTTACTCATAAATTAACGTATGCGGAGTTCAAGGAGAGGAAGGAAGCTTTTCCAACTCCACCTAGCGTGGAGTTAGCGCTTCGGGCACCCATTCTAGACCCAGTAGTGGCGAATATGATTAAGAACGACACCGTCAACACGGATAAGAATTTTAGTGATTGTCAGGATAAGATGCTCATGGCTGCTAACCCTCTGGTGGAGCTTTTAGCGGCAGTTAAGGGTTCGGACCATCCCCTGAACCCAAATGCTGTGTGTAAAGCGATAGAATCGTCCTTGGTCTTTTTGGGTTCAGCTTCCTCTACTATGACTCAGTACAGAAGGGAATTGTGCGGCAGGGACATGAAACAGGATATGAAGCATGTTTTCAAGACCGACTTGCCCACTGGTTCTTCCAAATACTTGTTTGGAGACACCTTTTTGGAGAAGGTTAATACAGCCGATCAGGCTAGACGCACCTTGAGTAAGGCTTATAAGCCAGCCCCTTCGAGTACTTCTAGGGCTAGGGACAGGTTTCAGTCCAACCGCTCGAAGTTTAACTATAACTACAACAAGTACTCCTCAAACTCAAAGGGTTACAATTTTCGTCCCTACTATAACAACAACAACAACTACAACAATGCTAGACCATGGTCAAATGCCGGGGGTAAGAAAACCTCGGGGTTTCGTTCAGCGCAGGGCACAAAAGGCCCAAACAAACAGTAGCTCTTCCTCGTCATCAGACTCTGCTCTGTTCTCCGGTTCAGCACGCAGGGCGAACAGCTTTTTTCATGAAAAACTGGGAAAGGATTTCAACAGACAGATGGCTTTTGCAAACAGTTCGGGGTTACCGTATAGAATGGGAGTCCACTCCAGTTCAGTTCGTTCAGCCGGTCACAAATATATCTGGGGAGGACAGAGCAAAGGTTGTAGACGAGGAAGTGCACAGTATGTTGGAGAAAGGTGCAGTGGTCCAGGTGGAGCCCTGCGAGGGCCAATATGTTTCTACGATTTTCCTAGTCCCGAAAGCTCGGGGAGGCTGGAGACCGGTTATAAACCTAAAGTCTTTAAACAAGTTTGTTCTGAAACGTACTTGCAAGTTCGAAGGGATAAACCTAGTCAAAGAGTTGTGGAAAAAAGGAGATTTTCTAGCAACTATAGATCTAAAGGATGCGTACTTTACCATCCCAATAGCTCAGAGCGATCGAAAATTCCTTCGTTTTTCGTGGAGAGGAGTTCTTTGGGAATTTCAGTGTCTTCCCTTCGGTCTGACGTCGGCGCCGAGGGTATTTACCAAGGTTTTGCGGCCGATTGTGGCCATTCTAAGGAGACAAGGATTGTTAATAGTAATTTTCCTAGACGACTTACTGATCATTGCAAGGTCGAGGGAACAGTGCTTAGAGCACATTGCTATAGCCAGAGAGCTTCTAGAGCAACTCGGTTTTGTTCTCAACCTGGAAAAGTCGCAGTTGATACCGTCTCAGGTAGCGACCTTCCTAGGCCTTGTTCTCGATTCTCGTACTTTGACAATTTACCTACCAGAAGACAAGTTAGACAAGGTAGTGAGTTCTTGCCAATCACTTCTAGAACAGGAGGTGATAGGAACCAGGCAGCTAGCCAGCGTGGTGGGGCTGTTAGAGTCCACCAAGCAAGCCATTCTTCCCGGGCCCTTACATTTCCGGGCTCTGCAACAGCTTCTCAATTTCGGCATAAAGAAGCCGGGAAAATTCGACTCTTCAGTCAGTCTAACCCCAGATGCAGTAAAAGATCTACAGTGGTGGATCAGTCATGTGCGCGAAGTAAACGGTCGCCGAGTCTTTGTTCCGTCAGACCTGACAATTTGCACAGATGCCTCACTGGAGGGATGGGGCGCGCATTGCAATGGTCAGGAGACAGGCGGGCGCTGGTCACAGACAGAAGCGCGCATGCACATCAATTGGCTAGAGTTGAAAGCGGCCTTCCTGGCGCTAAGAAGCTTTGTGAGCGCGGATACTCAGCATGTTCTGCTAAGGCTGGACAACACAACAGCCGTTGCATATGTGAATCACATGGGGGGAACAAGGTCGCCAGATCTGGCAGCCTTGGCCCTGGAGATGTGGTCGTGGGCCTTGGAAAGAGGCCTGATGTTGTCTGCAACTCACGTTCCCGGATTGACAAACACCCTAGCGGACAGGTGTTCGCGGGTTTTTCTGGACAAGGTCGAGTGGCAACTGAACCGCTCAGTTTTCCTGTCATTGAACAATTGGACAGGCAATGCATTGACAGTAGATCTGTTTGCGTCTCGTCTGAATGCTCAGCTGAAGGAGTATGTCTCTTGGCACCCAGAACCAGAGGCCATGGCAGTGGATGCTCTAAACATTCACTGGGGCAACCTGGGGCTAGCGTATGCCTTTCCCCCCTTCAGCCTAGTGTTCAAGGTACTGAGAAAAGTCCAGTCAGACGTAGCAACAGTGATTTTGATAGCTCCAGTTTGGAAGTCTCAGGCTTGGTACCCCAAGGTGTTGAACATGTTGTTCGAGAGTCCGGTTCTCCTGCCACAGAGCTGGGATCTGCTGTTCCTGCCACACAACAGGAGACCCCATCCGCTGTTGCCAGATCTGATGCTTGCCGCGTGGCCAATATCAGGCGACAGTTGCAGGGTCGGGGCCTTTCGGCAGGGGCTTCAGACCTCATCCTCTCGGCTTGGAGAGAAAGTACTTCTAGACAGTATCAGTCAGCATGGGCTCAGTGGGCCAGCTGGTGTGATAGAAGGGAGATTGATCCAGTTTGCGGCTCTATAGAGAGCGTAGTAGAATATCTGGAATGGATGTTTCGACAGAACTACAGCTATATGTCAATTGGGGTGGCTCGTTCTGCGATCTCGTCTGTTCACTTACCAGTAGACCATTGTAATGTGGGTAGTCACCCTCTAGTGTCCAAACTGATGAGAGGTGTGTTTCACAAACGTCCTCCTTGTCCAAGATATGTTTCAACATGGGACGTCAGTCGGGTCCTAGAGTACCTTCTGCATTGTTGCCCAGCTAATAGTCTTAGTTTGAAACAATTGTCTCATAAGTTGGTAACACTAGCGGCATTGGTATCAGCCGACAGAGGTCAAACTTTAGCGGCTCTCGACTTGAGATTCATGAAGAAATGTAGAAACGGTGTTTCTTGGACAATTCCTACCCTGCTAAAAACTTCTAGACCAGGAAAACCTGCCAGAAAGTGTTTTTGGGCGGCCTTCCCGCAGGACAGGCGCTTGTGTGCCTTCACATACCTGAAGGAATATCTAAGGCGGACTTCTTCCCTTCGGAAAGAAAGGGGGGGGGAGCAGAAGTTGTTCATATCATACAGGAGACCACACAGGCCGGTTGGTTCTGCGACCCTGGCCAGGTGGGTTAAGTCAGTGTTAGGCACGGCAGGTGTCGACACAGCAACTTTCTCAGCTCACTCCACTCGAGGAGCGTCCACTTCAGCTGCTGCAGCTGCCGGGGTGTCTCTACATAGCATCATGAAGGCAGCGGACTGGTCACGAGAGTCTACCTTCCTGAAGTACTACAGGAGGGACAACAACCAACACACGTTTGGCCAGGCTGTGCTGTCCACGGCTCTGAAGTCTGCATAAGGTAAACGATATACCCAAATAGGGAGTGTGCAGGTATAATTGAGGATTAGGCAAATTGTACTTACCATGAAGGATAATCCCAATTATACCTCACACGAACTATTTGGGTATATCTTCCCACCCTTGCTGTTCTTCAGCTTCCAAGTAGCTGAGAATGCCCACCCATGGTGAACAGCACAGACTCTTTCTCGCACGTCGTCAAATGGCGGCGAACATAGTCATTACGTCATGATATCCCGTGATGCTTTGCGATTAAAGCTTTGTACACGTGCGCCACCTAGCGATAAGCATAGGAAATACTGCATAAGGTAAACGATATACCCAAATAGTTCGTGTGAGGTATAATTGGGATTATCCTTCATGGTAAGTACAATTTGCCTAATCCTCAATTATCTATGGAATTACTGACCACTTGTTACTTTTGTCAAAGGCTTTAGATTGCAGCTTAAGAAATAATAATATTCAAAGGATTGTTGCATAGAGGAGTGTAGTTCATAAATGGCAGTAACTATGTAAGCCACATTACTTCTGTGTTGAATAATGATGTATGAATACTGTCAGTGTCAAGACTCAAGAGTGATGTAGACTTTAGTAAATTTCTGTCTCTTAGAAAAACTTAATTTTACATACTAAGAAAATAGAATAGTTGATAATAGAATTTATTCATTTCCCTGTTATGGATGTTATACTGTAGTTGGTTTATTTTCATCATAAAAGACTGACATCTGTGTATGTGGCTGTGGGTAAAAAGTCTGAATATGTGTACTGGTAGTTTCCATTTGCCAAATATTGGCTGTCAGCAATACTTGTACAAAAGTATGACTCATTTATAGTTTGGCTACAAACAGTGATATTTTGTAATAGTGACACTATAGAAGGATGGCAAACTAGAACTATGCATATGGATAGACAAACAAGTCCATTACATTTCTGTCGTGAAAAAAAAGTGACTGCAAAAATGTACTGAATGTACTGGTAACATTCAGGTAGCATGTTACATATGTGTACATTTCAAGCAATTTAACAAAATCTCTATACTGGGAGACTAAGAGAATATGCAGTACAGGTGTGGTATTGTGTCACCAGTGTCTGTGGATTTGATAGGAACATCTCTAGACAAATAGGAAAGTCTGGCTGTCATTCTTAACTGTTTAGATGGAACAGATGCACGAGAAATGGCAGGTACTCTGTCCATCAAAAACAGCAGTACTCCATGACACATGGTATTGATAAATGATGGCATCTGTAACATATAAGGTTCTACCATATGGTGTACTAAGTCCTTACTGGTGTTGTATATGTGCCTCAACCATATCAAATGAAGTAGTCCAGTGCCTTGTGAAACACAAGTGACATTTGCAGTTTTAGTGTAAGCCTTTAAGTCTTGACTGTTTTGTGGAGTTATGCTTTCAAAGCAACATGTTATGTATTGTATTACACCATTGCCTAGTTGCATGATACTTTGTTAATCTAGAGTTCTCTACTGTCACAAATGTTTGTGATAGGAGATATTGGCCAGGTCCAACAGTAGGAATATGTAGGCATTCCTATCCATAGTCCAATATGGTTCTTGTGCATGATTTAGTTAATTATTATAACTCTTAAAATTTAAATGAGTCTGTACTTACCCTGGTATTGTAATTGCTTTTGGTATCGATTATTTCAAAGGAGTAATGATAGCAGTAAAAGCCTATAAAGCAAGATTGTCAAACTGTAATACTGTTCTACTACCATACAGTTAGTGACAGTTAAATCACTACAGCAGGGCTGTAACAAGACTAGAACAGTTGGATACAAAAAACCTTAAGAGTGCTGGTATGACATCTACCCTAAGAACTGTCTTGTGAAAGGGTTTTTTTCAAGGTTCGCTTTTTCAGCATCCTTCCCATTGGTTTCAGATGATCCCACTATAAAGCAGTTGTAAGGGATTTCTGTTGCATTCGTATTCTGGCTTTATATATGTTGCTAATGTTATCAGTAGAATAACCACATCAAGTACTATGTATGTTCAATCAAATTTGACAGTATCTGTTTATTTTATGCCACAGACAGTTACGTCAATAACTTTTACACGTGCATATCCATGTACAAATGTACTTTAGTTATTGCACTGTATGGATACACCCATGTGCAGAACAAACAAGATTGTCAAAATACTGTAAAATGTTTGATACAATAAAAAATCCATATTCATACATTGTTGCCAGTACTTTATTGCAGCTGGCTTCCATTATAATTTACCTGTAACTTTTTGGGTCATGATAGACCTTGTAAGTGAATTTCACATGTACATTTAGCACTATTTCAAGATAACATGAATTATCAAAATCTCATGATTTTCACAATATATTTCCACAATATATGAGAGAGTTTTCTTCTACCATTCAGCAACACCAAAATTTTCTATTATTGATTATGATTTCATATATATATATATGCACATGCAATTAAGGAATATTGCACTAGACTACTCCATATCACTTGTGGCAAAATGCCAAAGAAATAAAGGAGAAATGGATTAACAAAGGGGTATTCTATTCAAACTCATTCGACTAGTTTTGATGACAATATCTTTTGACAATGACAGATCATAAACCAACATAACAGCTGACAAGGCACACTTAGATGACTTGATTGACCAGAGGTTTGCCACTGAGGGCATCCAGCAGGTTCTGTACAGCCAGTGCCATCATGTTGCTCCTGGTCTCTACTGTAGCACTGCCCAGGTGTGCCGTGAAGGTCACATTCTGCAGCTTGAGCAGGGGGTGGTCTTCAGGCAGGGGCTCTGGGTCAGTCACGTCCAGGGCTGCTGCAGCGATGGTCTTCTTCTCCAGTGCCTCCAACAGTGAACCTGTGTCAATGATGCCACCTGTGTGAAGATATCAACAACATGGTAGGGTTGAATAAAAAAAACACGCAAGTTACTCAAGCAACTGGATATGGTTTTGGAAACAGACATTTCAGGTAACATCCACTACGTACCTTTTGTCACTGACACTAGTAGTGGATGCTACTCGAGACATCTGGATGTTTCCAAAACCATACCCAGTTGTTTGAGTAACTTTTTTTGGTGTATCTTATTGTTTTAAACCTTCATTGATACATAGGAAAAACCATGTAAGGGGAAATCTATACAGAAGGCAGAGAAAACATTATATTTATAAAAGAAAACAGGAGACGTTACTCATAATGTAGATTCCCAGAAATTACCAACAATGTAAACTTTAAGGTATTCTGAGCTAAGATTATACAGTACAATCCTGTTGAATCATTGAAACCTACTAGACAAAGGCAAGGAAGAGAACTTGACCAACCCCTTGCAATGTTAATGATGGTAGCAGATGGCTTCATCAGCTCAAACTGCTTTTTGCCAAACATTCCTTTTGTTTCAGCTGTTAGTGGAGTCACTATGATGACAAAATCACACTTTGGCAAGAGCTCCTCCAGCGTGGCACAGTACTGGGCACCCACTGCTTCCTCTTCAGCCTGTGGTCTGAAGAAATGGAACAGCTCAACAACTCATCCACTTCATACTGAAAACAGTCCCTAAACTGGGAGCTCATATTCAGTGCAATAAACCATATATTCATGACTGTCAATGTACTCAAGAAAAAATTTAAAAATCTTATGTCCAACTTATAAAAGCAAACAGAAATCGAGGGATGCTTGAGACATTCTACAATGATATGTAACTTATGTATATTAGAAGAAGAATACTTCACACCTAGTACCTTTTGTTCCTATTGTGGTAGAATATGTTCATCTTGAAGGCATGGGCTCTCTGGGCTAGGGCATAGCCAATACCTCCCATACCCACAATCCCAAGGGTGGCTCCTGACACCTGTCGACCACAGAAGTTGATCTGCCACTTAATAGGATTCCTCACTATCTGGTCCCCTGAAAAAAAACAAAGGAAATACATGTACTCCATTCTCATGTAAGGATCGAGGGTAAAGGAGTGAAGGAGGGTTAACATAGAAAAGGGAATCATCATCATATTGGGAGGAGTAGCTGGACCAAGCCCACTCTAGATCTCCAGGAATATCTTTAAGATAATTTAATCAAGAGGATTGCTCACTAACTCACACACACACTTGCTCTTAACTAGTGTGGAAATCTCAACATAGACCAATGCAATAGGCACACACATTTTGTATGTTGAAGTGTTCAGACTTTCTTCACACACATTTGATAAATTTATCTCCAAGCAGATTCTGTGGGGCAAGGGGAGTCTATATTGGCCACCTGTATCCGTTAGCCTCCTGTATCTCTTGGCCGCATGGATACAGGACAATAATGGATACAGGTGGCCAACATAGACAAAGTCCTCTTGCCCCACAGAATCTGCTTGTAAATTAATCTACTTACCTTCCAGCAGCCTCCTGGCAGATGCCAGCAGCAGTGTCATGCCCATGTCTGCAGTGGTTTCGTTGAGGATGCGTGGAGTGTTGCACACCTTCAGTCCTCGGGAAGCTAGCATGTCCAGGTCCAGGAAGTTTACTCCTGCTCCAACATTGCTGATCACCTTCAAGTTGGGCAGTCCATCCAGCAAGGCAGCATCCAAATGTGGTGCCTTCAAATGCAAACACAGAAGTCTGTATTAGCATGGCTTTCAGCATGAATGGTATCAAAGCTTTAATTGTGTCCAAACAGAAAGAATAAAATCTGATTTTCTGTAGCAGTTTGTATGATTGGAATCCTTTTGCAAATTTATCCTACTAGTACATTATAATCACACATACCGTGACCCATAGGATGACACCTTGGATGAGCTGGGAATACTTTTCCTTGTTCTTGAGAAAATCCTCAAACCACACTACATTGAGGTGCTTCTTTAAAATGTCCACTCCATAATAAGGGATGCCTTTCTCATCATCGGCTAATGATGCTAAAACAAATGGCTTGTCATTCCCAGAGATGTCTGCCATCTTTTACGTTCAGAGGTGCAACCTGTCAACCAGATGCAGACAATAGTGTTAGCCAGAGACAGAAGAAACTTGAAAGCTCGTCAACCATGTTAACAGGACTGAATGCATTATAGTAACATTTAATACACTCAGTACACTCTGCATACTGGGTGTGAACTATAATTTTTCATGTCAAAAAATCATTATGAACTTGATAGCTACTACTCTACTAGGACACTTGCCCAGTAGGCCAAAGGTGAGTGTAACAGTGGGGGGCTTATAGGCGCTACCAGCAGATCCGGCAAACGGGTCTAGACCTTTTTAATAGCGGAGAGGTTAGAGTGTCTGCCTGTGGACTGGTGCCCGGGTTTGGTCGTGGGTTCGAACCCCGGCCCGGGACCAGTGGGGTTTTTACTGGCTCCTCCTGTTTCTTACAGTGGTTCCTCACACCAGCCCTGGGAGTTCTGGCAAAGAGTGCCGCTCCCGGGATGTCGAATTCGGAAGATTTGAGGACGAATCTTGAAAAGAAAAGGGGGAGTAGTGTAACAGTGGTCCCGGGTCGTGGGTTCGAACCCCGGCCCGGGACCAGTGGGGTTTTTACTGGCTCCTCCTGTTTCTTACAGTGTGCACAGAAAGGGTAGCCTATTCTGGTAGCCTGGTCTTGTACTAAGCCAGTTCAGCCTTTTCCATAAACCTCCTATTATAGCAAGTAGTACTGGACCAATTTGATGTTTGATTTAAAAGTTTGTACCGTGATAGCTCAGCTATTCTGCTCTGCTCAGGAGTCAGGACCGGTTGACCAGTTATTGACCTTTGGCTGACCACCGATGATCATTTGACTGGGAGCAAAGTTAAACATTTCCTAAACTTTGTGGAAGAAACTAATAATTTTGTCTCTGGGGGTGTAAAGGCACTGAAAATACAGCTAATGACGAACCAAATTAGGCAAACAAAAAGTCAACTAGGATATCATGAACATAATATTTATTCATACACTGTAAAATTATCTGATGAGTATTGGTATGTTTTGGCAGTTTTGTGCTCAAAATATGAATAACCTTATACACTCCTTAGACAATAATAGACTATTCCTTAGCAAAGCAACCTCTCGCGAGAGTATGCGCTGGACGAGAAAGGACGATAACTCGATGCGTCATTTGGAGGGAAACAACTCCAACCATTTCTATCTCAAAAACCATCGATTCGAATTTGTCTAAAAGGCCGAAATCTCCATTCTTTTGGGTACTCTCCGGTAGCAGTTCACCTCCTGGTGTTTGTGTGAAATACACAACAAAAGAAGGTAGGTATTTTGGGTCCCAAATGAGCGGATTTGTGTGGTAATTTATAAGGGAAGTAGCGTGAAGACGGGGCTGAATTTGAGGTGGCAAATGTCGAGGTTAGTGCGTGTAGTTCAGGCGTTCCAAATGTGAAAGTAGCGCAAAATTTGGTGTCCTTGTACCGCTGGATGTACGAGATTTGTGTTGGAGATGTTATATTAAAGCAGCGGTGGTTTACTGAACAAAAAATGATTTAGCACCAGTAGTCTGATTGTTTCACAAGGCTGGCCAACTGGGAATAAAAATGGCGGCATAATTTTTTTGTTGCAGCAGCATGCAGAAGCCGAATTTTTGAGAGTGAAGTTATCACATTTTCTGCATGATTTTGGCTACATTCGGCGCAATTTTCAAAACTTGTTATGAGACAGCTTTCATACTCAGAGTCAAATTTTGTCAAATGTTGTTCTAATCAAGTTTGAGATAATATTAGTCATAAGGCTAAACATGTCAAATAATGAATTCTATTTACTATAAGTTCACATGCTGACTAAATGATAATGTAAAATATTGCAAAATAAAGTTATTAACATTCCTGCGTAAGAATATTAGCAATAAACCTGTTACATGTATTATTTTTATTTAAAGATCTAAAAAGTGTTAAGATTTAGGTACAACAAGTTGCTCAGTGTAAGCCAGCCAGCCGGTGTAATAAAGGTTTATAGGTATAACCAGTCGGTGTAATATAGCCAGCTGCCGCTGCATCATGTGTCTGCAAAGCTGGTGTGTTATGCAGACTGGGGGTTATACCTGCTATACAGATGCAGATACAGACATGCCATTAATTTATTTTACCTCTCATTTATGCCATATTTTTTATTGTGTCTTTCAGATTCAGTTCCATAAGGAACATTGTCACCAGGAGTGGAGACCCAACATGGACACCTTAACCTGTGGTCTGTGTCTGCAGCAGTTTGGGGAGATCACTGACTTCCTGGATCACAAGAAAAGTCATGCTGACCCTGATACACCTGCTGCTCCTGATCCAGGTGCCTCCACCTGTCCAATCGAGGAACCACCTGCAGAACCAGGTGCGACAAACTTACAGAATATTTCCTTATACTAGTACCCCTGCTAAGGAGGATTCTTACTCTTGTGATAAATGCATGTATGTATGACACACCCTTTGTTGATGTTTCTCAGAACATGGTCCAAATTTCTTCCAACAGCATTACCTGTTCCAGATCCTGTTGAGTCCACGAGCAGCACTTGTATCTGGACCTGCAAGCTGTGTAACCTGTTCGCTCTGAGCAAGGCGGAGCTACGCTCACACCTCCAGACCGAGCACACAGACAGCGTGCCACACGGGAACACAGAAAACTTCATCTCTCAGCTGATGCCGCTCTCCAACATGCCAACATCCCCACAGAAGGAAACATCCACTCAGCCGGGTGAAGCAGTGTTCTCCAGCCTACCAGACATCAAGGTTAAAACAATGAGCAGTTCTACCATTGTCATACCACCGAAGAAAAAAAGGGGGCGCCCCAGGAAGAAGCCTGTAGATGAGAATTTAGAGTTACGCCTTGATGAGGAAAAAGGCACGACACATGATAAGCAAAGGCAGGCGATATTGTCTGCTGACGGAAAACTTGTGTGTGACAAGTGTAACCGCATGTTTGCACGAGAACGGCAGTACAGTCGGCACCGGTGCATGGCAGAGGAGACCAGGGATGAAGATGAGATGAAAGCTGCTGAGCTGGAAGAGATGAGAGCGAAGAGAAAGAGGGTAGCAGGAGTATCACAACTTGTAAGTACTTCTAGGCTATCTTCTAGACTGAAACAAGTGTGTGTATATGTGTTATTGTCTTGTTGACCTATATAAAGGCACTTGTAATTATTCACTAATTTCTGAAGTGCTTTTGATAGATTTGGCCCATTCTAGAAGGTTGAAGAAAGTAAAAGTTTTGAGCCACAAGTGATCATCTGCCATTGTCGTCAGTCATTCTCCCCTGAGAGTATCACAGATCTACTTTTGACATACATTGATCAATTTGTATTTGACTTTATGGTTTGACTAAAGTTAAAAGTGGCACTCACTTATTCCTTTATCCACTGACATGTAGGCAGCTAGAGAGCACAACTATGGAGCCACGGGTTCAACTCAGGGAAGAGCATCAGCCACTGCGACAACGGGAAACCAAGCAGATGGGGAGGGTGAAGGAGCAGAGATAGCTGAGATGGTGGGAGAGGATGTACAGACAGTTGTACAGGCAGAGGGCATCACTCACACCATCCAACAGTCCCTCAACTCCACAGCTGCACTTAAACCACCCTACCTGTTCAGCAGGTCCTCCCTGACTGTGTTCAGTTGTGAGTTCTGCAGCAAGGTAGGACAACTACCATAAATCAATTAATGTTATGGTCTCTTTTTTCCATTTACACTGCAATGTAAGATTTTGATGATTTATAGTACTTACAAGAATGTATGTTTTTGACCAATGATATTATAGGTGTTTAAGTTCCGCAATGGCCTTGTGAACCACTTGCGGGTGCACACCAAGGAGAAGCCGTTTAAGTGTGACCGATGTGACTATGCCTGCGCTGTGAAGACCAACCTGAAGACTCACATGCGGAAACACACTGGGGAGAGGTTCTACTGTGAACAGTGTGACTACACCTCCATCAACAAGGGGCATCTAAAGGTTTCTCTCATTCTTTTTGTACAGTCTGTGTCTATGATTATAATGTAATGACTAGAAACAGCAATTTAAAGATTATGTTGTCCATTAGTTAACTTAACTCTGTTCTTGTTCTGGTTTTCCTTCCAAAAATGTTTTAGGCAGGAGTAGATTGATTGCTGGAAACAGAACAAATGTAAAGGAAAGGAATACATGGCTGCTACCAGGTAATACATTATATTATAGGTATGATAGCCTAGGAATGGGTTGGATTGAGTTGACAATGTCAGGTGATAGATGGAAACATATGTATGTATTGTTTAATTCTGTCCATGTATTCTCTGTGTAGGACCACATTGCTACCAAACACAAGGGTGAGCGTCACGCCTGTGAGTTGTGTTCCAGTACCTACACCACCCTCAGGGCTCTGGTCAAGCACTTCAGGGAGAAACACGACCCCGAGACCAACACTGACACCAAGGTTTGTACATTTCAGGGTTTGGATAGTCACTTTGAAGTACATGTAACATGTATTCTAGCATTACAATTCTTTTGTTACTTAGACAAGTTTTCAATATCTCTGAGTCTCTAAGGAATGTTGAATTAAAGTAAGGGTGTGCTGGAATGCCCAAGCATCAAGTTTTGTAGTCACATCATGCTTAGGTTTACCAACATGCCTGTTTTATCTGTAATCGTCAGTCTATATTGGATAGATGAAGTTCCCTAAGATGTATGGTTGTTACACATTGCAGGAAATATTTGATAAGCTAAAGCTCCAGACACGAGATGGCGTCCGAGATCTCATCTACATCTGTGATCTCTGCAACCGCAAGTTCAAAACACGTTTGGACAAGGAGAGACATGTAGTTTTACATCAGGTTAGTGTTACTCTTACGATGAGAGGAAGGAGAGAAAAAGAGTGTACATGACTGTGTACAGGGGCCTGTGCATGTGCATATGTGTGTGTGTGTGTGTGTGTGTGTCAGTGCATGTGTGATAGTGTATCTCTGTGTGTAATGTTTGTCTGTGCCAATGTTGCTTGCTAGAATATGACACCATTGCCATTCACTAAGTTGTATAGTGATGATCTCCCGATGGTTGTTACCCAGGGTCAGAAGCCATTCCCATGTGGACTGTGTGAGTACTCCACCAACCGTCAGGCAAACCTGGACCTGCACATCAGGAAACACAAGTTCATCTATAACTGCTGCGAGTGTCAGGAACAGTTCCTCAGCTCCATCCCTCTCACTGCACATATACAGGAGGTATGTTCCAGTGTGCTATTCATCATAGTATTTTTAGGTTTACTATGGATGGTATGATCATGACATGGCTGTATAGCAACATACAATATTTGTTAGATTTTCCCAGAAGAATTTCTGTGGAAGCGGGCTTCAATAACGAACATACAGCCACCAGAATAAAGTTCAACATCATATTTCTTGCTTTTAAGGTTCAACATGTCTGATATCTTTGGTTCTGAAAGTGTTTCTTCATGATGTTGCTTTGTCAATTGTTCATCACAGGGAATATGGTTATCAGTCTTCCCTTCAGCAGGATGAATCTTCATCACTTTTTTTCCAACAATGTCCTGTTACAGAAACATGTTACAGAAGAGGCCACTCTTGATGTCCTGTTTGCTAAGAGCTTGGAAGGCAGCAGGTTTCTGTTCGAGTTTGGGAATGATGTGAAGGCGTTTGACTTTGACGGGTACCGGACCATTGAGGTGACCCCAGACGGTCAGCCCCTCCACGGTCCGGACGGGGAGGGACATCAGGGGGCAGAGGAGCTGCTGCTGGCTCAGGAGATGCAGATGGCACAGGAACAGCAACAACAGACAGCACAGGAACAGAAGGAGTCGGCACCAGGACAGCAAAACTCAGAACAGGAACAGCAAGGAAGTGACAATAAAAAGGATACTGAGGAAGATCAAGAGAAAAAAACTGACAAAGAAAGTGAAGAACCTGGCGCAGGTATTGTACATGTCTTTGTGGCACATGCAATGGTTTGTGTCAGATGACTGTAAACCCATTACTTTGGCACAAGTTCTTTCCTAAGCTATAGAGATTTTTTACTTTTTTTTTTGCTCCTGTGCCCTGAAATTAAAATCAAATGAGATAAGAAAGTTAGAATTTGATAAAAAGTTTTCCTAGTCATGAAAATTGTGACATCGTGTGTGACATGACTAAGAAAGAATGCGTAATGAAAATATATTTACCAATTATATTTCTGTGTTTCGTCTAACGCAAAGACTCCACTGAAAGCAAACCTGAAGAGGAAAAGTCAACTGAAGATCCAGAGGAGCAAGATGGCAAGACAGTCTTCGAAAGGCTGATGGAAAAGTTGGAGTACCGCAGCATGAATCTGGACATCTACAACAAGCTGAAAGTTCTGTATGGAGATATGGAGTGTCGGTATTGTGGGCGCTTCTTCTACTACGAGTGAGTCTTCCACTTCTACTCTTTTTAGGCTATATGACATTACTCTCTCAGTGGTTCAAGTAATGCCACATTACTACACATTACAAGTGTCACATAAAGATTGTAGGAAGGAAATTGTCCCTTTCTGGACATTTTGATCAGCATTGCCTTATCGTCCACAGCAAAACTCTGGCCCAGCATGAGCGTATCCACACAGGAGAGCGCCCGTTTGCGTGTAACGAATGTCCGTACGCCTCCGCTACCAAAGAAGGGCTGAAGAGACACATACAAGGTTCACACAGTAAGGTAAGTAGCTATACCAGTGTCAGTCTGAGTGATACAAAAACTTCAGGTACATGTTACTTTCAAAGGTTAAGTGTTGTGTTCTTTTTTTACCTCTTTTAAAAACCTTTTGGTCTACACAGTCATAAAATGTATTTTGTAACTGCAGAAGAAATTCGTTAATTTATCTACTGCTTTGTCTGAACATACAGCTAAGGCTACCTAACTAGCATGTGGCTATCATTAAAAGCAAACCTTGGCATGATGATATAATTTCTACAAATGTATTTAGTTTTAAAGACATGTATATTAAATCATGAGTGTGATATCTGTATCACTGTAGGTCCTGATGAAGTGTGAACACTGTGAGTTCAGTACTAACAACAAGTACACCCTGTGGCGCCACACCAAGAAGGAGCATGTACCTGTGGAGAACCTCAGAGACTCCTACACCTGTCCAGCCTGTACAGAAACCTTCACCAAGGAGAGGTCTGGACTTTCACACCATATTTGTTGTGCTTAACCTTTGTGATGTCAGACTCCATAAAAACCCATCTCTGTCGATAGAGGGGGAAAAGTGATTTGACTTAATGTTATTACTTGTTATACGTCAAACCTGTTCTTAAAGTTGATGGCTGTATTGGGCCTTTCTAGTCTCTTAAGGTACCAGAACATCTTTTATTACTGGTGCTACACTGTATTTCTTGCAAAAATAGTGGCAGAGACACTACTTGAGTCTTTTGATTACAAAAAATCATATCTACATATAAATTTAAAATGAGTACTGACATACATTATATAGATAGAAGATAGAAAGTTCACAGACCATCTAACAAAATTTCACTGCCTGGCCATACATGTTCAGATGATTCCAATATGCGTGTACATTTATGTGCCTCAGGAAAATCTGTATAGGTATCAGAATGTCATTATCCCTCTCTTGTTCATTGATATGAAACTAATGAGTACACATTTGTTCGTTCCAGGGCAATCAAGGTGCACATCAAGAAACACCACCCCTCCATGACACTGGAGGAGATCTCCCTGGTCCTGGGAAAGAGAGCACAGCTGAAGAGTGCCATGGGACAGAGAGCGTTCAAGTGTCCGTACTGTGGGAAACTGTTCAGGAAGAAGGAGCCAGACCTGAGGAAACACATCTGGGCACACGAGGGCATCAAACCCTTCAAATGTAGCCTGTGTCAGTTTGCCTGTCGCAGCAAGAGCAACCTCAAGGCTCACATGGTGAGGACTACACTGTAGCTTTCTTCTCTGCCTTATAAATTGTCAGAATTACTTGCTAGATAAGTCATGGAAGCCTGCATTACTTTATTTGTTATTCTTGGAGAGAAAGGCAACCATTATAAAGTTCCTTTTTCCGAGTAAAAATGGTTTCCTGTCATTTCATGTTTTTTTTGTAAATTTGCCTTCCCACAGTATGTTTTTTTGCAATTCTTCAAGGACAGTTTTTCCTGTCATTTTCACACTTTCCCTACTTTCCTTTGTGGTTCATATCTAATCATTTCAGTAGCCATCAGATTTTTGAAACAGTAAGTCTTATCCCTACACACTTGTTTCACCCATGGTTTTTCTCAGCTGCGTCACACCAAGGAGAAGAACCACCTGTGTGAGGAGTGTGGGAAGAAGTTCAAGACCAAGCAGAGTCTGAAGTTCCACAGTCAGCAGTACCACAACCAGGGTGGGGATGAGCTGAAGAGGTACTACTGCCAGATCTGTGACTACAGTGGCATTCAGGTAAGGCAGTGAATCTAATCTGCTCTGTGAATGTTATAGTTCTCACTTCGCTGTTTGAGCATAGTGATTAGGGCGCTGTGATTTAGCCCCTTACACAGTCTTTCAACCAGTGTAAGGGTGTTTTTTGTGGATGGGGACCTTCTGACCCTTCATATTTTTTTTAGGAAATGAAAATTTGACTTGAAGTTGAATTGAGCAGAGGGAGACAGAAGGAAAACATCTACATGTATTTATCAAAATCTGTCCCCGGATAAGCAAGAAATAGTGTCTCGGGGTTATGAGTTTGAAAATATTTTGGGCAGAATATCAGACCCCTAGCCATGTATTTTTGGACTCAATGCATGGCTTGCACCACAGAAAGTTTTCCTTCTGTATCTCAACACTATCATTAAATCAAACTGCAAGCATCAGGGCAGTTGCATGGCCGCTGCAGACATGTCCCTCCAGGATGTTCTGTGCTATGCTGTGAAAAAATTCTGGTGAGAACCCTGAATGTGACTGAGATGAGTTGTTACTCAGCATGGCCCATCCAAAAAATGTTCCCTTCGTTCCCCTGCCAGATTGCCCATCTTCGGAGACACATGGAGCAGCACTCGGGACAGAAGGTGCTGAAGTGCCCGCTGTGTCCGTACTCCTGTAACATCACAGGTGCCATGAAGAGGCACTTCAACAAGAAACATCCAGGCAAGGTGTACGAACAGACTGTGGCTACTGTCATCAAGCCGGATGTGGAGAGTACACAACAGGTGAGGGCTTGGTGCTCCTAATCATGGTCTTCAATTGAGGTTACATTGTATTTCCAATGAAAAACATGAAAGCTTTTTTGTACTATAATTCACTTTATGTTCATGGTAGCAAAAGTTTGCAGTCTGAGAAAAATGGAGGTCTTAAATTGTTCTAAAGGAAAAGTAATGCTCTGGGTAAAGCAATGCTCTGGGTGTTTCAGGAAAAAAAGTGGAGAAATGTTATCTGTAACATCAACTTAGACTAAGAGTTTCCTAACTACAGATGCAGGGTTTTTATTAGCCTAATCCATGTACCTTGTTTGACTCCCTCACCTGTTTAGGTAACCTGTTCAGCGACTGGTACCGACCAGGTCACAGAGATGCATGTGGAGATGCTGAAGTGCCCTGAGTGTGACTTTGTGTTCGGCAACCGCTGGGACCTCAACAAGCACCTACAGAAGAGACACGAGGCTAAGGTAGCCATCTCTTAAACATTTGACATATTGTTCTACTACCTTTACCCAGCCAGCGCAGTGTCGTTTGTGGCTTTTGAGAAAATTAAATTTTGTCAACAAGGACTTTATTTGTTGTTACCTAGGTGGTGAACCTTATGGAGGTGGATGCTGGGCTGGGTGCCACACATCACGTGGTGGAGGTGACAGAGAGTGGGGATGGCCAGGTCATCTATACTGATGCCAGTGAGTATTTGGACATGTATAAGCACTGTGGACCTGCTGTTAACATTAATTCCTGAAAATATGAGTAACCGTCCAAAGTAGATTGTTAAATCTATCCTGCATAATGTTAATAGCATGCTCCTGTAAAGAAATGATCACATTTTGTAGCATCATCCCATCAACTTCCTATCAAACTGCAGATTATGGTTTTGAGATCTCACTGTTTATTTATTGGCAAATTTTACAATACATTACACTAACTTTCAGGCAGTGTGGCTAATTTATGAAAGTCAACAATGACAGGGACAAAATAAATGTACAGTACAGATATGATCACCAAATGTCAAATCACGCATAGTTACTAATACTAGTAAAGCCTATCTAATAATCATAAAAGTCAGTCCCATGTGTCTGTATCCCTAAGCTGTTCCTTTGTCCCTGCAGCAGGTGTTCTGCAGACGGAGGGAGGAGACACGTCTGCAGCTGTCAACATCCTGCAGCAGATCATGGACATCACGCAGCAGGAGGTCGCCAACACTCACGTGGTCACCACAACGACAGCCTCCGAGTCACAGGTTTGGCCACATCATTCATGAACCTTTTGAACACACTTTTTAAAAGTTTTTGCAATAGTTTAAGTCATCAGGTTCTTCATAGCTCTTCTTTGTCGATTTTGATTATAGAACTTTTTCAAAGCTTGTCTTTGTCAATTTTGAATAAAAGTCAGCAGTTGATGACTGCATTTTGCCTGTTGACAGTTACCATTAAATCTGGTGAAATGAATAAGAGTTATTTCTGCCGCTTGTTTTTCTGCAGGCTATGGTAGCGCTGGCTCCTGATGCTGTAGTGGTGGAGCAGGCTGGTGGGGACGCTCTGCAGCACATCGTCAGCTCAGCCGAGGGGGACAGGACCCAGGGACAGGAGTACATTGTGTACCTCACCCAGTCTACAGACACTCTGTAGCTCACACACAACGAGACATGGAAATATCCAATACATTCATTGATTCTTATTGGCAGAAATATGCCAAGAGTTTTTCTTTGATGAAATTTGCAGTGAACTGATGAAATATATTAAGTTGAAGAATGGCTATATGTGACCTAGTCTGGTGAAACAAACTTTGCGACTCCAAAATCATAAAAGTTGTTTTGGCTTGATAATGTTTGTGGGTGTAATGAGTTCTTCCCTTTAGCTTCTGTGGTGTGTTAACCACTAATGCTTAGCCAAGTATTGTACATATGTGATTCACAATAAGAGGACATTGAAATAGACTGTAAGTAACGGCCTACTGTAAAGTAGCTCCTATCATTGGTTGGGTCCAGATAAGACTAACCCTCTAGGATAGACTTATGAATTTACAAATATTCAGATATCTATCTTCGTAACAAGACTAAGACTCTTTGATATAACTATGCATTCGTAGAAGCCTTTGTAAGTCAAATAACCAGGCTAGTCTGAAAGAAAAATAGCTGTCATCATGAATTTGAAAAAGTATACATTGAAAAATGACAATATGATGAAAAAATAACTTTTCACTTCATGGAAACTGTGCTGCAAGATAAAGCACAGTGAGAATGTTGGCTTCTACACAAAAGTATTGTAGAAGAACAGCTACCATTAGTTATTTTCAAGATAATACAAAACCTACTAATACAGGACAAGTAGAGAAAAAGTCATCAGGTGGCATCTATCTATTGATAACTGTTGGTGTTACCTTCCATATTGCTACTGGTGCTGGAAAGAAATCAACTGAGGTTTTCTAGTATGTTTCTAACGTTGTTATGAATATCATTATACAGCTGTAAATGTACTGTTGACAATGTATCAATAGTAATTAGAGATGTCTCTATGACACCATGCATCCAACTTCTGGTAAATTTTACCATGCCACAATATGCGATTGTATGGTAATATTGTATGATTTTGCTTTCAAACTTTGGTTTTAGAAATGTCTGATTTATCCATGCCTAACCATTGTTACCTTTTTGTTTGAACTTTTCAATGAAATGGACTACTGTTGATATATAAGATGTCTGTATATTGTATTAATCACTAAATTGTTTGCTGAGTAAAGACAGACATACCAAGTGTGCCTGTTGTGTCTTTAATGTTTACATCCGTTTGAAATCTTTCCACCAGGGCAGAGGGTTCTATTTTGGTTCCAGTTTATAGCTGTAAGGTCACAAGTAAGAGTACAAGTCACAATCCTTCTGTTGAATTTTAGTACTTGGTTGAAACATGACAGGAATATTGACCAAAAGCTCACTTTTCAATCGCTGGTAAAAAGCCGTTCTAGGAATGTTTGTCTCAAGATATACAGATGCAAGATTAATACGGTTCTTTCCTGGTAAATTCGTGATATTTAGGTAGTCGAGACGAGTCTCATTGTCAAGAACAAGAGCAGGAAATACCTTAAGTAAAACCCCCATAAGAGCCCATCGCGTTTCCCAACTCGCGAAATGGCCGAATCTGGGAATAAGCGAGGCTTCCTTAGCGAGAGATACGGCCCTTTTGGGAACGGATGCGCGAAAACGGGGGTGTGATAGGGGATGGATCTCCACTTTTTCAAAAAATGAAACTTTTGGCATTTTCCGACCTCCTCCTTTTGATAGTATAGACCTTACGGTCATTATTTTATTCCTACTTACTTCATTCTCGAGTTATGAGGCAAAACGTGATTTTGCCATCAGCTGATCGCTCGCAGAAGTGTTCACAACCTTTGCAGAAGCGATGTTTTTGCTCTAGATGGCATTACCATACCAAGCAGATGGTAAGATAAAAATCGTAACTTTGCTCTGGGATTGTCATAGCCTACTATCTGCTTGGTTTCCATTCATATGGTAATGAGATCCATAGCAAATATTTCGCTTCTGCAAATGCTGTGACCACTTCTGCAAGCGATCAGCTGATCGCAAAATCACATTTCAACATATAAGTCGAGAATGAAGCAAAGTTGGTGGAAGACAATAAGTTGGAATAGAATAGAGACCGAGAGGGGTATACTCTGAAAAGAAGGAGGCCGAAAAATGCCAAAAGTTTCATTTTTTGAAAATTGAAAAAGCGGAAATCCATCCCCTATCACACCCCCGTTTTCGTGCATCTGTTCCTAAAAGGTCCGTATCTCGCTAAAGAAGCCTCGCTCATTCCCAGATTCGGCCATTTGGCGACTTGTGAAACTCGATGGGCTCTTATGGGGGTTTTACTTAAGGTTTTTCCCGCTCTTGTTCTTGACATTGAGGTCCACCGCGACTACCTAAATATAACGAATTTACCAGGAAAGAACTGCTTTAGTCTTGCATCTGTTTATTTTGAGACAAGCATTCCTAGAACAACTTTAATGAGCGGTTGAAAAGAGAACTTTTTGGTAAATATTTCTGCCATTTTAGTTTTCATGACTGAACTTAGTAAACTCTCATACCTTCCTCACTCCATTTCAAACAGTGTCTGCTCAGTTGACATATTCTTCATTATTTATCAGACATTTATAGATATAATATTTCGGTTGAGTGTGTAATGTAAGTCATTACAGTATCTTCCATCTGCTCTATACCACGTTATACTCTCTCGTACTGTACGTGCCTAGTCCGAATTAATGTTCCTCTTTCCCATTCACGTAAACACACACACAAAAACACATCACACAAAAATCCAACGGTAAATGCTGGGAAACTTTATTTACCGTTTCCATTATAATACTGTTTATCAATTTCAGAACAAACCCGACAGCAGGGGCCTCTAGCGATCAGTGTTGTATTTGCCCCTGCTAGATGCGGGGTTTTCCTGCAATGATGACTTCATCCGTTCAGCGGCGCTATTTTTGGATCGTGTGCATGGGTGCACTTGCTTGTCGACCTTAATGCATTCAAATTATGGTCTAAATTGTAATGACGAAATCTAATGAATAAGGATTCTTAACAGCAGTCCGTTGTTACAGATAACCACAGACTTGATAGAAGTATTACAAACGTGATATAAGTATTTTGTCGGGTTACATGATTAAATGCTAATTTTACTCCACAAATATTTGTTGAATTGTTGAAAGGATTCAAAAAGACTAGACTCTAGTAAACAAGTTTTTGTGTTGATTTCATGGATAGCATTTTACTGAATGTGGCCTATCCGTAGTAACTTGAAAAGCTAGTATGGGAAGAGAAAAGATCTTCAACTGAATTTAGACTGGTGTGATTTGAGTTGAGTTGATGAATTTGAACGTCATGAAGACAGATGACCCAAACGCCACCCAGTGTACAAACAGAACTAATCACGTCGTCACATCTCAGTAATGTGGGGGGTCAACTTTAACTTCGTGAAGTGTTATGATATAACCTCCGCCCGTACATTTGCTTGTGCGCAGCAATGATTTGCCTCTGTTTTAATGTGTTCCTTTGTTATCTAAACATCGGCTATAAGTATAACAGCAACCAAACTCGACCTGTGTCCCAAAATAGGGGACAGGCGTGACAAGTTAGGTGGGGTCGCAATGACGCACGGCATTAACAAACATTTTGTCAGGAAAGCGTATTATGAATATGGTCATATCTGAATGCGTAAGGATGCAAGGCAAGCGCTTATCTCATCGCCTGGCCAATGTGAAATGTTAAATTGGATTTTTATAATGACTAATACTAGCATTTATTTCCGTTAGATATACAGAGTTATTTCTACGTTCATATTCTGAATTCAGTTATTTTCTTCTATCTGATTTCCTGCAGTGGTAGTTCATTCATAATGTAATATATTCTATTCTATCCATGATGTTCTTCACATCTATGAAACCTGCCCATAATGAAATGGCAATTTTGGGCTTTGCCGCCATTGAGGCACTGAATGACGTCATATGTTAGCCCTCCATTGGTTCCATGGTAATGTAAAGACACAAACACATAAGTCAACACTTAATCACTGCTGGCAAGCTTTAAAGCTTCCAGCTGTGAATGCTATAGGCGTGTCCAAAGTTTGGCTAAGGTAAACTCATTTGGTTATAGTTTCAAAGTTCACTGGGCGCGGCTTGCGTACTAAGCAGTTAGCCGACACACCAGGCGCAGAGTAGGACCTGTGTTTCTGTCCTCTTCCTTTTCCCGGAGACAAGAGAAAGGCTGAAATTCGTACAGGATGATTCCCAGTAGAAGTCACCTTCTTCTTAAACTATGCATGATGTTACTCTTGTTAGGTAAGTGGCTGTTTTGTCGCAAAGTTTATCATGTTTCTTTCTGCCGCTGTAAGTTGTATTGGACACGTTGGTAATTCTGAAATGATTAAACAAAAACATTTCTGCCTCTCCTGTTAGCCTTAGTTTAACAAAAAGGGAAGAGCAGTGCAGAATCTCATCAGAAGTAAGATCAGCTGGTGTCTTTTTCAAAACATGCAGATTTAATGGATTGACGGATGATGAATATTGAAGTTGGTTGAGCAGGGGTTCTCAGCTTTTCTGTTTGGATGTCAAACTATGCCCGTGCACCTGTGACACCCAACATAATAACACCAAATACAGATATACATAGGCGTAGATATTTTCCAGTTATTGGTTCTATTGTCTTTATCATTGTATTCACTGGTAGTGTTAATTAGTAGTACATACATGTACATTATTTACTGACAACAGCAAATACCAATGATTACATTCATATCCTAGTGAAAGGATCTACCTGCAGCCAAAATGGCGTCAGAACTCGGTATCAGTACATTGGTCTAGGGGTGGTGGTGGTGGGTTCACAAGAAATACGTCACAGAGTCTATGTCCACATAGAATTTCACTTTGTTAGCCGCACACATGTGTTTCTCTATAGCTTATTACAAACCGACTGTTGGTATGCTTTATATACACTGTAATCTTTATGGTCTTCAATCACAATATAATGGGTGCCTTAGCCAAGCTGCCATGGCGGTCAAAGTACAATTAGCCTGTATTCAACACCCGGAAACAGGTTCAGTTTAGTCAGTGTGTGCAACAAACAAAAATTCACCTTTCCTCTCTAATGTCTGTTTTGCCATTTTCATGATTACAAAAGATCAGATAGATAGTATATTTTGATCTATTGTGGATGCGTTTTGGGTTAGGTCTATGGCTTATTACCTTTGCATTTCCATCGCTTGTATCGTTTTAAAGTGGGCCTAAGTTGACACATTCACCGCCGATCTCTATAGGTTAGCATCCATCTATATGGACAGGTAGCTCATACGGATGCTAAAACTGTATTGAATGTTAACAATAACGCCTTAAATGACTTTCCTCTTTCACTTGCAATTCGAATTGTAATGTCCCGACGCAATTCAGCCGTTCTGGCTGTCATGTTTGTGATAATCTTATATGTCTTTTGAAATAAACCATTCATATGTTCTTCTCATCGCATTACAGAGGCGGCAACGTCACAGAGTGCTACTCCGCCGGGGTCAACAAATGCCACAACACCGGTGCCATGTAACAACTATGACTTCCTATGTGAATTGGAAAAACTACCGATGATAGCGTTGTTAGTGGCACCAGGTGTGGGGCTCCTCCTGATTGCCGTAGTTATCGCCGTGGCCTGTGGAGTGTGCAGGAGAAAGGAAGATGACGACGACGACGAGATATTCCTAGAACGGGAGAGGACCAGTCAGATGTGAGTTTGTATATCTACTACTAGTATCTATTGAGTTTCCTGACTGACTATACGTAACTCTGCTATATGTTTAATGTTAAAACTTTTGATCCAATACAAAGAAGTTCTCTAATCTAGAGCTTTCGACCAGTCACTCTGGTCTTCCTCAGTAGACTGACCCAGTGAGGCTTGTCACGTGGCTTCTTTGCAGTGTGACGTCAATACTGGGTCAAAGGTACTAGTATCTGGTAGACGATGACTGCCCCCGTCGCGGTTGAATGAAGGGTGATGTGCCCTGATGTAAATAGCCTCTTTCACCCCCTCAGGAAACTGTGCTATATATTTGTTATTTGTAAGAATTTGTTGAATAGTTTCTAATGTTCACATGATTTTATCCCCCAGCGCCATGAATGATTACAGGAGTAACATGGCGGCATCCAGTGTGGCTGCAGAGGACGACTTTTCCGGCAGGCAGAAGACCAACCCGGCGTACATGGAAGACGACGAGCTCGCCTTCAACCACAACCACAGTAACTACGGTCGGCCGTCCGTGTCGTCTGGATCGGACCGCATGGACAACAGGAGGCAGCGGATGAGCATGGCGTCTGTGGACAGGCCTTACGGTGAGGACCAGCGCAGGCCTGGGTCTCACTACCCGGTGGACGACATGCGGCACCCACCGGCGGCAGACCCGCGGGGAAGGCCCGCCCAGTATGGGGACGAGCCGCGTAGGGCAGGTCCACGCTACATGGAGGTAGGCATTTTGGTGTGTTGTCCTCATTCCGTGCTGTCCTAATCTTAGCAAAGAAGAGAAGTTTGGATTAGCCTCCGTTTCCTCTCATTTTCAACCATGTAGTCTACTACCTTTTAAAGGGACTCGAGTTTATTGATTCAGATGGATTTATACAGAAAATCGTTAACATACCTGTCTCCAAGTCATATTACAACAACAGCTTCTTTCCCCGGACTGCAAAATTATGGAACTCTCTTCCAAACAGCTGCTTTCCGTCCGATTACAATCTACAAAGCTTCAAAACAAAGGTCCACCGCCATCTCATGACATAGCTATAATATACTCCTCTAAGTTCCTCTAGCTCTATGCCTAGAAGTGGCCAAATAAAATTGGCCTTGCATTGAGCGATACCGTTAAAAAAAAAAAAGTAAACGACAAATTCATTGAAACGTACGCGTCGCATCATGCAATTTTTGTTCAGGTTGTTGGGCGTTCCTTCCTTACTTAAGTATTCACTTATCAATCACTAAAGGAGGATCCCCGTCGCCCCCCACCCGACAGCCGAGGACGCCCATACGGCCACCCAGGTGACCGTGACGACGGAAGGCGCCCTCTATCGTCTGCCCCGATGTACGACAAGTCCGAGCCCAGGGGCGGACCCCGGCCACAGCAGCCACAGCAGTCTTCAGGGGGCGGGAGGAGAAACTGGGCCAAGCAGAGTGCCGCACCGCACGACGTGCCGCCGGCGGACTACGATGATGGAGTAAGTACAGTATATGCTTGATTTCTTCTGATTGTATTGCTAACTCCATGAAAACGGAGGTGCTGTTATGGGTGTTTGCTTTGTGTGCGTGTGTGTTTGTACGTGTGTCCACACAGTTGAGTGACAGCGCATGGATGGATGCTCAGACCAAGGTAGAAAGTTACATCTCAGAAGCTGCTAGATTCCCCCTCAAAATGTGCAAGATCAATTGATAAATCAAAAACTTACTTTTGAACCAGCTTGTGTAATAAACGCTGTGTCCTGTACATTGATAGGTTTCTTTTCGGCCTCATCAAAGCATCCTGGCATAGCCTAACAGTTTTTTCTTGAATTGTCCTCTCACAGTTCCCGAACCCACGTTCCAGTTACGCCGGCTTCCGACAGGATGTCAACAACTACTACTGAGAACCAGACTGAAGAATGCCCTGATAGTGTGAATTATATAGGCCCGAGTATACTAAATTCGACTTTTTTTTTCAAAAGATGAGTCAACTGTCCATAATTTAAAATTTCCATCAACCATTTTCCATGTAGATGACTCTTCCAGCGAGGATTCATATATCCCATGAATGCATAGCCTCAATTTTGCAACAAGTGGAATTTGTGGCATATTGAGATGGTCAATAATGTCTTTTCAATACTGTAATATCTATGAGAACGGTGAACAACTTGAACTACGCAGCCATACTTGATGTGGAAATGTTGTAATCTGAAAGAAAGTCATACTATTACAACCTTCAAGAAGTAAACTTCAAAGAAGGTTTTACATGCTGTAGATTTTGGAGCAAACTGGGACCAATATTTTTGCAATGTGTGCATTAGTGTTATATATTATAATTTATCGTTTAATCGTAGGACAGAACACTCTGAAAAGTGAGGCATTTTTCCTGATATATCCATAGCTAGGAATAACAAAATGCGTGTATGTTCTATACTGTTAGGTAACGGTATACTATTCAAAGTTGTACATCATTTCTTATTCCAAGCAAGTAAACTGAATGTGGAATATCATACTGCAGTACAACTTTGTCACACAAAGTTTGTTCTGTATTAATTCAATTACTCATAATGTTTGTATTATTAGTACTTTTATAAAGTAAACTGGACTATATGAATGAACAGTACGAAAGTTCTTCCTAGAACTGACTATAAAACATCTATCGTTGCCACTTTTTGCTCATGTTCCATGTCCGTTTGAAGGAATGAATAAATAAAGTGTAGCATTACAGAATGCCGTGTGCTGGTACATTATATATATATAGCGTTTGACATAGGAGCATGAAACTAACAAGGAACCCGGTGGTACGTACAGACCAAAGTGTTTATAATGTACTGAACACATATAATCATATAATTATGACATGCAGAGAGTGTGTAACCCTGACAGGGATATAAATGTGAAATTTGAAATGATATGTGACATACAAGAAGGGGAGAATTTTTGGTAAATGTGAATCGTGAAACGAGAATACTTGACAGCCACTTGGACTCTACATGCCGCCATTTCGGCACCTGAACACGCCCTATTTGTTCACTCTACCCTTTAAACTCTGACTTTCAACTGCCAACAACGTCCTCTTTTCTGTCGATCAAAAAATGTGAAATTATTGGTTATCCATATTTGACGATTCACATTTCCGATCAAAATTTCACAATAACTCCCATATTTTCTTCAGTAGTCCCATGTATTCAGTTTTTTTCATTGAGGTTAAGGCCGTGGTGTGCAGTGCAATATGCAAGTTACGAACCAGTCTGACCGGTTTGAATGAAAGCTCGGGTCCAACAAGGGGGGCACGACCTACATTCCCCGTGTTTGTCACTTGTGCTGAAGGCAGTGAGCTTACCGTCTGAACGGAAATCATGATATCAGCTTGTTTAATAGCTCACCCACTGTGGCGATAGAAACTACGTGAGTAACACATTCCAAAACGATTCGGTTGAGTGCCAAATTTGAGCAACAGTAGTTTTTAAAGCCCATCGGATTTGACAGTGATCAACTATCCCTTCTAGGTACCAAATACTGGCGATAACAACAAACGTGAACTGGCATCAAAACAAGGACCACGTAATATCGAACTCCAGCTCATCATGAACAGGTTTATCATATGCGCCTTTTTGCTCACATGTACAGGCGTTTCCTTCCTATGGTATGCGGAAAGGTATGACATCTTTATTCACATATATCAGCATTATTGTTTGGGGTTTATACAATTACAAGCGATTATCTGTTATCAATCATCAAATGTAAAGAAGAATGACAGAATTGAAAAGAAGACAAAATTAAGGGTGAATTGTTGAAATCACTTTTTTTGCTGAAGTTGCTAGTATATGTATGAAACACGTAACTCTCTTCTGTCGAATTTGAATACACATTAATGCATAATTACCGTTTAGTTAACCTTTTATTTGTAATCATTTCAGTATTACTAGTACCTACGAAAAAACGTCAGAGGTTTTACCGCATTTGACACGAGTGATCCAGCCTCCACAGCCGACCCTGGTATTTGGGACGTTGGCACCAAAGTCACCATGGGAATTCAGTGCTAAAGCTTTGAAAGAAGTTCGGTCAGTTTCATCACCTTTGTCTCTATGTTTCCATTTTCGAAACTTCCAGGGTAACCTAATGAGGACAAGTGTAGTTATATTCCACTGATGTTCAATTCAAACTTGATCACAAATTTGAATTCCATCGTACAAATCAAATATGTTGTTTTGTGTGTTGATCTATGCATATTGAGTATTACGGATGGTATCATTACTAGTATGTATATAATACTCGTTACTCATGAGAATTAATTAAAGTCGATTGATTTACAAATCTGTTATCTTAATGATTATAATTAATGTAATGTTCATCGTTTTCACATCGACACTGAATTTTTCTTCCAGTAAGATCTCGGCAAAATTGATAGTTCAGAAAAGCGTACGTAAATGGAAGTTGGGGAAGTGCCCAAATTTTGCAAACATCGGTCACTACAACACGTGCGCTGTCGTGGGCAATAGCGGCGTTCTGCTAGGAAGCCAATGTGGAGCGGAGATCAACTCCATGGATTTCGTCATGCGAATAGACATGCCGGTCATCAGAGGCTTCGAAAAGGATGTTGGCAATCGGACCAGCATGGTGTTATTCAACCTGAAAGGGCCAGACCGAATCAGACAGTCCTCTGCTTTCAAAAACAGATCCCGGGATGTGTACGAGAGTCGCTTTAGGGACGTGGAAGGCGCCATTCTGTTTGCAGACAAAAAAGCAGTGAAAAATATAAAGACCGCCGTAAACACCTACAAACTCTCATTTCCGTTGGTATCTCCCTCCGGGAGAATCAGGAATGGAGTGCGTGGGTGAGTCGCAGTTTTCATATTAATGAGAGAGAGCGTACGATTCTTAGTGGCAAATATAGCTGGTTTAGTTTAGTTTGGTTTGGTTTGGTTTATTGAAAATTAACAACTGACAGCCAATTGTGTCACATACATACATAAAGAATTGCACGATGCTATTATCTATGACCAGCACATTCAATTGTTAACGTATTAGTCAATTCCTATGGTAACAAAAAGTTGAGGGTACAATCAAATTAGTTACAATATTACAGCCATAAACTTAAAAATGTGTCTTTATATTTACAAATATGCAGATCGGCACATTATATTGGCGACACCAAATCCGTATGTGCTAACAGTGTTTAGACACGATAATAGATGCACGGAACATTTTCTTTCTTTTCTTTTCAGGACTGCATCTGAAATAGCAAAAAGGAATATAACAGGCACCCCTTCCATTGGTCTGGTAAGTGTGGTAATGATGACGGCGATTTGTGACCACCCCTACATCTACGGATTCTACCCTTTCACCTCAGACGCGAACAACAACTCTATTCTGTACCACTACTTCCCGGGAGACTTTGTTGACCCTCCGCTTGAGCATAAGTTCGACCCGAAGCATCGCGTGAATCAGGAGTACGAGTTTCACAGGGAGCTGCACAGACGGGGGGTTCTAAAGATGCAGGTCGGTCCTTGTGGAAAACAATGATCTGTTCAGAACCAAGGACGTCGCCGTCAGACACTATAGATATAACATACAATACACGCATAAAGTTGAAAGCAAGCCTGGGTGTTACGTTTCTCGAACTACGTACAAAAGGTATGGCCCTGTCAGATTATGTCATACACATGTATTGCTTAACTTCATAGGGGCACATAATAATGGTATATTGAAGATATTGATGATATTGAAGTCCTCTCCCAAGAATAATTATTTCCTGCCTTGAGCATTAAGTATGCTAACGTTATACATGTATAATATCTCTCCAGCAACAAAACCAATGGCGGAATATCATGTTATTTGTCGGGTCTCTGAATGTACATACGTGCGCTTGTGCTTACAGGTTCAGTACATGTAACGTTATATTCAAGTTATAACAAGAGAATTCAGGAAGCACGGGGCTCTCCCTAACGGTGGTGGGTATTCATTAGCTTGAACAACCAATATTTGCATATTGCTCCTGTGTAAGATTGAATTATGTTTTGCTGCGTACCATATTCATGTTTCAATGGAGGAAAAAGCATTCTTTTCATATCTAAATACACCAATACGTTAGAAGTGTGAAGGATTCCATACTATTAAGTAAAAGTATTCGTTTGTAAGGTGAAAGTAAATGTGAAGGAAAATGTGATGGCCGTATTTGTTTTGTATGTTTTATATCTTTCAATTACCAGTGAACCCTACAGTATATAACATAATCGTACTTTCTAACAATTTTCAGGATGTACCACGGGCCGACGGCGTTTTACTATATTTTTTATACTTTTAAAATCCGGCGCCACCTAAGCGTAACGCATTCGGGATTCACACGTCATCCTTAACCTTTGACCTAAAATAGCCCATCAACATGGCGTCGACTGACAACCCTTTCGCGTCCTTACGAGAGAGAAGACCAGATTCCAACAAGTCTAAAGCCCCTACTGGACATATTTTAGGACGAAAAGACACCTCAAAACCTCGTGAATCGTCAGAACGTAGATCGGACGCACCGCAGCAGACTTGTAAGGAGTACACGGTGTCTGTTCAGCGGTGGCTGGCGGAGTACTGGCATCATGTCGCCTACTGGAACACGGTTCACAACACGATGGCGATGCCGATGTGGTGTGTCGGTGGAGGGCCGGGGCACGGGCAGGTCGTGGCCGGGCAGCAGGCAGCCCAGACGGCCGCCAGGGTTCCTGCCGCAGCAGCGACAACTCCCGGCCCTGTACTGATGAACGGCGCGCAAGAGCTCAGACAACAACAGCTGCAAGCAGGTAAACCTGGAGGGGGTGTGGCAAACATATGGACAGAAATTAATTTCAATCTGATTATATAAAACTGACCTTCTAGTGTTTTGAAAATAAAGATGATGTTGAACACTCATCAGGTTTGCCAGGGCTAGAAACGTTAGAAAAGACACATCAACTGCATCACTGAAAAATCTTATGGTCAATGTAAAGGGAAGAGTTAGTTATTTGTGTGAATAACGTTAATTTGTTCCAGGAAAGGAATACACCGTCCCGGCAGTCAGTCGCCGTCTGATGGCAGAGTTCCTCGACTTTCTCATCCTGTTCCTCATGAAGCTACTGGTCACCCTGACCATGATGCACTTCTACGAGGGGCTGTGAGTTACTCATACTTTTTTCATAATAATAAACTAATGTGGTGAGTAGAGTAAAGGAGAGTTAAGTGGAGCATTTGATTGTATCTTTAGGTGTAAATTTGTTATTCTGTAAGGGGCATGCTTAGAATAACTTATATGGTCTACTACTATTATTAAACTCCATGTGATCTTCATTTGTTATTTTATCTTTCTGTCAAGGACAGAATGTTTATATTCTAAAGTCTTCATGGCCCCCAACAGTATCACTAACAAATCCGACAACAGTTACTCAGATGTTGCTAAAGTTTCTCTACTAGAATCGGTTGTAGGGAAAATGGATTCATGTCAGCAAACTGCAACAGTTGCAAATGAGAAGACATCAAAGCAAGTTGATGAATTGTAAAACTGACAACATTGTCAGAGGATGTCCTTTTCCAATGGCTACATTTTACAGGCATTAGGTCGACATTCTTAATAGCGCAGACTACAAGGGTGTCATGAGATGATTACCACTTATTCCTACTTAGGGATCCTACCAAGTTTGATATCAGAATCGTGCTGGAAGAGATGGATGATGATGCTTCTCTGGAGGACCTACAGAACATGCTGGTGTCGGCCATCATCTACAGACTCTGTGTCACTGTGTTTGAGGTAAAAACTACAGTACGATCTACTACTACTTACCCAGGCTCTTGGACATGCATGCTGGGGCTCCCACACTCGCTTTTAGGGAAGCGAGTGTGGGAGCCCCAGCATACAAGTAGGATGGTACCCAGGCTAATGCATGCACACTCTAGACTGGAATCCAGTCTTGGCTATACTCTGCTTCCAACAGTGACTACCTTGTTGGCAGGAGGCTAAAGCAAACAAGACTACATGGATCTCAGGCTATGCACAATCAGTATAGATAAAGTTGATGGCAGTATCATGTTGAGTAATTTTTTTTATGTTTAACATATTTGATGAAGGATACCCACTGGCATTAGTGTATCCCATCGGCAGTCCTGTAAAATTTGAAAAGCAGCAACAGTAGACTGATGTGTGCCGCCTGTTGACAGGCCGTGTTCTTGAGAGGAAGTGAAGCGGGCATGGGCGGGGCCACCCCCGGGAAGTGGATGATGGGATTGCAGGTGGTGTCATGTGACTACGTCCTGCCATCGACCAATGGTAACGTCAGGGTGGTCCCAGCAGGGCACATGGGGTTTGGAAGGTGAGACATTTCTCCTCGGTCTATTTTCCAGCCCAGTTAAGCCTTTTAACAGTTCAACTTTCATATTTAAGTTACGAGTTATATGATGGCAAGCATAGCTTGCATCAAATCAACACTTTTCAGAATTTGGATGCCAATTACATTGTGTATCTCATCAAAATCAGTCTGTGTTAACCTACTCCTTAATAGTAATGTGCAAATACACGGTATCTACATGTACATTGTAGCTGTATTTCGCTACATGTACCTGGTCCCTCTCAAAGAAACCGTTCATTGCTTGTACTATTCATGACAGGTCTACCATAGAGAAAATAGAACAAGAGAAGTCAATTGTACAAAATTAATGTGAAATTTCACTCTTTTTTCTTTTCAGATCCATTGTGCGAGCCCTGATCAAGAACTTGTCCATTGCCCTTTTCTTTCCCATCTGCTTCACTGTGTTCATCTTCCAGTACAACCGCACAGCTTACGATGTCATCGCTGGGTCCATGGTAGTGGCTAAGCCCATTAGGGCCAGAAGGAATGAATAACACGATAGCTATCATGTTGTGACAATATGTATGGGCAAGGAGTATGTACCGCCATGGGACAGAGTAGAAATTCTAAGCAATGTTAGAAAGTTATATACTAGTATATATTGTAGTGATTTTAGATATGTACTACATGTACTAGGATACTAGTACATGTACATGTATTTAAAAGTAGTGAGAATTCAGTCAACTCTTCTCAGCAGATTCCAAGTTTGAGATTTTGCATGAATCCACATTATGAGCATACATCAGTGTGATCATACATAGGATTGACTTTTTTCCAGTTGACTTGCCAGTGAATACTTGTATGTATGGAACAAATATATTATTGCCAAATAACTTGTATGCTGTACACAGTAGTAGTAAATACCATGTGAAATTCTGTGTATAGCTTTAAAATTACTTTCAGTACTGTACATTGTTACCACACTTGCAGTCAATGCATAGCTTTAAGATTTGTTTTATAAGTTTTAGTGATGAATTGACAGTCATGTTGTATATAATAGCCTGATTTTCATTATGTATGTTAGGATGGACCCTGAAATATTTTAAGTCTTCACAAAAATTCTATTTTCTCATCTTCAGTTGCTTACTAGATGCGTCTTCTAGGATTCAAAAATGGAAAATTTCACATAGAAGTTTTGGGCTTCCATTTCTTCAGTTTGCAATATGACAATAGTTGGGAATAGATTGTCTTGTGTTCACATTTGAAATGTTTTCGTCAGTGGAAAGTGCTCATTAGCAAGAACCGGTAGTATGGACATTGTTGTATTGTGAAGAAATGGGATAATTCAAGAGAATTTCAGTCAGCACAGATGTTATAAAACACATAGTGAGGTGGCCATGGCAACTTCTTTATATGGCGTTACAGTAATATTAGAGCTGAGCAACAAAGTAAGAGTCACTTCTGTGTTACATTGACGAGATGCGAGAAACATGTGGAAAATAGGTCTTTATTGAGATAAACACGAGTACATTTTCACTGACACCTGTTTCTGTGAAGATCCTTGTGCCTATACAATCAGGAGACAGTAAAAACATCAAAGACATTTAGTGGCAGAGGTCAAAACATTAGTGGTCACATTGAGTGTAAAACCTGGTGGCTTTGAGACCATCTACCCACCATGTACTAATATTCTATTTTAATTTACATGATTTTTTTAAACAGTATGTATAAATCTGTGACAATCTACAGGAGTTCTTTCTACTCTGCTGAAGCCGTCCAACAGTCATTTCTTGTACTAGAGAATGGTAGGTGTAAAAATACTACCCAGGGTACTGGAAGGACTTGATGATTCCAAGCCCAGTCACTCATCTACTTTGTTTGTATTGATAAAAAGTTTACAGTTGTTGACTTGTCGTACAGACAAATACTATCAAATTAAATGGACCCATTCTGTTTAAGACCATACTGCTGAAGCAATCCAAATGTGCTTTATTCAGTTAATTTAAAAAGAAGTCAGTGGCTAAATAGTGTGGTGCACAGCAGTTTTGTTGTGTGGTAGTGAGAGATATCTTAATGCCTGGTAGCAGGAGACTGAGCAAAATTTAGCAAGCTGCTTTGAAATCTGTTTGTTTGGATTCTGGCCCACCCATTAAAATGAAGGAAAGAATGTTTGCTTCCTGTTCATTTTGTTGGAAAGAAATACCACAGACCAATAATGTGGTCACAATGCTGATTGGTGGTACAAAGGCATGCTAAAATTCCATTTCTGTCAGTGGTAATGTATGCACTTGACAAAGATATAGAGCAAATTTCTTTAAACAAACATACGAGTCATACAATACTGTTGAGAATCTCCAAAACCTACTTAACAAAATGACTTTATGGCAAATAACCCTCCAGTGCTGAACATATATTCCACAAAAAGTCATTTGGTGATTATACCAACAGCACATATCTATTTAAAAATTTTTCTGCAGAATTTGTTAAGCCAATAATAAGCAAATTAGATTTACTATTATAATACCACACTTAACAGCAGAAACCATAACATGCAGCTGCAGAGGACTAAATGTAACAAATCTAAAGTATAGCAATAATCTATGGCCTCCTCGCTGGGTGAAACAATAAGAGCCTTTTGTCCCCTGTGAATCATATCCATCGGCCGATGCAGGGTGTGCTAGGTTAGGGCTGTCTTTCAGTCAAGATCTGCAAGGAGGCATCAGTTCTGCTCTTCAATAGCTGTCTGTGGATGGGAGAAGGGAACATTGTAATATTGCATCCTCAATCACTGCAAGCCTTTCCATGTCTCTCAGACATTGATGTGTCACAGAATCAACCTTAGGTAAGAATGATTTCACACATTAAACAGTTTCTTCTCAAGTTCAAATGTTACCCTTTTCATATGTTATACTGGTCAAGTGGTGGGAGAGCATAATGCTGTGATGTCAGTGTGTTGGCAGTTCTTGGATCGCTTCTTGATCAGTGTGTTGGGTCCTTGAGGCTGCCACAAGTAACTTCCCCCTGAAGAGAAAATTGTTGGCTAATGTACCTCCTCACACTATGCCTAAGTAGGTCGAAACATCTGCCCTCTGGAACCACACAGTTTGATCCATACTGTGAAGTAGTGGGGTCACTAACCCCTTTTGCCAATGGGACATGGATACATCTATGTAGTGGGAACACTAAAAAAAGGGCTTTTAAAAGATAGGCCTGGGTTTCCATTCCTTTTAAAAGATACAAGGCCTGAAACAGCAAATCCTGTCTATTTACCATTGCAGATTGGTGCGCAGCTGCACACATGGCACTATCTATAATATAGAATTGCATCCTACACAGTGACATTGAAGAGAAAGCTGATAATAAAAATTAATGAGAAAGTCCTTTATGATGTAATCGCAGTAAAATGATTATTGCTTCTTGACAGTTCAATAAAATATAGCTATAATAGCTGAGTTGAACGACAAGATATGGATGGGACAATAGTGTGGTGAATAACAAATTCCATGTAAAAATGCATAGAACAGCATTAAAAATTGGTACTTTATCTATTACTGGTTAATCATACATAAAGCGTGACATTTAGCAAAGGAAGCATGAAAAACAAGAACATGGCTCTCTAATTGAGGAAAAAATGAAATCTGCCCTACTACCCACAGATTATTCACAACCCTTTTAATCTGCCAGGCCCAGCAGGGACCCTGGAAATTGAAATCTATTGATAGAGACGTCATTGCTCCTTTTCATTACCAAATACTGCAAAATCAATTCCCATGACTACCCAGGTCTTGAATATATAGTGCAATTTGTGACTGACCTACTATGAACACACTACCAAAGCCAGTATAAACCTGGGATTCCTAAGGTTCTTTGATTTGACAGCACTGAAGATTCCATTAGACAGCAACTACACAGTATCTGTACAATGTATCTCAGTAATATTTCATATATTACTCAAATGGGATGCTGCTCTAATTAGTTGATAATACATGGTGTGGCACTATTTTAGTACATGGTACATGTACTAGGTTGCTACCATGGTATCTTCACTCCACTCTGCAATTTGGCCATGCTTATGGGAAAATGTTCACACGTAATTCCAATCATTACAGATTACCCAGCAGAAAGGTTTTAACTATACTCCTTTTGAACAGGTTCAAATAAAAGTCAGTGCCCTTCACGTAAAACAATCCGATTGTAGAGCTAACAGGATGACACGGGGAGGCCTAAGGCAATCCCAGCATCTGCAGGGTTTCTGTCAGGCCTCCGGGGATTCCCGGGCCACAATTCAGGCATCTACCACGTATCCAAGGTGGATTAGGAAATGTGATATCAGTACAAGCCAGCTTGCAGTAGGAGGGCCATGGGAGGCAGAGCTACCCTTTGATGTTACTTATTATTAAGTGCAACATAGATCACACCTTTGCAGGTACAGTGGGTTTGATTGGATCACCACAAGAGCCGAGGGTCAACCCAGCAGCAATGTGTGTACAGGATTACAGCAAAGTGGCTAGCACAACATTACGTATATGCAACCTTTGTATCACTGGCTACAAATATAGGTTTTGTACTGCTTTGAAAATTCAACTGTCCTGGTTACTATAACACTTTATTAACAGGAGATGATTTGACTTTTTATGCAGATTACAGGGAAGTCATACAATTTTTGTTAGTGTTCCTGGCTGTCTAGAGTTTTACCTGCTGTTCCTCCTCCCCGTTTCCGTTCTGTGAATTCTGGGCAGACTCCTCCTTCTGTTCCTCCTCCTCCTCCTTCACCTCAGGGTTGTCCTGGAAGATGGTGGTGCCGTGCTGTGTCTGTGCATGGTACATCAGGGGCCAGGCTCCCTCAAATGTCTCTTGGCACAAGATGCACACCCAAGACGCGGGCTTGGCTGGGCCTAAAACACAAAACCTTCATCAAACTTTTCAATGCCAACAAACTGGTGATTCATGAATACTACGTTGGTGAAGGTTAGACATCCAGGTAATAAGATATGCCAAAAAACAAGGATCTCAGGTCCAGGTCCTGGGTGCCACAAATCTGTAAAGCCCCAGTTTTATTACCTATCTCCCACAAAGTTAATACAATGACAAATGGTGTGAGCAACATTTCTGATGCACAGGCATTGCACCTTGGTGAATATTCCATTTTTGAAGATACTGCCTGGAGTGGAGGCCATGATATATGGTCCAGAACTAATGCCTGATGTACAAGCCTCACATGTGGATTAAAGAAAGCACTGCTGCTCTACCAGGTCCTTTGCAGAGTTCACCTATGTAACATACAAGGTGCTTTTTTCCTGCCACTACAGCTCTGAGGTAGAAACCATTAAGCCATGACTAGTGACACGTTCCTTATCTCTGCACCCACAGAGTGTAGTTTCCCTTCACCTGTCAACTCCCCTGCCAGCTCGCTGCACTTGCAGACAAACTTGAGCTGGCAGCCCTGTGTCTTGTGGGCCTGCAGGACTGCCATGTTGTTGAAGACCTGTTTGCACATGCCACAAATGAGGATGTCTGTGGACCCTGATATGCCTGGGGAGGGAACAGCAGAGGGATCAGGACATTGAAGACTTGTATGACATTCTCCCTATCGGTATCAAACAGCAGCAAAAGCAATGTCTTTATTAACTTCATACGTGTGGCACATCCCTTATATACCCCTACACTTCCTCCTCAATGAAGGGCAGAGGGCACTGAAGCACTATCCTTTATACGTAAGTGCTTTGCTTCCATTTCAGCACATAAATTTTCCTTGGAAACTTTGGAGACTTTTCACCACAAAGAGCATTCTGCCTTGGAACACGGCTACACTAAATGGCAAACTATTTCCTGGGCTACACAAATAACAGAAGACTGTCCTCACTTGGCACGCCCGTGGCTGCTGCTGCCACAGAGGCGAGTGCCTTTGGCCTGTTCTGTGTGCCCATTTTGGGTTTGCCCATCATCCCTGGGCGCGGCCTCTTGGCAGGTGGACCACCCATCAGTGGGGGAGGCTGGTCAAACCTGAAACAGAACATCTCAGTCAGCATGGCTGCTTATACTGGGATCGACTACAGCAATATTTCCATTTCAGTCAAATGCACCTATCAATAATACCTCGATATACTTCCCAACAAGTATCATTTCCATATCTTGTTTTCATTTACCTCCCTGTGTAAGCTTCAAGGGCGTATACAGTCTTCATCATAACAAAGAGGTTGATTGGAAATCCTTGTTTACACTTGGCATGTAATGGTTATAAGGTTTAACGAGCCCTACTATATACCCCATGACAACCTGACAGATTTAAGACTTAGTTATATGGAGGAAAACAACTTTCTACCTTGTAAGTAACCATTGCACTGGCAAAGCTTTTATGGTGGAATTTTGGTTTGTTTTTCTAGCTATTGACTCTATGGGAAAAATGTAATTCAGATAGTAGTAAAGAAAGAGACTAGACAGGAAGAGTCTTCTTTAACTGTAGCTGAACTGACTGAAGTTGAAAGTGTCTAAATCAGGTACACTTTTCAGGTTGTAGTGTAACACTTTTTTTATTTGTGTGATGAAACTCTGTACAACAGTATATCCCTGTAAATTAACCATTGATGCCTTTTCTCTTCCACAGTCAGCTGATCCCTGTAGTTGCGACATCCAACAGTCTCCCCTGACATCTGTAACAAATGAAAAAGGTGTCAATCATCACATAGCAAGGCTAAAATAATGCAGGTTCTTCTGTACAAAATCATACATACTTTCCTCATTTCTGTTTGTAAGTTTTAGATATCTAGCCTGGGCGTCATCTGATTTAATACAGGGCTCCCAATACTTACTGGCCCCCAAGTGAGTGCAAGAAGCTCTGTAACATATCAGATGGCAGGCTAAAAGATATCTGTTAAGTCTAACTAAAATAAAAAACTGTAAACCCTAACCTAAGATGTGGATTAAAAATAATGTTGGCAAACCCCGGCAGTAGGTTTCCTTTAAGAGAGATGCAGTATGAATAGACTATCCTCCTAAGACATGTTCCAGCTTCAGACTTTCTCTTGAAATATGACTGGATGGACTCCTTATAATATTTTGTGTAATGTCCATGAGTGGTAGAGAGCACTGTAAGTCACAATTCAAGAGACATGTAGCTGGAAACTTCAGTCACACAAGGGTGAACAAGTACTAATACCTTTGACATTTGGTGATATAAGCTGTGCCTGGGAAACCCAGTATGGAAAAAAAACATCATATACCTAATCTGGTGAAAATGGCATTAATGATTGGAGCATTCGCAAATCGTTTGAGAACACCAGTACTTATTGCTCTCTACCTCTAAAGGAAACTTATCACCTTTTAATCAACTCAGAATTTTACCAGGTGTAAACAAAATTAGAATAGAAATGCATACGTACAACATGTAGGATATTAACAACACTGCATATTTTCAGCACACTTCTACTTTCACTAAACAAGTTGTTTTGACTACTGTTTTCTCAAGTGTTCCGCCTTCCTGTATTCTACAGAAAGGTCTAAGCAAAGTTATAGTGTTTTGAGTAAACAGTGTAAATCGTAATGATCAATACAGATAGCATTTGTACATAGAATCTGCTATTATCAGGCCATTACAAGAAAATGAGGAATGTTGCAACACAAGAAGCAACAATTGTTGAAAATCAATGATATGGCAACGATTCACGGATGCAACATTGATTTGGAAAATGAGAACGTGAATTACTGCTACGTTGCTAAGATTAGATGGGGAGATACACCCTAGAAAATTCTACACACGGAAACAACATAGCAATAAAATGGCAAATAAAATCAGAAAATGCAGTTTGGAAAAGTCTGGAAAATATGAATGAAACCAGGTAAAAAAGAAAAAAAGAAAAATTCTTAACTCACCTTTTGGTACCAATTTCTTCGCGTAAAAATCAGAAAGAACGAAATCCAGACAGCAATCTCGAAAAATTGTTCCAATTTCGAGTGGTACCAGGAAAAATCGGACAAGTTCCTGCTTATAAGAGAAAAATGGGGAAAAATTGATAAGACAAGCAAAAATCATAAAAATTGAACCAATACATTAGTTTTTGATTGAAAAAGTCTCTTTGGAGCTGAGCATATCTATCAGAAATCTAATGTAGGAGAACATTTTGTTTGCACATCAAATAAAACTTTTCCAGAGTACAAAATACATGTACTGCTATACTTTAAATAATAAATGTTTTAATACTTTGGCAAGATTGTTTCAAGACCTGGTGAAAGTTACCAACAGCAAAAATTCTTAAAGAATCAACAGATTAAGGAGGGTATATAATAGGTACGTGTTCGCACTTTGATAATCCTACCATCACTGTCCAATCCCTAGGTTGATATATTCTTCAAAGCCAACCTGTAAAACCCTTTCTATTTTTTCCATCAGATGTTCCATCACCAAAGTGGTTTGGTTAATTCTTTCATTAGCTTCACTAGCCTGAAATATGTTTCCTTCAAACCCCAGCCTGGGTTCCAATTTTCCGGCACAGTGGAAAAAGAGGCAGCTATAAATACCATTGACTGCCTGGCCTTAGTGCCGATCCCTCTGCCCTTTAATCCTCACACAGAGCTAGGCCATTACTCATTCCCATCTCCCTGTAGCTCGGAAATAATTGGACCCGCCGGGGAAAGTGCCTTGATTTAACATTTTAATGGCATCGGAGGTAATAAGCCCCCACGCACCCCCTGAGAGCATTACAACACTTCCATCCTTACCCCCTCTGACTTCTTGTTGCCCTTCCATGCATGGCAGCCACCTTTAAATCCGTGGTCAAATTTACATACAAATTAACTGCTGATACCTGGAAGGGCAGTAATGAAGTTATTTGTTGCTACTTGGGCAATCTTGGCAAAAGAGGATACATGACTGTGGTTTCTTCCTTCATACGGCAAGCTCTGGGCAATATGCAAATTGCTTTCATTCCAGCTCTCACTACTATTTTAAGTTGTGGAAACAAATTTATGACTGTTGAGTTGGAGGGCTAAAAGTAAAGGCATTTGTAATCGTTCTGCAGGTTCTTATGTTCCTAGAGAAGATTTTATTCTACATTACATGACACAATCTATACCGGAGTGAAAAAATGGAGACTAAATGTGGTTGCTAAAAGGAAGGTATAACAAGCAAACTGTCATATTTTGGATGATAACAAATAGATTACAGTTCTTCAATTTTCTTTACAAGCACACACATTGACTGTACAACTTATTTCTTTCCCATAAAAACATTCGTTTAAAACAAATGTCTTGAAAAAAAAGCAATCATTATAACGGTAGTACCTCAAGTCAGAATAAGATTCTTTTCCTATAATAAGGTCTGAATCATCATATAATCATTAAATATCAACAAACAAAACAAACCTGTTATCAACCAACATCTTGTATAGTTCAACATAAATTTAAAGATGCAGATTTGTCCAACATTCACACTATAGAATATGACCATGGAATGCCTGTGGAAGAATTTGATTGAATTTTTCTCTTGACAAAATAGAAGTTTGAGTCAGGGAGTGAGCAATGTCATTCGTAATAATTGTAAGTCCTGCTCGGGGATATGAAATAACAGAGCCATGTGCTGACGCAAGTACATGTATCAATTTCCCCAAAGCAACATATTACATCTGCTAATGACGTGTCTGCCAGAGTGGACGTACCTTGGGGGTAAGAGTGATTTTCCCTGATAAAACAATCATGCATTTCTTTTCAAACTTTCAGTGCAGTGTGGTTATTCCACAAATGTCAGTAATGGCAGTGCTTTTGGCTAATATGGTCCTGTATACCTTGCAGCTGGACATCAATGTTAACCTTTCAATATCAAAATGATGGATGTCTCAAAAAAGATGGGTTAAGCTTACAAATACAATATTGAGCTGCAGAGCTTGAAATAGCATACGGTTTCACCTGCATATGTGGGTTTAATAGTGCAGGTTAACTTGGAGATGTGCAGAAAAATGTATTCAAAGCCCTAAGTTGTATGTCATAATAGTTATTCAAGCATTCACTGGGATGTACAACATAGCAAGGAAAAGTCCCACGTAGCATAGACATTGAAAAACCTTTCAAGAAATATTATCATTATGGTGCTATGTTCCACTGCAAAATGCAGGTATAGAAATGCAATTTCAATACAATCATTTATGATGTGATACATGACAAGCAAAACATCAAACACATCTCAAACAAAGACAAAACATATTGTTTTGTTTGATGTATTGATGTAACAGAGAATGCAATATTCCTCAGACCTGCCCCAAGCAGTACCATAGGTGCCACAATGACAAGTTTTGCAATATCAACCAGCATTCAAAGACAGCTTTCTATGTCATATTTCCAATTCCCATCCCTACAAGTACATGCTGGCAATATCCACTATTGGAAATTTTTTTAATTAAGAAAATTACCATCAATACATCAAATAGAACTGAGTGTTTCACCTGAACTGGAAATGTGTTTCATGTTTGCTTGTAATCTACCACATAATTAAAGCACTAAAATCTCATTTCTATTTTCTGTTTTGAACATTTTACACAGAAATGTTAATATGCGCACAATTCAATGACAAACTAGGAACTTCTTCAAGCTGCAATCCATGTTTGGTACCAGAGGTAAAGGTTGGAGGAAAGAAGGCATTATGATTTCCATGTGCTCTTTACTTGTAACACGACGTTTATGATCTTTTGAGAAAGTTTGAATCGTTGAACTTAAAATCTCCAAGCTTTCTTGCTAAGCATATGAAGGTCTTTGGAAGGATATAAGAGCTCCCTAATGACTTCTTTCCCCTTCAGGTTGCTACAAAAAGTGTCAAGGAAGCAAATGCAAATGGACAGTTCTAACTCACCCGGTGTAGTTTGGATCACTCTGGAAGTCCATCCCAACACCACTGCCCCTATTGGTTAAAGAAAGCTATGTGTCATACAACAGTGAGTCTTATCACAATGTGGTGCTAATAATTAAAAGCACAGAGGATTTAATGTCCTAGTTTTATGCCAAAAAATCCAACACTTCATGGTGGCAATTCCCGAGTAACAAGGTCATAAAATTTGTGTAACCTCTAGTGCAAAATATGAAGAAAAAAACATGCATGATATAGATATGTTACATACTATGCATATTGAAGCTTACCAGTTGGTGGATGGAGCTCCTCTCTTTGTGGGCCCTTGGCCAGGTGGCTTCTGGTTAGGTTTTGGCTCCGAGGCAATGTTCACATCTACAAAACAATATCAAGGAAAGGTCACAAAGATGTACAATAATGATACTCAAGCAAAACATGACATTGAACAGATGTACTGATTTTCAAATGTCAAAGAGCTATTGTTTTTCT